GCGTCCGGAGCCTGTGCTCCGCAACGGGAGAGGCCACAACAGTGAGAGGCCCGCGTACCGCAAGAAAAAAAAAAAAAAAAAATGATGTCCTTTCTACTCCTGAGTGTTCCTCAGATTTGTCCCCTCCTCTCTATTCCTGATGTCTCCCTCTAGCTCAGGCCGTGAATTTCTCTTCTGGATCAGGGCTGTAGCCATCTCCTTTCTTCTGTTCTCATGTACCGTGAGTGGTGACAGCATAGTCTGCTATGTTGCAAATATTACAGGGAATCTTGGTAGCCAACCTAGTGTGGTGTGGGTGGAGACGCAGTAGGAATCATAAGACTGGACCAAAAATAACATGGCCAGAGGCGATTTTATGTTGTGAAAAATCACATAAATTTCATGGATAAAAAGTGATTTATTCCTAAGCAACTCCTAAAAAGAGAAAATTTAAAAAGCAAAGCAGATGACAAAAGAAAAAGAGCAGATGGCTCTTTTCTTAAGATCTAAAGACCATCCTTGGGACTCTCCTGGTGGCGCAGTGCATAAGACTCCACACTCCCGGTGCTGGGGGTCCGGGTTCAATCCCTGGTCCGGGAATTAGATCCCACATGCATGCCTCAACTAAGGAGCTCTGGAGCCACAACTAAGGAGCCTGCCTGCCGAATCTAAGGAGCCCATGTGCTACAACTAAGGAGACGGCGGCTGCAATTAAGACCCGGCACAACCAAATAAATAAATAATAAATATTAAAAAAAAAAGAGACCATCCTTTGCTTGGTTCCTGCAGATACTGCGATAAGCCCTGGTATTTAGTGACTGTGCCTTACCCTGATCCACAGTACAAAGATTTCCCAAGAAATAAACATTTCATAGATTTATTATTGCATCATGCTTACTCTCACCCCTAATTTTTAAGAAAGTGAGTTTGCATTTCAGATTCTTTCTTCATGCATGAATTGATAACACTATGCTTCTTTTTAAATTTATTTTTATTTATTATCTTTAAAAACAAAAATTTTGTTTGGCCCTACCACGCAGCATGCATGAACTTAGTTCCCCAACCAGGGATGGAACCCACGCCCCGTGCAGTGGAAGGGCGGATGCTTAATCACTAGACTGCCAGGATGCTTCTGATTTTGGTTATTGGGTCTTTTTTTCCATTTTTAAGCAAAACCAAACGTTTTCAATTATTGCAAAGGTCTTGAAATACGTAACAGATTTACATTATTCTGTTAAGTGAAATTTCATACCATTTCTTATGCCCCATGTTCTAGGACTGTCTCCTGTATCCTACACTTCCCCAAACTTTCCGTTCTCCCTGCCTTTGCACATGTTCTTTTTTTTTGCGGTACGCGGGCCTCTCACCGCTGTGGCCTCTCCCGTTGCGGAGCACAGGCTCCGGGCCTGCAGGCTTAGCTGCCATGGCTCATGGGCCCAGCCGCTCCGCGGCACGCGGGATCCTCCCAGACCGGGGCACGAACCCGCGTCCCCCGCATCGGCAGGCGGACTCCCAACCACTGTGCCACCAGGGAAGCCCTGCACATGTTCTTTTTCCACCTGAAATGCCCAGTCCTCTGACTCCAAAATCACCTCTAAGTTCAGCTCAAACATTACCTCATTTAAGCCACCTTTTCTGCTTTCTGTCCTCTGCACCCACAGCGCTCATCTTCCCACCAACCTTTGGAGCAAGAACACTGTTTTTGTGTTCTCTGTAAACTTAAGATCCAGCACAATTTCTAGGATGTACAAAGCACATAAAAATAAAACGCTGAATGAAGGAATGAATGGTATTAAATACATCTTGGAATCTGAATGACAATGTTGGGAAATAGATAGGAAGTCAGTTGAAGCCAAAATATAGAAAACAGTTAACTGTAATTGAGTGCCCACTGTATGCGAGGCACACAACTAAGCCATTTCATAGACTTAAAAAAACTGATAAACCACCCACATAAAATTCACCTTTTTTTTTTTCAGCTGCACCACGCAGCATGCGGAATCTTAGTTCCCCAATCAGGGATTGAACCTGTGCCCTCCTGCAGTGGAAGCGTAGAATACTAACCACTGGACCTCCAGAGAAGTCCAAAATTCACCCTTTTAAAGTATGCAATTTGGTGGCTTTTAATATATCCACAGATTTGCAAGCCATCACCTGAAAGAAACTTTGAACCCATTAGCAGTCACTACTCATTCCTCCCTCTCCTTGGGAACGAACTACTTTCGTTTTCTATGGATTTGCCTGTTGTGATGTTTCACTTATATGGATCATTAAACATGTGGCCTTTCGTGTGTGGCTTCTTTCATGGAGCATCACGTTTTCCAGGCTCACCCACGCTACAGCACGGGTCAGGACTTCACTCCTTTCCAGGGCTGAACGATATTCAATTGTCGGGATGAATGACATTTTGTTTACCTGTTCACCAGTGGATGGACGTTTGGGTTGTTTCCATTTTTTTGCTGTTGTTTAGCTACTATGAATAATGCTGCTTTGAACATCTTTGTGCAGTTTTTGTGGATCTGTATTTTCATTTATCTTGGGTGCACACCTAAGGAGTCAAAGTGAAGGATCACATGGTAACTCTGTGTTTAACTTATTTTTTATTGAAGTATAGTTGATTTACAATGTTGTGTTAGTTTCAGGGTGTACAGCACAGTGATTCAGTTATACATACATATATATGTAAGAACATGTATATATTTTTTTCAGATTCTTTTCCCTTATAGGTTATCACAAGATATTGAGTATAGCTCCCTGTGCTCTACAGGTCCTTGTTGGTTACCTATTTTATTTTTTTTAATTTATTTATTTATTATATCTGGCTGCGTTGGGTCTTTGTTGCTGCACGCGGGCTTTATCTAGTTGCGGCGAGCGGGGGCTACTCTTCGTTGCGGTGTGCGGGCTTCTCATTGCGGTGGCTTCTCTTGTTGTGGAGCACGGGCTCTAGGCGCGCGGGCTTCAGTAGTTGTAGCACACAGGCTCGTGAGTAGTTGTGGCTCGTGGGCTCTAGAGCGCACTCAGTAGTTGTGGCGCAAGGGCTTAGTTGCTCCGCGGCATGTGGGATCTTCCCGGACCAGGGCTCGAACCTGTGTCCCCTGCATTGGCAGGCGGATTTTTAACCACTGCACCACCAGGGACGTCCCGGTTATCTATTTTATATATAGTAGTGTGTATATGTTAATCCCAAACTCCTAATTTATCCCTCCTCATCCCTTCCCGTCTGGTGCGTGTTTAACTTATGGTAACTGCTAGACTGCATTCCAAAGTGGCAGCACCATTTTACAATCCCACCAGCAATACGTGAGGCTTCCAGTCTCTCCACACCCTTGCTGGCAGTACTGTCTTGTTTATTCTAGCCATCCTGGTTGGTGTGAAGTGGCATCTCATTGTTGATTCCACTTCTTTAGTAACTAATGTTGAGCATCTTTTCACGGGCTTGTTGTCCACTTGTATATTTTCTTGGAGAAACGCCTATTTGGATCCCTGGGCCACTTTCTGTGTTGTTTTCTATCGCTGAGTTGTAAGAATTCTTTACATACTCCCGCTACTAGATTTTCTCTTTCTTAATCCTCACAATCACGCTGCTTAAGCAGGTAGCTTGATCTCCATTGTTTAGGTAGAGACTGGAGCCTGGAATTCTAGTGAGAGGCATGACGGAACCTACATCTGTGAGTCTCCAAAGCCTGTGCTCTTCCCACTACTCTTTACTGCCTCTTGGTGACGGAGTAGCTTTAACTGACAATGAGGTTTAGAGAGCGGCTACACTAGTGTGTGGCTAATATGAAGACCGACGGACGTCGCTGGAATTGAGGCCAGGGTGCTAGAAACGTTATTGACTCACTGCTGAACCCAGTGGGGGGAGGCCTAAGTCGCATATGAAATAAAATCTCTAAGATTCCTTCTTATTCTGAAATCCTGTGATTTGATAAGCCTTTTTGTTTTGCCCAGCATCAAACAGCAACAGTGATGGATAGCTAAGGCCTCAAGTGTTATTAGGACAAAAGGAAGCACCGCCCACTGACGTACATCCCTCTGAAGCCCAGGACTGGTCCCTCTGGGAATCCGTCTGTTTATCAGTGAAAGGCGCTTGATCTGCTATCATAGGCTTTGGGGAAAAAAAAAAAGCAGTATCTCCTACTGACAGTTTAATCACCACTTTTCCTTAACACAAATATGAAACGCTGAGTTCTTTCCTCTGTCGTGGGTAACAGAATGATGCTATACTAAGCCAAGACCAGCTGAATTCCCAGAGGCTGTCCAGGTACATTCACAACGACTCTGCCCCAAGTGCACAGCTATTTGCCTAGAAGAAGGACAGAGATGGAAAAGATGGATACGGTTTTAGTGTCATCATCTTATACTATCTTTGCTACCTCCAAAACGAGACGATTTCAAGGGATGCATTTAGGAGAACCTTAATACTTGTAGAGCACTGTAGAAACCATGGACTAGGTAAGTAAACTGAGTCATCAATAAAGTATAAAAGTGGTTTTAACAAGCGATTATAGAAAACTCAAATAGAATATCTTCAAATATATATTTTATTGAAAAATAGTTAAATTAAAATATATACATTATTTTTTAAAAACCATAGTACTGGGGCTTCCCTGGTGGCGCAGTGGTTGAGAGTCCGCCTGCCGATGCAGGGCACACGGGTTCGTGCCCCGGTCCGGGAAGATCCCACATGCCGCGGAGCAGCTGGGCCCATGAGCCATGGCCGCTGAGCCTGCGCGTCCGGAGCCTGTGCTCCGCAACGGGAGAGGCCACAACAGTGAGAGGCCCGCGTAACGAAAAAAAAGAAAAAAAAAACCCATAGTACTGGTAAAACACTGAAATTTTCATACAAGGATCATTGAAGTTTCACTCATGCTTACCAAAGTGGCACCTTTCCTTTCCTAGACAAACATTTTGCTTAAGAGTAGGGCCTCTGGTGCCCTCTGGTGAAACTTCCTGAGATGGGGTGTCCAGAAAGGAACTCAGGCCCTACAGCTCAGGGCTGACAGAACTGCGGCCGATTCGCGTTTGATAGGCTGTGATTTGCAGCCTTTGCCCTCTGCCCAGGAGAAAGGCAAACTGAGACCAGAGTCTTTATCTCCTGGGGTGGGCGTTCCTCCCACTAACACTCAGCCAAGCTCACAGCAAAAATGCTTTCTTTTTTGTCATTGTCTTCTTAAAAAAAACAAAAACAACCCTGTCATTATAAATGGGAGAAATAATGTGGGAAAGTCTGTAAATAATTCAGATTATAATCCAGACCAAATCACACCCCCAGCCCCACCCCCCCAAAAAAATCACAGAAAAGGTTAACAGGACAGCAAAAAATCATAAAGCTTAGGATGCAAAAAAAGCTCATCTTTACCTTGCCTTTATAATAATGGATACCACTACCCTAGACAACTCTGTGCCTACGGTTTCTGGGAGAAGGTGACCTTTTCCTCACATTTCAGGAAGCAGACCTACTCCAGACGTGTGCCAGTCCTAAAAAGTAAACATCAACAGAGTCTAAGTTCGTTCTCCAGGCTGAATACTTTGGACTTGAGGTTCTTCAGTTCTCCTTGTATTTTATGTGCCCGTCTGTTGCTGTCACGAACCTCACACAGGATGGCAAGATCCTGGTTTGCCCGGGTGTTAAGTGTTGCCTAGAGATTTGAAAAGAAGAAGAAGAAATGATTACGGCAGATGCCAGAGAGAAACCAGTCATAAAGACCAGGCTCTGTTGGCTCCTTTCTATGAGTCTTTTAGTACATAGGATAGCTTCAAGCCTTAGTTTAGTGACTAGCTAAAAGAAGGAAAATATGGAGTAGAATTAAGGCACAAAGGGCATGAGACGCTTTGCTTTCCCACACAATAGTAAAGGAGCCTTGAGATAGAGGTCAATCAGCAATTAACAATGAGTAAAAGGAAGAGACCGACATAAACATTATTAGTAAATTTGCCAAACAATGAAAGAAAGCATCTCTTCTCTTCTGTCATTAAGCTGCTTGTGGCACAGTGATCATTCAGGGTGTGTGGATGACGGTTAAACCTCTCCAAGGAGGCACTGAGGGCAACTCGGATTCTACACAAAGCCAGGTCTGACAGGAAAAATTGCTTTTTAACTCAGCTACTCACTTTCCCCATTTGTAAAACAGACACAGTGCTTTGTTTCCTTTTGGCCGCGCCGCGCAGCTCGTGGATCTTAGTTCCCTGACCAGGTACTGAACCCCGGCCCTGGCAGTGAAAGCGCCGAGTACAAATCACTGGACCGCCAGGGAATTCCCCGTAGACACAGTTCTTTTAATCTACTTCTTGAATTGGGCGGGATGAACATTTCTGTTGAGTTTAGCTTAGGTGGAGCATGATGATGCCGTCATTCAATTACTTCAGTCTATTCTGTCCTCCCTCCGGCATGCACTGTTTAAACTGATTTTTGTGAGAGTGAAAGGGTGGGGATGCGGCCCAGCTTTCCTCTGAGGGGCCCTCGTGCCCGTCAGCTCACCTGCACCTCTTTTCTCCCTCTTGGTAATTCAGGATCAATTACCTTATAGAGCATCTGCTCCAAGTCTTTCAGTTTTTGCTTGAGAGCCTTAATATCTGTCTTAAAGCCTTCTACTTCCAAGACACGTCGTTTCTCCAAGGCCTCGTAGCGTTTCGTCATGACCTGTAGACGCCTCCCCATCTTGTTGGTGCGATCCTAAACACAGGGACACAGGAGGGCATTTGTGGAGCTGAGGGAGCATCCCCGCGCCAGCTGCACTGCCCACCCCGTCGCGAGTGCAGAGAACTTCACACCTTAAAGATCTCTCTCCTCACTCCCTCCTCCTCACGAATTTGGGCAAGTTCTTCTTCTAGGGAAATGCACTGCTCTTGGTACATGCTGGACAGCTTTTTCTCTTGTACTATCTTTTCCTTCAGGGACTGTAGGTCAAAAGGAAAAAGAAATTAATACTCTGTTCTGGAATTCAGACTACTCATATAGCACTTAGGTAAAGAAAGGAAAGAAAGGATTTCTAGAAGTACAGAATGAGTTAAGCAACAAGACTCCAGCAAGGAACTCTGGAGAATGTTTGAAAACCTATTTCTAGAGGAATCTCTTATCTTTTTCCCTAAAGTGTACACAGTAGAAATTCTTTAAAATAAAACAAATATTTTTGGCTCTGGGAAGAGTCAGATAATGGAGTTCAGAACTGTACCAAGTAAGACATTACAACATACGTTTTGGGACATATTTCTGAAGTTCTTCTTTAAAAAGGAAAAAACATCAACAACACTTAAAATACGCATGTTCCATTGAGCAGCCAGAATGATCTTGAAAAAACCCAAATCAGAAGTCACTTCCTTACACACAATCCTTCAAAGACATAGAAAAGCTGAGCGCTGCGTCTTCTCAGCAGGACCGGGAAGGCCCCACGTGAGGGCCGCCCCCCCAACCTCCGAGCTCATTCCTCCAGGCCCACGACGACCTCCTCCCTCACACCGGCTCTTCGCTCTGCCTCATGCTCTTCCCCGAGGTCTGTGTGGCAAGCTCAGTCCCGTTTTTCAGGTCTCAGCAAAAACACCAGACTTAAGACGGTGTCCCTGTGCTTCTCTACGAAAGTACACCTCCAACAACAATATATAATCTTCATACAACCGTTTTATTCCTTAGTACCACTTCTTAATTTTTTTTTTAATTTAAATTTTTTGGGGTGTTTTTTTGGCCGCGCTACGTGGCTTGTGTGATCTCAGTTCCCCAACCAGGGACAGAACCGGGCCCATGGCAGTGAGAGCCCAGAATCCTAACCACTGGCCACCAGGGAGCTCCCAGTGCCACTTTTTTATAACCCATCGTTTTCTTGGTTACTTGTTAATGTTGCTGTTGTTTCTCACCCATTAGAATGTAACAGCTTGTTTACTGCCCCAGAGCCTAGCTCAGCGTAGGACTGCGACAAGTAATTGTTGAATGAATTTATCGATCGAGCCATACTTTAATTTTCTGAATCTGCAAACACTATAATGATGAGCTACTCTTTGAAACCTACTTCTTGAGGTTGCCGCTACAACAGCTTCCCGGACTAAATGGATCTTATTTGACAATTATTAGGTTCTTTGAAATTCTCTGAGTTCTTTCAACAATTCCAGAAAAAAAAAAATTCTGTAAAAGATAGAGGAAACTACCTTAATGTATTCATTTTGGTTGTAATGACTCTCATGAACTGGCCAAACTTTTCCACTTTTATCTTCTTTCTTCTTACACTGCACCCTGTATTGCTTAATCTTTGACATCAAATGATCCTTTTCAAGCATCCAGGACTTCTCCTTATTTTGGTTTTCAAATTTGAGTTGCAAGAAGTCTTTGGTGCTCTCGTAGAGCAGTTCCTTGGCGTGATGGAGACTAGGAAAGAATGTACAAATGCGGACATGAAGATGCTTCTATAGCACATGTGACACAGTTATTCCAAACAAAGCGAAGACACAGGTCCTTAAAGATGGTACAATATGTAAATTCTGTAAAATATTATTAGCAGTTTTAAAAACACGCTTCATCTGTTCACTGGCAATCTTATATATGTTATTGGACAAAGTATAAGCATCTACACTGGTTCACACACTGGTCATTACAGATATTCTCCCGAGGGCTGATTTCAGGTTATATGATTAGAAGGACTATAGAAATATTTACACACAGCCTAAGTACGGACTTTTCCCAGGCATCAGACTTTACAATAAAGAACTAAACCATGGTGTTCTGAATGAAGGTTAGCACGAGTTCTAAAATGTCAAAACAGCTTTGCTTTTTTCTGTGCTATGCTCCACGTGTAAGCTGCCCAACATCAAATCCTGGCCTTTTTTCGAGATCAACTTCCTCTATGGCGCCACCTCAGCAACTTCAGCCCACGCAGTCTCTTCATTCTCTGAAATTCCCCATCGCTTTAAATCTACGTCCCTGCGCTGTAATTTGACACTCGCTTAACCTTACTTATCATTTATTTTTGCCCCGATACCACTAGATCATCAAGGACAGTACCAACTACTGGAAACACACAGGTACTAAATATAGATTCCTGCTGACTGAGATTTAGGAAAAGGCAAATGACGTTTCCATGTTCAAAAAAGAATATCCCTAAGAGTTAGAACTCATTAGTTTAATATCAACAGCTAGAAAAATACTGTATCAAATGATCAAACTGCTTGCAAAAGGTATTAAATACCGTGAGGCAACCACTGCAGTTTTCCACTGAACAAATGTCAGATCCATGTAGTTCTTTTCATGAGTAACACAGTACAGAGATAAGGGGAAAATGATAACATAATGCCAGAAAGGTAACTGTCACCAGAGGAATATATATATTATATACAGAAAATACACATATATATCCTTATTTAGGTACGTGCACACGTGTATAAAGAGGGAGAAATTGATTCAGTTATCACAAGGACTGCTCTTACTTTCAACAAGTTATTTTATTCTATCTTATGTTATGGTCTCAGTTACAAACTGGGAAAGCATGATCTTGTTAGCGTACAAATGGTTTGAAAGTGACACCTAAAGGGCAGCCATTAATAGCCTTGGATTTCATGCCATTCAATACTCAGGATGATGAGCTAATGGAAGGAGCTGATTGTGTGCTCAGATACGCAGATGGCGCTAAACTAGGATGGTTATTAATAATCTGGAAGACAGATATAAAGTTACAATTTACCATGACAATTTAAAAATATTGTTCCCTTAAAAACAATTAAAACCCAACAAAGAGTGGAGCTGCTATGCTTAAGCACAAAATACCAACAATAAAAACGGAGAAGTACCAGTCAAATGCAAACATGACACTATGTTAAAGGAAGCAGAGCCTGCCGAGGGCTGGGAGGCATCTTCTACCTGCACTGATCAGAGAGCTCGACTTGAGTATCACCTCCAATTCTAGTGACCACACTTTAAAATGGAGGAAGAGACACTAAAGAAAGTCTGAGAAGACAAATAAAAAACACAACAGGACGAAGAATGCAACGTGAAAAACTATTTTAAAATGTAGGAAGTTTAATGCAGAAAGGAGAAGGTAAGCTGAATCAGCAAGTCTTCCAGCATTATTTGTTGTGCACACGGGGCAGGGCAGAGGCTACAGCCAGACCCTGGGAACAAAGACACAGTTATAACAGAAGGTGAAAAGGCCCACCACGCAGTCATGCTGGTCATCCAGGAAATGGGGGAGGAGACGTGTACCTCTGCTTGGGAAAGGTGTCAGAGAAGGGGTGACACTGCATAGTGAGGGGCCTCCTACACCGCAAGTGCTCTGTGAACAACGGTGTTACTGGTCTGACTGAAGAATGAGGTGAACTACAGCCACAGAGGAGCAGAGACTGAGGGATAAGGCTCCTAAGGGCTGAGGCAGCAGGACTCCATCAGAAGATACACGCAGTGAGGAAGCCTGCAGAGCACAAGGGGACCAGTGCCAGGAAGCACAGTCAGTTACTGCAACAATTTAAACAAGAACACAGCCTGGGCCAAGGTGGTAAGACAAACAGGGCAGAGAATGGACTGGACACAGGTTTCTCAGGCTCATACCTGACAGGGTCTGGAATTAGGGAACAGGAGAGCCAGGAGTCGAAGATCATCCTGAGGTTCCCAGCTTGGTAAACTAGGTGGATGTGACAGCATTAAACTAAATGGGGGGCTTCCCTGGTGGTGCAGTGGTTAAGAATCCACCTGCCAATGCAAGGGACATGGGTCCCACCCCTGGTCTGGGAAGATCCCACATGCCGCGGAGCAACTAAGCCCGTGTGCCACAACTACTGAGCCCATGTGCCACAACTACTGAAGCCCGTGCGCCTAGAGCCCGTGCGCCGCAACGAGAGAAGCCACTGCAATGAGAAGCCCGCGCACTGCAACGAAGAGTAGCCCCCACTCGCCACAACTAGAGAAAGCCCGTGTGCAGCAATGAAGACCTAACGCAGCCAAAAATAAAATAAATAAAATAAAATAAATTACACACCAAAAAAAGACATGGGAAAAGAGTGAAGTAGCAGGTTTGAGGTGGGGGAGGGGTGCTCGTTGGGAAAGAGAAAGTTGAGTTTCAATCACAGTAAATTTGAGGTGTTCAAACATATTCATCTGAAGATGCCTTTATAGCCCAGCTCTGGCCACTGGAAGTGGACAGAAGGCTGAGGAGGGTTAGACAGGAGGGAAAGACAGGAGCTGCAGGAACCAAGGGAGACTAATTTCAAAGAGGGGGTGATCAGAGGGGCCAGACACATAGAAAGACACTCATTACAGCTGGGACTGTGCAGAGGTAACTGGTCACAGAAATTAAGAAATCAGTGATGACGTCAGAGAGGGCACACTTAGTAAAATGGGGGGACGAAAGCAGACTGCAGAAAGCAGGGGGACAGGCAGGCAGGTCTGGGGCAAAACAGCAGGTTCAGATAGTTTCCATTTTCTTGTGCAGGTATGTTATACTGAGTCAGGTAACACATCAGTGGAGAAAAGGACATTTCTTGACAATAAGATCAAGCTAAAACCCGCAAATGGGTTGAAGGGAGTGTGTGGAATCCCCCCAGCCCTTCAGGAGAAGCATCAGCGCACCCAGGAGCCTGGAGAGAGGCGGGCGTCTGATAAGACACATCCTCAGCGCCGGGACCCCGTGCTGCCAACGGACAGGACTGCCACCTTCTAAACCAGCGGCAAACACCTTAAACCCACTGGTGCGGCCCTCTTGAACACTCACTTTCTGGTGAGCTCTGCGACTCTCTCCCGATCCCTCTGCTGATGAGCCTGCACTTCCTCCATGCGGATCCGCCTCTCCTCCACGAGCCCCGCCACCTGCTCCTGCGAGAGCCTGCTCCGCTCCTCCAGCTGGGCCTGCAGCGCTTCCACCTGGACGGGCCAAAGGGGCGAGGTGTCCACTCCTGCCCTCCCCCACTCACTTCTCACCTCTAAGTGAGCCTTTCTCCAGAAAAGTTTAAAAACAAAAACCCCACGAACAAAAGCACAGCAACACAACAAACAGGAGAAAAATCTCAGCTGGACTCCTCTTCACTATCTTACAAGTGGGCTTAGGCGACACAAGAACAGACTCCGTCCACACCGAGCAAAACACCTACATCACACCAGGAAAGCTGGAAAAGCCAGTCTCCCCTACCTGGGACTCTCATCTTCTCACCACCTCCCTTTCTGGACTTTTAGGACCGTCTCCCTTTTAAGACTTCCTAGTTGCACAGAGAGAGAATGACTCGTTTCTTCATTGTTAAATTTAACAAGTAGAGCAGAATGTGTGTAATGTAATTTCCTTCTCTGAGGCTGGCCGTCACAACCCCAAATGGAGCTACTGGCCAAAGGTAGAAACAGTCATTTAAATCAATACGCCCCCTGATGAGGACAGGAACTTGAGTGCAACTAGATGAAAAATCATGGTTGCAAGTGACATAGAGAGACCAGGTGGTTAGAGGATGACTTGCTACTTTCCTAGACTTTAGAACACACGCACCAGACAAATGGACTCATCCCTGAAGGTCAGTGTATCGGGACAGACAACTGCAGCTCTGTGTGTCTCGGCGCCAGCTCCAGAGGGAGTTCTGACTGTGATGGCTTTGTTGGGAGGGCTCGGCCTACGAGCTGAACGAACTGCAGGTTCAGAAAAGCACTGCTAGAATGGTGGAATACAGGGTAACGGTTGTAACACAGAACCCTGGGAAATTAAGAACCTCAGCCTTCCAATCACATGGCGTCTGGATGGACCATGTGGGCAAGGAGGCACTAGGCATATATGATGCCCGAGCCAGGCTGGTGGACAGAAATGGTTGTGGTCTGTACCTGCAGGATGAGGGTCTCCACGTCCCTCTGGTGCAGCTGGGCACTCTCCTCCTTCCGTCTCACTGCTGGTTTTCTCCTGCTGCCTTTAGAATCTAAAATAGAACATAAAAGTGAGGGGAGACCTTTACTTAGCTTTTCTTTCTGCTATTCAAGCATCAGCATTACCTTTGCAGAGGAGTTTGGTTTCCTTTATCTGTAAGGGAAGGAAAGGAAGAAAAAAGACAATGTACAATAACTATAGTGGTAAATTGTTCAAAGAGGAATCTCTTAAGGGAACTCTGCTAGGATATCATCTGGATAGTAATATTCATCTTTCTGAAGAATACACTACTCAATTTTCTTTGGAGTTGTCTATTTTCTTTGTAAAATCTTATTTAATTAGAAAGGGTAATGAATAAAAATACTAAGTCCAAACGTTTTAGTTATAATGTATAACCCAATTTTCAATGGACAAGATGATTTTAAAAATAAGCAACACTAAAATTGCACTAAACATAATTTAATTCTTTAGATAATTCAAGAAGCTTATTTAGGGACTTCCCTGGTAGTCCAGTGGGTAAGACTCCGTGCTCCCAATGCAGGGGGACCGGGTTCAATCCCTGGTCAGAGAACTAGATCACAAGTGCATGCCACAACTAAGAAGCCTGCATGCCACAACTAAAGGTCCTGCATACCGCAAGTAAACATGCCACAGCGAAGATCCTGCATGCCGCAACTAAGATCCGGCACAGCCAAAATAAATAAATAAACATTAAAAAAAAAGAAGCTTATTTATTTTTTTCTTTTTTTAAATTGAGGTATAGTTAATTTACAACATTAGTTTCAGGTGTAAAACACAATGATTCAAATTTTTTACAGATTATACTCCATTTATAGTTATTATGAAGTATTGGCTATATTCCCTGTGCTGTACAATATAGCCTTGTAGCTTATTTATTTTATACATAGTGGTTGGTACCTGTTAATCCCCTACCCCTATTTCACCTCTCCTCCCTTCCCTCTCCCAACTGGTAACCACTAGTTTGTTCTCTGTATCTGTGAGTCAGTTTCTGTTTTGTTATTCTCTAGTTTGCTTTATTTTTTAGCTTCCACATGTAAGTAATAACATATGATATTGTCTTTCTCTGTCTGACTTATTTCACTTAGCATAATGCCCTCTAGATCCATCCATGTTGCTGAAAATGGCCAAGACTTCATTCCTTTTTATGGCTGAGTAGTATTCCACTGTGTGTATATATACACACCACATCTTCTTTATCCATTCATCTATTGATGAACACTTGGGTTGCTTCCATATCTTGGCCATTATAAACAATACTGCTGTGAACATTGGGATGCACATACATTTTCAAATTAAAGTTTTCATTTTCTTTGTAAGAGAGTAGATCTTAAAACCTCCCATCACACACAAAAAAACAACTTGTAACCACATGCGTAGTGATGCATGTTAGCTAGACTTGCTGTGGTGAACATTTTGTAATATATACAAATATCAAATTACTATATTGTACACTAGAAACTAATGTTATATGTCAATTATATCTCAACTAAAAAAAAAGAAAAAGAAATAAAATTGGGATTTCCATTAAAAAAAGAGAGAGAAGGATAAGGAGACTGAGGCTTAGAGAGGCTAATTAATAGTCTGTGATTCCAGAAGTTGTCCAAATCTGTTTTATGACTTACCACCATAAGCATGTTAATTATATATTTTTTATTCTACTTCATTAAAACGTCATGGAAAGGTTTAAAAAAAAGGCAGCTCAGTAAGACCTTAGACTCCAGAGGCATCATTACGAACATTCATTATCACTACATGGTATGAAAAAGTTTCTAATTATTTGTACTGTGCTTTTTAATTCTGCATCAATAAGAATTTCTAATAATGTGGTTGGTACCTGCTCTGAAAGCTGAAGATTCATTCTGTTCACTTACTTCTACAGCTTGGATAGTCTTTTGGAAAATGCTGACCTGAAGAATCAAAAAAAAAGAGAAAAAAAAAGGTACAGAAATAGCCTTCTTATAAATGCAATATTTCACTTTTTAGCTTTAGTTCTGCAGATTAAACATTATTCGTAAATTAAATTGGTCAAAATCGATACAATCATATGAGGATGTCATGCATATGAGAGACCAAAGTGGACAAAGTAACAAATTGGATAAAACCCAGTGTTCTGAATATAAATTGGATAAAACCAGTGTTGGTGATATAAATGAAAAAATAAAACTTCAGGGTTATTTGGTAATATCGGCCAAAAAAAAAAAAAAGCAGTCTTTGACAAGGTCCTTTAGGAAAGTAACAGAAACACAGAAGTATGCATATATAGCTATGTATAAAAACTGCTCATTGAAGAACTGCTTACAGAAGTGAAAAAAGGAAAATCTCAAATACACAAATATTTCTATATGAATGGAAAAAGAGCTTTATCTCTGGGGTACAGAATTATGGGAGACTGCCACTTTTATATTAGATTCCTGAAATATGTGTGTTATTTTAACAAAGACCATGCATGAATTTTGTCATCAGTATAAACAAAGATTTAAAAAGAAACTAGTACTGAAACTTGTTCCCACACTAAGTCTGCTCCTGCTGTTCTCTCTAATCTCATCCAAAACATCTCCTCTGAGCTTTAGGTTTCCAAACGGTGAAACGGGGTAAACAATGTTACTTCCAAGGTTTTTGAAAAAAACTCACAAAGCTCTTTGTAATTAGAGAAAATGCTTTGAAAACTTCGGTAAACGTGAGCCTACCACAGCTAATTCTCCTTCTAGCTTCTTTAACAAGTACCAAAATTATTCTGATTATGGACCCCAGCTTGTATTTTGTAAAAGCCATGCCCACCCTGCTATACAAAGGACTACTTACCTTGTTGGGAGGCTCCTTATAAAAATAGGTCACTTCTCCAGTGTCTGTTCCCACAAGAGCCAAGAGATTCTGAATCTTCTTCTTGTCTTCTAGCTCCCTGCAATTCTCATAGAGAATAAGCAAACAGTGTCCAGAGTAAGTAAATTTTTGCTTAAAGGCTCTCCCTTCTGACTTTTTTTTCTTTTTTTTTTTTTGGTGATGCCACTTGGCATGCAGGATCTTTAGTTCTCCGACCAGAGATCAAACCCATGCTCCCTGCAATGGAAGCGTGGAGTCTTAACCACTGGACTGTCAGGGAAGTCCCTCATTTATTTTTAAAGCAATGATAACCTCAAGTTAAAATTAAATAGGATTAACCCTCCTACACTGTTGGTGGGAATGTAAATTGGTGCAGCCACTATGGAAATCAGTATGGAGGTTCCTTAAAAAACTAAAAATAGAATTACCATATGATCCAGCAATCCCACTCCTGGGCATATATCTAGAAAAGATGAAAACTATCTAATTTGAAAAGATACATGCACCCCAGTGTTCACAGCAGCACTGTTTATTGAATATAATAGCCAAGACGTGGAAGCAACCTAAGTGTCCATCAACAGAGGAATGGATAAAGATGTGGTACATACACACACACACACACACACACACACACATATACACAATGGAATATTACTCAGCCATAAAAATAATGAAATAATGCCATTTGCAGCAACATGGATGGACCTAGAGATTATCATACTAAGTGAAGTGAGTCAGACAGAGAAAGACAAATATCATACGATATCACTTATATGTGGAATCTAAAAAAATTATACAAATGAACTTATTTACAAAACAGAAATAGACTTATAGACATAGAAAACAAACTTACGGTTTACAAAACAGAAATAGACTCATAGACATAGAAAACAGACTTACAGATACCGAAGGGGAAGCAGTGGAGGGATAAATTAGGAGTTTGGGATTAACAGATACACACCACTATATATAAAATAGATATCCAACAAGGACCTACTGTATAGCACAGGGAACTCTACTCAGTATTCTTTAATAACTTATATAAGAATCTGAAAAATAGATGTATATGTGTACATACATACATACATATAGATATACATATGTATAAATGAACCACTTTTCTGTACACCTGAAACATTGTCAATGAACTATACATCAATTAAAAAAAAGTCAGGGCTTCCCTGGTGGCGCAGTGATTAAGAATCGCCTGCCAGTGCAGGGGACACGGGTTCAAGCCCTGGTCCGGGAAGATCCCACATGCCGCAGAGCAACTAAGCCTGTGCACCACAACTACTGAGCCTGCGCTCTAGAGCCTGCAAGCCACAACTACTGAGCCCACGAGCCCAGAGCCCGTGCGCCACAACTACTGAGCCTGCGCTCTAGAGCTTGCAAGTCACAACTACTGAGCTTGCGAGCCTAGAGCCCGTTCTCTGCAACAAGAGAAGCCACCGCAATGAGAAGCCCGCGCACCGCAATGAAGAGTAGCCCCCGCTCGCCGCAACTAGAGAAAAGCCCACACGCAGCAACGAAGACCCAATGCAGCCAAAAATAAATTAAAAAAAGAAAAGGTCAACAGAGAGGAGTCAGCATCTGCAACAGGCTCCAAAAAATTAACTAAATTAAATAGGATTTATCTAGACCTTACCTCTAAATTTTTTTGAATTTTATTTTTTTATACAGCAGGTTCTTATTAGTTATCTATTTTATACATATTAGTGTATATATGTCAGTCCCATAGCAGTGACTGAGACCTGCTGTAACTGAATCGCAGTTCACCTTCTGCCCACTCAGACTTCCCTTACTCCCTCACAGGTGGTTTATTCCTGAGAGCACTCCCCAACACACCTCCTGCAAGCAAATCTCCATTGCAGAGTTTGTTTTCCAGGGAACCCAACCAAAGACAGTTGATACCAGAAATGGACCAAGGAAGCAAATTTTAAAATGACATTTCAGAGCCTGTGATACGATGTGTTACAGAACACAGTGTTCTTAGGAGCAAGACAGATGAGTGATCAACAGGGTATAGCTTAAACAATTAAATAAAATTAAAGATGGCGGGGGGGACTTCCCTGGCCGTCCAGTGGTTAGGACACCGCACTTCCACTGCAGGGGGCATGGGTTCCATCCCTGGTTGGGGAACTAAGATCCCACATGCTGCGCAGCACAGCCAAGAGAGAAAAAAAAAATGGGGCGGCGCTGGGGGCTGTGTATTCTATACAAACTCACAAGCTCTGACCCATTTTCCATACCTCTGCTAGTTTTAAGACCCAGAGACTGTTACCTAAAGGAGAAGCTGTATCTCCCAGGAAGTAAGACCTGGTGATACCACAGCAAGTGTACATCGTGATGATTCCCTCATTACCTCCAAGGGCTTAAGCCATTTACTCAAGTAATCGTACACTGTGGGAAAGGAAATACCCGGACATGTCAAGGATCGCGGGATGCAGAGTCTCAGCTGACACCTGGTGACGTGAGCATTATCTAGGGCATTTGGGAACCATGCAATAAGTGGAATTTTGGTCCAGGTCCAGCTCAAGCTCAAAGTGGGTCCACTGGATCCAGACCCAGTCAGTGGTCATTTCCCCCATCTCCAAACGTATAACTGGAATGGACATAACTGGTGGCTGGCAAAGCCCCCAAGCTGCTGTCTTGGTCTCTGTGCTAAAGCACGCGGCAGCCCCTGACGCCGCCCCAGCCCCCCCCGGCCCCCCCCGGCCCGCCCCGGCCCCCCGCGGCCCGCCCCAGCCCGCCCCAGCCCGCCCCAGCCACGGTGGCAAGTCACGGCCTAAAGGGTGCGGGGTGGAGGCCCCACCAAACCCCATCCCTTCACAAGCACGACTCATGCAACCACACAGTAACAGTGGGCTACGACCAAGTAGGTCCAATTCCGGTGGCTGCCAGATGTAGCAGTATTTTTGCTAGAGCAAATTAACTTGGTTTTAGGTACACAGCATGTGGCTACTGATTAAGCAAATGTATTCCTTCCCATTCGTAACAGGACCGGAGCAGTTCTCATTCGTGTGAGGGGAACAACAGTATACTTTTACAGGCTTCCCTAGGACCTCGTTAACTCTTCTGCTCTCTATCAAATTTGTCCAAAAGGACCTGGATCTGGCCATTCCACACATCATATCAGTTCACTACTGAGATGTCCTATTAAATCAGACTGGATAGACAAGAAGTGGCGAGTGTGTTAGAACCTTACATGAGCTCTAAAGGGTCAGAGGTAAACCCTACGAGGCACGTCAGTGAAGTTTTAGGAGTCTGATGTAGGCTTGCCAGGATACTGGCAGGGACAAATCCCTGCACCTCACACCGACCACCACCAAGAAGGAAGCATAATGCAGGAAGAACTCCTCAGCTTCTGCAGACAACTTTTCCACACTTTGGAACATTACTCTGACCCATAAATCAGGTGACGTGGAAGGTGAGCTTTCAGTACGGTCCAGGGAAGCTAGGCATGAGGTCAAGGCTGAAACTATTAAGGAGATTAAATCAGTAAATCAAAAACCTCCCAACAAAGAAAAACCCTCGACCTGACGGCTTCAGTGGTGAATTCAACTAAACATTTAAAGAAGGACTAACACCAATCATTCTCAAACTTTTCCAAAAATTGAAGAAAAGGCGACACTTCCTAGCACTTCCTATGAAGCCAGCAGTGCCCTGATGCCAAAGCCAGACAAACATTACAGAACTACTACAGACCAATATCCCTTATGAACATTGATATAAAAATCCTCAACAAAATATTAGCAAACTGGTATTCAGCAGCATATTAAAAGGATTATACACCATATGTTAAGTGGAATTCATTCCTGGAATGCAAGCAAGCATGGTTCAACATATGAAAATCGATCAAAGTAATACAGCACATTAACAGAGTGAAGGAAGAAAACATACGATCATCATCTGATACAGAAAACGCATCTGACAACATTCAACACCCTTTTGTGACAAAAACATTCAACAAATTAGGGACGGAAGGAAACAACCTCTGCACAATAAAAGCCACATATGAAAAACCCACAGCTAACATCATACTCAACGGTGAAAGACTGAAAATTCTCTTCTAAGACCAAGAACGAGACAAGGATGCCCATTTTACAACTTCTATTTAACAAAGTATTGGAAGTCCTAGCCAGAGCAAGTAGAGAAGAAAAAGAAAGAAAAGACACCCAAATAGGAAAGCAAGAAATAAAATTACCTTTGTTCACAGATGACACGATTTTATACATAGAAAACCCTAAGGGTTCCGCAAAAAACTCTTGGAACTAGTAAGTGAATTCAGCAAAGGAGCATAACACAAATTCAATATGCATTTCTATACACTGTCAACAATCCGAAAAGGAAATTAAGAAAAGAATTTGATATACAATAGCATCAAAAAGAATAAAACATGCAGGAATTAACCAAGGAAGGGAAAGACTTACACACCGAAAACACTGCTGAAAGAAATGAAAGAATAAACAAGTGGGAAGACATTCTGTGTCCATGGATTGGAAGATGTAACATTAAGATGTCAATATGACTCAGAGCAATCTATAGATTCAGTGCAATTCCTATAAAAATCCCGAAATTTTTTACAGAAATAGAAAAATCTACCCTAAAATTCATATGGAACCTCAGGGGACTCCAAATAGTCAAAATAATCTTGAAAAAGAACAAAGTTGGAGGGCTCACACTGCTTGATTTCAAAACTTTAGTACAAAACTACAGTAATCAAAACAGTGTGGTACTCCAAACAACAACAAAGGGAATTCCCTGGCAATCCAGCAGTTACTACTCCGCACTTCCACTGCAGGGGGCACGGGTTCGATCCCTGGTCAGGGAACTAAGATCGTGCATGCCATGCAACGTGGCCAAAACAAAACAACACACACACATATACACACACAAAACAGTGTGGTACTGGCATAATGACGGACAAATAGACCAACAAAATACAATAGAGAGACCATAAATAAGTCCTGCATAGATGGTCAAATGATTTTCAACTTTCAATGGGGAAAAAGTCTTTTCAACAAACGGTCCTGGGAAAACTAGGTATCCACGTGCAAAAGAATGAAGTTGGACCCTTACCTAATACACATACAAAAATTAACTCAAAATGGATCAAAAATCTAAATGTAAGATCGAAAACTATAAAACTCTGGGCTTCCCTGGTGGCGCAGTGGTTAAGAATCCGCCTGCTATTGCAGGGGACACGGGTTCGAGTCCTGGTCCGGGAAGATCCCACACACCGCAGAGCAGCTAAGCCCATGTGCCACAACTACTGAGCCTGCGCTCTAGAGCCAGTGAGACACAACTACTGAGCCCATGTGCCACAACTACTGAAGCCCACGCGCCTGGAGCCTGTGCTCCGCAACAAGAGAAGCCACCACAGTGAGAAGCCCGCGTGCAGCAATGAAGACCCAACACAGCCAAAAATAAATAAATAAATTAAATAAATAAATTAAAAAAAAGAAAACTATAAAACTCTTAGAAAAAAACCATAGTGATATTGGATTTGGCAATGATTTCTTGGATTTGACACCAAAAGCAGAAGCAATAAAAGGAAAAATATACAAATTGGACCTTATGAAAATTAAAAACTTTACTGCATCAAAGAACACTATTAAAAGCGTAAAATGGCAACTGTCAGAATGGGAGAGAACACTTGCAAATCACTTATCTGATAAGGGATTAATATCCAGAATATATAGAGAACTCCTAAGACTAAATAACAGCAAACAGCAACTCGATTCGAAAATGGGCAAAGGACTGAAATAGACATTTCTCTAAAGAAAATATACAAATGACCAATAAGCAATGGAAAAAATGCTCATCATCAGTAATCATTAGGGCAATGCAAATCAAAATAACGAGATACTACTTGACATCCATAAGGATGGCTTATTATTAAAAAATGGAAAACAGGGACTTCCCTAGTGGCGCAGTGGTTAAGAATCCGCCTGCCGATGCAGGGGACATGGGTTCAAGCCCTAGTCCGGGAAGATTCCCACATGCCATGGAGCAACTAAGTCTGTGCGCCACAACTATTGAGCCTGCGCTCTAGAGCCTGCGAGCCACAACCACTGAAGTTCGCGCGCCTAGAGCCTGTGCTCCGCAACAAGAGAAGCCACTGCAATGAGAAGCCTGCGCACCGCAGCAAAGAGTAACCCCCGCTCACCGCAACTAGAGAAAGCCTGTGTGCAGCAACGAAGACCCAACACAGCCAAAAATAAATAAATAAATAAATAAATATTTTTAAAAAATGGAAAACAAGTGCTGGCGTGCTTTAGAAGAAATTGGAACCCTTGTGCACTGCTGGTGGGAATGTAAAATGGTGCAGCCACTGTGGAAAACAGTATGCTGGTTCTTCAAAACAAATAATTAAACACAGAATTAGCATTTGATCCAACAATTCCACTTCTGGATAGATACACAAAAGAACTGAAAGCAGGAACTTGAACGGGTATTTGTACACCCATGTCCAGAGCAGGGTTATTCACAACAGCTAGAAGGTTCAAACAACTCAAATGTCCATCAACACATGAATGGATAAACAAAATGTGGTGTATACATACAATGGAATATCATTTGGCCTTAAAAAGGAATGAAATTCTGACACATATGTTGTACAATGTGGATGAACCTTGAAAAAATTATGCTAAGTGAAATAAGCCAGACACAAAAGGACAAATACCGTATGATTCCACTTATATGAGGCCTAGAATAGTCAAATACATAGAGACAGAAAATAGAAGAGTGGTTACTAGCGGCTGGGGGAGGGGAAATGGGGAGTTAGGGTTTAGTGTTTGGGATGATGAAAAAGTTCTGGAGGTGGATGGTGGTATGGCTGCACGATGACGTGAATGTACTTACTGATATTGAACTCTACACTTAAAAATGATAAAAATGGTACATTTTAGGTTAAGTATATTTTACCACAATAAAAAAAAAAGTGCACTGTAGTGGATGCCATGGGACACTGCTCAGATGCTGCCCTCAGGACCAAGATGCCCATAACCCGGGAGCTGCCCTTGACTGAAGGGGGCTGCCTCTCCCGAGCTTATCTCCCTGGTGGCAGCCTGCATGCAATGACTGACCACCCGCTGTGGGGTTGGCTAAGGCCTCTGTTACCTCGGTGGACTCTACCACAGTTCAAATTCCCCCTCAACCCAAATCTGCTCATAGCTGTTCTTCCTAAGAGCCTCCCTGCTAACCATCGTGCCGGCAAATCTCCATCTCAGAGCCTGTCCCCTGGGAATGCAACCTAAGAGAAGGACCACAGAGAAATGTATCTTGTTGAGCTTGATTTAGAAATATACCCCCAACATTTCCCTTCTCTCACTTGGTACCTGATTCTCAGTCGGTCGTTTTCTGAGTAGAGGCGTAAGACATGCTCCCGCTCCTGGAAGAGGCAGACCTGCACGTCGCTTAGAGCTTTCTGCAGCTCAGCAATCTCTTCCTCCCTTTGCTGCAAATCCCATTCAAGTTTATGCTGGGGAAAAAGTTAGTTGAAAACACACTGGGCTTCATAGGAGTATCTCTCGTTGGATGCGGCAGAGTCAGTTCACGTAGAAATATTACAAAGCAGATGGTTTCATCAATACAGGATCCAAATGACAACAACAGGCTGTGTACAGACAAGTTGAAAACTACAAAGTGAGCGTGACGTTTGCATTCAACATCAGAGCTCTCACGGTTCCTTTTACAGACGAGAGAACCCAGGACGCCACGTGATCCACCTGTTCTAGTCACACTTTTAATGCTTTCTATGTAAGAAGCATTGTTATGAAATTCCGGAAAACAAAGATGAAAAGGTATGATTCTTGCCTACAGAGCTGAGGAATTGTGTGGGGAGACAGACATGCCAACAATTAAAATGCAAGAATTATTTAATGGAGAAGCACGCACGGTAAAATGGTAGAGGGGGAAGGTACGGCAGGAGAAGAATCTCTGGAGCCTGTTGGGGGAAGTCAGAGTCCACCACCAGAAAGCTGAAGCCTGAAAGGAAGGCCGTTAGAGACAAGCAGAGGGCAGTGCTCTCGGGAAAGAGCGTGGTAAACCAGCACAAACCAGCAAAGAGCCGGAAATGCTTGGCCGACCACGAGGACCTCAGCATCGCTGGAGTGGAAAGTGAGAGGCGGCCGGGGTGGTGTGGCGCTGGAGGCTGGGACCGTGGAAGATGCTCAGGTGAGATGAAACTGGAGTTTGAATAGTGCGGCAGCAGCAGTGATGAGGTGGCCGGAAGGGACTGAGCGACATTCAGGACGCAGAATCAGTGGGTCTTAGCGAATGACTGAATGGAGGGCTGGGCAGAACTGCAGGCAATGACGCCAGTCACGAAGGCACAGAATAAAGAAAAGTTAAGAGACAGGGGTGAATGGAGGGAAATGGCAGTGGTCTATGCGCACACATGGGCAGGGAGAGGAAAAGGAGGTTCGTTCAGATACAGACACACCACCCTGGAGCTCAGGAGGAGAACGAGTCAGCACTAGTTACCTGGATGTCACAGTCCCATAGGCAGAACTACAATGCATGGATAAAATGAGATCATTTACGGTGGAGTCGGGAAGAACTTGGGAAGACTAAGGAAGGAGAGCTGTCAACGGACACTGAGAACCGGTCAGAGAGGGCGACAGACACTGGGAAAGAAAAATGACACCGGAATCAAGACGGGAGCAGAGTTTTGGGAAAGGAGACGTCGACAGTGACAAACACTGCAAAGGGCACAGAGAGATGAGGTAATTTTGGCAGCAGGTCCTGGAGTCCACAGGTGGAGCAGCGAGGACAGGACCCAACCACAGTCAAGGAGTCGCCGAGTGGGTGAGGAAGTCAAACTATTCCGGAAGGGTGGCTGGGAAAGAAGGCGCCTCCCCGCTGAGAGTAGGTGGGGGTGCAGCTAGAGGGGTGCCTTTCTCTTTTGTTGGGAAAGACTTGAATCTGTCCATATACTGAGGAGGAAAAGCCAACGTCAGGCAAGAGGTTAAAAACAGAACACAAAGGGGAGTTCCCTGATGGCCTAATAGTTAAGATTTGGGGCTTTCACCGCCATGGCCCGGGTTCAATCCCTGGTCGGGGAACTGAGATCCTGAAAGCCGTGCAGCATGGCCAAAAATTAAATTAAAAAACAAAAAAACAAAAAAAAAAAACACAAAGAGGCGAGGTAGCAAAGCAGGGTTTCTTAGGAAAGAAAGGGGGTTGGGTAGCAGAGAAAGTGCTGGATCATTCAGCTCACTGTGGTCCCTGGATCAGTAAGGAGGAGGAGATGGATACGGACGCAGGTGACTGTGTGTGGATGGGCAGGAAGCTGGTGTTCCCTCTGTGAACTGGGAAGCAAGGCTGCCTGAGGAGACAGGGAGCATGCGGGCAGGAGGGGAGCAGTGAAGGCAGGGCACAGGCGTGCAGGGACGGGGAGCCGACCACTGATGGGTAAGAAAACTGCTGCGTGGTGACTGAGGATACAGATGATTTGTTTACCATGAATTTATCCTGTAATGACCTGTGACCTTTCTAGGACAGTGGTTCTCAACTGGGGTGGTTTTGCCTATGCCCCCAGGAGAAATCTGGCAACATCTGGGGGCATGTTGGACTGTCACAACTTGGGGGTGGGGTGGGCTACCGGTATCCAGCGAGTAGAGGCCTGGGATGCTGCTACACATCTTGCATACACAGGACGGTCCTCACAACAAAGAATCATCAGCCCTCACGTCAGTAAGGCCAAGGCTGAGAAGCCCTGCTCCAGGACACAGGTGGTCGAGGATGGGGTTAAGCCACAGGGAGGGCTTCTGCCGGGCAAGGGGCGCAGATGAGCAGGGCCGCGTGCAGGCAGCACAGCGACTAGACTACTGGAGAGAAGCCCATGGGCTTCGGGTTAGAAGCGGGACATGGTGGCCAGAAGCTGCCCTGCTGCCCTGAGCACACTGAGAAGCCAGGAGCTGTGGAGGCAACACCGAAGCGAAGTCAGGTGTGAGGGAGAGAGAACCAGAGGTGCACAAGAGGCTGAGACAAAGAGTGAAGACTTTAGAGATGGAGCACTTTAGGGCATCGTGATCCAACGGGGCACCCAGATGGTGGGCAGCTCAGCTGGGGTGGAGGGGATCAAAAGAGGATGTTGAGGACTTTGCTGGTGGCGCAGTGGTTAAGAATCTGCCTGCCAATGCAGGGGACATGGGTTTGAGCCCTGGTCCGGGAAGATCCCACATGCCGCAGAGCAACTAAGCCTGTGCGCCACAACTACTAAGCCTGCGCTCTAGAGCCCGCGAGCCACAACTATTGAGCCCACGAGCCAGAACTACCGAAGCCCGCGAGCCTAGAGCCTGTGCTCCGCAACAAGAGAAGCCACCGCGATAAGAAGCCCACGCACTGCAAAGAAGACCCAACGCAACCAAAAATAAATAAATTAATTAATTAAAAAAAAGAAAGAGGATGTTGACAAGTGTACTGTGACACCAGCTGGCACTCGAAGGCCTTCTCAGCAAGGGGCTCACGCAGAGTGCACGAGGGGGCACCGGCTCCTCCTCACCTGCCCTTCGCAGGCCTCTCTGTACAGCTCCAGCTTCTTCAACAGGCCCTCGTTTTCTGCCTCACACTCAGACATCATCTTCTGGTAATATTCTAGAAGCTCCTGAGAAGGGCAGAGGACGGCCAGACGATCTTCCACTGAAGGCAAGGGAGTTGACTGCACGGAATCGGAGAAAGACACCCCCTTCCACCTGGTGGGGCCACTGAAGCCACCGGCAGCCTCCTGCTTGGGGAGAGCCGTCAGCCTGTGTGAGATTAGGAAGGACACGTTCATAAACTGTCTGGACATTTATGAGATGTTACAATTTCTTAAATTAAAAATCAGGTTTATGGGCTTCCCTGGTGGCGCAGTGGTTGAGAGTCCGCCTGCCGATGCAGGGGACACGGGTTCGTGCCCCGGTTCGGGAAGATCCCACATGCCGCGGAGCGGCTGGGCCCGTGAGCCATGGCCGCTGAGCCTGCGCGTCCGGAGCCTGTGCTCCACAACGGGAGAGGCCACAACAGCAAGAGGCCAAAAAAAAAAAAAAAAAAAAAAAAAAAATCAGGTTTATGTCCTTAAAGTGCTTATAATGAAGGTGCTCACAAACCTTGAAAGTCTGATGTTACAGGTTTGTGAATAATCTTATGAACTGCTTTCCAGGTATTAAAGGTTTAAGGCTGGATTCAAAATACAAGTTAGAGAGTAAAAAAAATCATTAAAAAAAAAAAAAGGAATATCAACTAGGTAAGACCAGATAGTGACAGTCAAAAATTTGATACTATAAGACATACAGCAATAGGAACTTATGTGCTGTTGATGGAGTGTAATTTGGTGAAACTACAGACAGTAAATTGGCACAATCTAGTAAAATTGCAATTTCTTTTATCTGCACAGACATATGAGGTAACACATACAAAAATGTTCCTAATAACATTCTTTGTGATAACAAAAACAGTAAAGCTTCCAATGTCTGTTTGATAGGATAGTGGATAAACTATGGTATATTCATACGGTGGAATATTCTCAAAGTTATAGAAACTATGAATTAGATACATGTATGAATATGAATGAACTATCTAAACATTAAATGCAAAAATGTATGTAGATGCATATACAGACGATATTGCCATTTAAGATTAGAACATGCATAATGAAACAGTTTATTTTTAGGAGTAGATATATAAGTGGGAAAACTTTTAAGGAAGGGCATGATAAAGATTCAGGATTAGAAAATACAGGCTAGTCAGTAACCACACGACCAATCAGACCCTAGTCTCTAGCATCAAAGACTTGAATTACATGGACCAAGACCAGCCAAGATCAAAGGCTAATCAAAGGCTGGACCAGAGGGATTTTTTGTTTGTTTGCTTTTAGCAAACAAGAGACTTAAGCTGAAAACAATGAAAGTTAGAAAACAAATGATACGTAAGTGGAGAAATCCTCATGTGAGAATTAATCCACTTTGGCTAACTGCCTGCAATTTATTATACAACAACAAAATAGACCACAGAGTAGAGAAATTTTATACCAGAAGCCCCGAGTTGTAGTTAATGAAGGTTATGGGCAGCACTTTTAATAAGTGAGCACGTACAGGAAAGACATTAAAATCCACTTTCAGCTAGCATGAAGAACAAATATTTTCTCAATCATCAAAAGCTCACAACAGAAATATTACTGTACTTAGTTTCATGTTTTGAAAAGGTGTTGCCTTATAACTCTGGGATATAGGTTAATAGATAAACTAAGAGGTATTTCTGAGATTCTGCAAACGAGAGTGTGGCAATGAGGATGAAGATGAGGCATCATGCAGGTTGACACAGAGGCAGAGTCCAAAGTCCCCTGTGTTTGTCTATTGGTTGTTTCCTCTATAATCCAAGGGTCCACTGGCACCGTATGAGGCCCACATAAAATGCCTGTATTCTTGTGTTAACATCTACTATGTCCTAGTTTTTAATCTAAATTCCACATAATTAGAGAAATGAGGTCTAATATAGTCCAAATCCAAAACTCTTCTAGTTCCTAAGCCAATGTGTACTAAGAAGTCTGGATTCTTTATTTCAACAGCTCAAAAATAAGCAAATGTCTTACCTTCTGCAGACAGGAGATTGCGTCGGGGTAAAGTTCATGCTGTCCTTTCCCACCTGTCAAATACACAAAAACTCAAAATGAGGGGTCAGGAACAGAAGAAAAGCACAGGGCGTGCCGACAGGCCCCCCACCAGCGCCAGCTGTGCTCTGGCAGCACCAGAATGTGATGTTTTAGTTTTCGTTTATTTTTTTTGCCACACTGCTGGGCACGTGGGATCTTAGCTCCCCGACCAGGGAACGAACCCGTGCCCCCTGCATTGGAAGGTGGAGTCTTAGCCACTGGACCACCAGGGGACACCCCAGAATGTGATGTTTTAGAATGTAGTATTCTTTAAAGTAGTTCCAAATCCTGAAATTCTATGGAGGCATTCTTCCTTATTATTATTTTCAAATAAAATCAGAATGGCATTTAGTATTTCGATGGACAAGCAGACAAAAGAATAGCCTTAGTATGAAGGTTTACTGCAACAAATTTACATGCAAAACAAATTTACAATCCTTTTGCTGAAATTATAGGAGAGGGAGATGCAGAAAAGTTTCTAATAACCAAGAGAAATTAAGTGGATATTAAGGTAGAGGACCCATCATGCTAAATTTAAGATAAATACAAAGCCATTGATATTATCTTTATTTGGTGCGCTGTGTCTATTGTTTCCCATCCTCCTCAACAAGTCACTCCTGCATTTGTGTGCCTGACAGTGTTAACCTCCCTTTTAAAATATTGCTTTGTCGTTGAGAGCTCTGAAATCAGACAGACTTGGATTTGAGTCAAGGTTCTGTCCCCTATTAGTTGTGTGACCTCAGGCAAGTTTTTACTTAACCTCTCTAAACTTCAGTTACTTATTAGAAAATGGGGATAATAATAGCATTATGTCATAGGTTGGTGTAAGGATTAAATGAACAAAAGGGCTGAGCACGTGTCCAACACATTTAAGCACTCAATAAATGCAGGTGACTGCTGTTTTCACTGAAAATTTTACTCCCTTGGTTCAAAAGGTTCTGTCTTCAGGGACTTCCCTGGTGGTCCAGTGGTTAAGACTCCACACTCCCAATGCAGGGGGCCTGGTTCCATCTCTCGTCAGGGAACTAGATCCCGCATGTCGCAACTAAGACCCGGCAGAGCCAAATAAATTAAAAAAAAAAAAAAAAAAAAAGGCTCTGTCTTCAACTTTCTTTACTACTTCCTCTATCCATTTCTTCAGGAACATCATTATTCCCACTGCTTTTATGATTACCTGTATCATCTAAAACACTACCTGGCAAAGAGTAACTAACAAGTACTTGTTTAATGAATAAATGACATCTCTTTTCATCTCCTGACTTGAATTTCCAATTATGTAACAGACATTTTCACCTATATGTCCCACTGGAGCTTGAAATGTTTAACTTAAAAAAAAAAAAAAATCCCAGACTGAAGCAGCTCACTCCTGGGTCATGAACCCAAAGATTTGGTCAAAATTGACCTATGAAACTCCTTAATATTAAAAAAAAAAAAATCATTCAAGTCACATATTTTTTAGCACCTCAAAGCTAACACTTCCCAAACTAAATACAGCATCTTTGTCATCCAAACATATTCCTTTTTTCATATTTTAGTTAATAATTCAGCATCTTCCAAACCACCTGGACTTGAAATTTTATTTTTTAAATTTTTATTATAGTTGCTTTACAATATTGTGTTAGTTTCTACTGTACAGCAAAGTGAATCAGCTCTACGTATACATATATCCCCTCTTTTTTGGATTTCCTTCCCATTTAGGTCACCACAGAGCACTGAGTAGAGTTCCCTGTGCTCTACAGTACGTGCTCATTAGATATCTTTTTACATAATATCAATAGTGCATATATGTCAATCCCAATCTCCCAATTCATCCCACCCCTGCTTTCCCCCTTGGTATCCATACTCTATGTTGGACTTGAAAATTTAAATTCATCACTTCAATACTCCTTCTCTTGACCCTTTCATCCAACCGTATGAAACTCCTGTATATTCGGACAATGGCCATGTTAACTCAGGATCTCCACATCTTCTTCCCCACCCTACTACAATGGCTTAACTCTTTTACCACCCGCCCCTCTCCTGGACCATCTTCTAATAAGTCGTAACATTCATCCATGGCTCCTGAGAGTCTAATGCACTAAATCAAACTCTGCCTAAACGTCATGTCTTTTTAAATTTAAGGACCAAACCTACCTCTCCTACCTTACTTCCCTCCACTCCCCTAACGTGCCCTTGGTTTCCAGATAACCTTGCCTCCGTGCCTTTGTTCATGAGCCTCCCTCCAGCGGGCCAATACTTCCCTCCACTCTCATAATTTCACTTAATGAAATCCCATCTCCGCACGAAAACTCAAATACTACCTCCTCCATCTCTTCTCTGCGTCTCTCCATCCAAAAATGAACTAACTGCAAAAGAATCCCATTTGTAATTGTCTAAAACTGAACACAGTAGAGTTCTTTGTGGCTATCACCTCTCCCACGACGGGGTGCGTTCCCTGTAGGTGGGAACATGGTTCTATCTCCCGAAAGAACGATACCCTTGTTTATAGACAAACTACTGAGTTTCATCCAGCTTCTATCCATCCCTGTGACACCCCTGTTTAGGTATATATATTTATAGCTTATCTATTTACAATTAACATCTGCTTAGCACTTGAACATTTATTATTTTCTTTACTCCACAACTCTGTTTAGTATTTTTATTACCCCTCAACTTTACAAGTGAGGAAAGTGAGGCTGAGACCGGCGGGGAGTGAGGGAATTCCAGGGGCCCACATTCCGTACTCTTTTCTCCATTTCTCCCCGTGTTGACCCCCGGTGACCACAGCCTCCCATCCTCCAGCGCCCTCCCCCGCCCAACCAGTCCTCCGGCAGATGCTAACGGTTCCCTCCGGCCTCCCGACGCGCCCTCTCAGACTCACACCCCTCCCCTTCGCACTACTCCCGCAGCTTCTTCCCTGCAACCCGCCTTTTCCTCCCCAGACCCCTTCCCTGACCCCCGTTCCGGAACCCGGAACTCCACTCACGTCGCCCAGAGCCGCAGACGCCGAGAGCCCAACCGAAAAACAAGTCAAACCACCGGGCGTCGCGGCGCCACGGAACGTGCAAGACCCCGTCCAATCGCCCACTGGTTTACACAGCCCTCTGGATTGCGCACCAATAGAAAAGCTGTTCACACAGAGGCCCGCCCCTTCCCGCCCTCCCTCGCGCTCCTTGCCCCGCAGAGGTCGCCGGGAAGTGTAGTTTTCCTTCTGCACACAGCTCTCTGGATGGAGGAGGTGGCACGCGAGCAACCCAGCTCCTCCCGGTACTGGTGGTGTTGATGTTTGGGGTCCGACGCCCTAGTTCTGGCGCACTTTAGGGCTCCCAGTTTAGGCTTTCTCAACTACTTTGTTTTCATGAAAGATGATGCAGAAATGCTGTGCATAATCACAGGATTATTATGAATTGGAATATACGAGTTTATCTCAAGGAGGTGAAGAGTCTTAAGAAGATAGTTTCTTCTTCAATGACCTGATGGTGTAGAGCCAAGACAGGACCTGTGGATCAGTTTCTACAGTCAGAGGAGTATGTATATAAATGTTGTTTTTATCAGGTAGCAGACACACCCTCCTTTTCCTGAGAGGTGTGAGAAATTGTCTTTAATCATATATGTTAGTTCAAAAGCTAATTGTGATCTCATCTCTGCAGAAGAGTTGGGTGTAGGGGGAAAGGCACTTTAATATCAGAGCTGCAGCTACTGAGACAGGCTGGGATGTGGGACCCTTTACTGCAATGCTTGCACCTGGACAAACGTCTCCTCCAGCAACAGAATACAAAGAAACTATGAGAGACTAAAAATAACTGCATGCCTGCACAGTTGGGGCAAAACAGGAACAGGAAGATACAACAAGGCCAAAACCCACCTGCCACGATCCCTGCACACAGCACTACTGGGGAGGGGTGGGCAGACCCCCTAAGCCACCCTTCCGGCCCGGGGTTGAGCAAGGGCACCTGTTACTTGTTTTCACTCCCTCCCTGCTGCAGAATGAGTCCCAATAAAGACTTGCCTGAATTCCTCATCTGGCCTCTTATCAATTTCTATTGATTGAAAAATCCAAGGACCCTGGTTGGTAACACTACTGGTATGGAAAAGCTGGGACTCTTCACTGGTCTGAGACCTAAGGAAGTCTAAAAGGAACTTGCCATCTTCTAAATCTGCTTTTTTTCCCCTTTTGTGATTTTCTGTTAGTTATATCAAGATTTTCCCAGACACCTTGGCTCAGTACTTTTGTCTCTCTTTTGGCACCTGCATTTTTTAAAAAAACAAATCATGGTGATCTTACCTTCCTACTAGTTCTCAAATTTGTATCTTACTATTTATTTCCATTGTGTGTCTCATTACCATTAACTTGGATTACTTCAATAGGTTTCTAACTGGTGTTTTTGCCTCAGGTTCTTTTTTTCCTTCTCCAATCCATTCCTTAAAAGCTGCTTTTTTTTTTTTTTTAAAGCACACTTCTGGATAGGTCATACTGTTACCGACCTGGGTTCTTGGACTCTTTAATCATTATAAATTGATGAGGCCAGAAGAGAAATTCAGGCAAGGCTCTATTGGAGCTCATGCTTCAGCAGGAAGGAGTGAAAACAAGTAAACAGGTGTCTTTGCTGGCTCCCCGAAGCGGGGGTGGTGAGATGGTCCCTTAACTGGGGTGAGGGTATGGATGGATAGGTGGATCGGCCCGAGGGGTGGCTTAGGGCGTCTGCCCACCCCCCTGGTGGTGCTGTGTGCAGGGATCGTGGCAGGTGGGTTTTGGCCTTTTTGTATCTTATTGTTCATAATTTGCCCAACCACAGATGCATGCAGTTATTTTTAGTTCCTTATAGTTTCTTTGTGCTCTGTTGCTAGAGGAGAAGATGTTTGTTCAGCTGCAAGCACTGCAGTAAAGGGTCCCAGGTCCCAGGTCCCAGCCTGTCTCAATACTCCTGCTCATAACTTCTGGTGACTCCCCACAGAGTAGAGAATGAAATCCAGATAATAATAGGGCACTCAAACACTGCCACAGTCTGACCACACTTTCTCCATTATAATAATTAACTAGTTATTTCTTGAATGTAGCATGTGCTTTCCAGCTTTGGCTCACACTCTTCTATCTGGATTGACCCTTTCCATGAATCTTCATAAATTTCTACCAAGGCCAATGCAAATACCATCTCCTTAATTGGATGTTATTCCTCCCCTTTGATATTCATGTAGCAAGTTGTCATTATATATATATTTTTTGTTTGTTTTGTTGTTTTGTTTTTGCGGTACGCGGGCCTCTCACTGTTGTGGCCTCTCCCGTTGCGGAGCACAGGCTCCGGACGCGCAGGCTCACTGGCCATGGCGGGCCCAGCCGCTCCGTGGCATGTGGGATCTTCCCGGACTGGGGCACGAACCCGCGTCCGCTGCATCGGCAGGCGGACTCTCAACCACTGCGCCACCAGGGAAGCCCCATTATATATTTTATAGCACAGCTTCTATTCGGATGTCATCAATCTTGAGTCCTTCTCTGACCGCCCTATCCCCCGCTTAACACCCTCCACACCCTCCCTTCTCTACTTTTTAAAAGACCTCATCACTGCCTAGAATAGTATATATTTGCGAGTGCTCATGATTTTGTCTCTCCTCACCACTAGAATCTAAGTTCTGTGAGGAGACATACTTTGTCTCCTTGTTGTTGCTCATTGCCCACATATCCAGCACATAGAAGATTGCCTGGCACCACGCTAAATTCATCGATAATGATGTTCCTCGCCTTACAGCAGTCCTTTATTTGCTCAGTGGAAAAGCATAGGTGATTAGGAATCCATTCAAGGTCATACAAATTAAATCATAGTGAAGTAACTAATACTTATATCTTGGGTAAAGCATAAGCTGTGGACACTGAGGAAAGGTAGCCATAGATTAAATATGAGTGTTTAAATATGAATGATTTGAAAGTAGTTGTTGATGCCTTAATTAAGGGAGGACAATAAAAAGTGATAATTTGCAAGTAGTTCTGTCGACTTCAGTTAAGGTACAAATATTTTCATTGATTGTCTTGAAGAAGAGATAAAATAAAACTATCAATTACATATGAAGAATATGTCAAGGTTTAAATTTTTTTCAAAAATTGTGGAATTTTAAGGCAATGTTGAAGCCAGTAATAAGTTCAGTTAGTACAGCATAGTATTCCAGGAGAAGAAAGAGAAGACAAATATAGAGGAGCTTTGGTTAAGAAAATACATTTATATCAGAGTTGTCATTGTTGTTGTTTTGGCCATGCCACATGGCGTGTGGGATCTTAGTTTCCCAACCAGGGATCGAACCCATGCCCCCTGCAGTGGAAGTGCAGAGTCTTAAGCGCTCAACTGCCAGGGAAGTCCCCAGAGTTTTTAACATAGTGATCTTTCATTTAAACATTAAGATACAGAAAAGGAAGTTATAAAGGAAGGGATTAATTCAGTATTGCACAGCAGCAGTTCATAAGAATTTGGAGATCGCTTGTAAGTGTCAGGCCTACATCATATTTAATGGCTCTGGTAGGAACGTGATCTGAAGATTTTTTTAAGGCAATATTTCAAGTGATGATTACAGTTGATCCTTGAAAAGCACAGGTTTGAACTGCATGGGTCCATTTATACATGGATTTTTTTTCAATAGTAGATACTACAGAACTCCATAACCTCAGATTGGTTAAATCCATGGATGTGGAATTGTGGATAAGGAGAAACTGCAGATACTGAGGCACCATGGACACAGTGGACTGGAAATCATAGTGGATTTTTGATTGCATGGAGGGTTGGTGCCCTTAATCCCTGTGTTGTTCGAGGGTCAACTTATTTCCTTATAAACATCATGATAGGGACTTCCCTGGCGGTCCAGGGGTTAAGACTCCGCGCTCCCAATGCAGGGGGTCCGGGTTCGATCCCTGGTCAGGGAACTAGATCCTGCATGCTGCAGCTAAAGATCCCGCATGCCACAATGAAGATCTCGCATGGGACAACGAAGATCCCGTGTGCGGCAGCGAGGACCCAGAGCAGCCAAATAAAAACAAACAAACAAAAAACATCATGATAAAGGAAGAAGGGATATTTTAAGCCATAGCTTTTCAACCTGTATAGTTCATAAAAATTGAATTTCTCCCTCCTATTCCAATTTGTCCCCTATGAAGTACTTGGAGTCTGTCTTCCCAAACCCCACTTAAAAATGTGTCTTAAGTATATAGTATATGTATTCCTATTAATTGACTCTGTTATCTTTTACTTTCTCTACTCTGTAGTACAAATAACAATTTTTGTCTCTTTTCTAAATACTAAGTCTGATTTTGCTAGGTCCATATACATGCCTTCCCCAGACTCCATTCTGACACACATTAAGAAGCACTGGAGTAAGTGATCAAACATAGCATTGGGTGGGAACCAAATGTTAAGAGAAATGTTGATTGAATTGAACATAATTGAATTCAATCACAGACCACCAGATACAAAATGAACTGTCATTATTTTGGCCTAAATGAATTTAAGGGTTTGTTAATTATACTTGATTCCTTGTAATGTTAAAGTATGTCAGAGAACCCATTTTATTGTATTTTAGAAGAACCTAGTGACATATACAGTGTAAAAACTTAAATGTTTAAATATTTAAGAATCAAAGATCTGTTGTTGAGACTGTTGCTCTAATAGGTTATTTACTTTTCTTTCCTCTATTTTTAAAAAAGTTATTTATTTATTTATTGGCTGCGTTGAGTCTTCCTTGCGGTGTGTGGGCTTCTCATTGTGGTGGCTTCTCCTGTTGCAGAGCACAGGCTCTAGGCATGCGGGCTTCCATAGTTGTAGCTTGTGGGCTCTAGAGCGCAGGCTCAGTAGTTGTGGCGCATGGGCTTAGCTGCTCCACGACATGTGGGATCTTCCAGGACTGGGGCACGAACCCGTGTCCCCTGCATCGGCAGGCGGACTCTCAACCACTGTGCCACCAGGGAAGTCCCTCTTTCCTCTTTTTAAAGCAGGTCTTTTCCAGTCCTTTCTCCTTTATTATGTTAATTCAAATTATAGGATAAACCAGCAGTTCTCAAAGTGTGGTCTACAGACTCCTATTTATCCCCAGACCCCTTTGGTCCCTGAGATACTTTCTGAAGGTCTTGCAGTCAAAAGTATTTTCATACTAATACTAAGATGCTATTTTCCTTTTTCACCAATGATATTTGCCCCAATGGTGCAAAGGCAATGGTGGGTGAAATTGCTGGTCCTGTAGCACACACACATCACAGTGGCACCAACACACTGTAGAAGTGGTCTTCATCACATGCACTCATGGTTTAAAAAAAGCCAGTTTTACTTAAGAATACCAGATGAAGCAGTAAAAATATTCATTTTAATAAACCTTGACTCTTTAATACGTCTTTTTTAATAGTCTGTGATGAAATGGGAAGTACACATGGTGTACTTCTGCACCAAGTGGGAGTGTCTGCTCAAGGGAAAACACAAGCTAAACGAGCCATTTTTTCCATGGAACACCAGAAGGCCTAATAGACAAACTATAGTTATTCAGATCTAGGTTTCTGACAGACATTTTCTTGAAGATGAACAATGTGAGCCCATCTCTTCAGTGGAAACAATGGATGGTATTTGTTGATAATGAATATTTGAGCTTTTCAAGTAAAAATTGTAATTTTGGAAAACTTGTTTCTGTCAGTATGAGTTTGACAGCTTCCTAATTTTTTGATAAGATCAATGGTAATATTTTTGTGATTTAAAAAATAATATATGATCTGCATCAACATTTGGAAGATCTGTATAACTCAGTGAACCAACATTTTTGAAATGATCAATGCATGATGTTACAAAATGACTGGGTAAAAAGTCCATTCAAGGACAAATGTTGACTACCATTTTAATACAACAGAGTACAAAAAGTTCATTGATAAAATTTTAGATTCCACATTGCTAGCCTCAAAGAAATTACAATGATTTGAAAAGGCTAAAATTTAAAAAAATACTTGTCCCTTTTCCATTCACATCTGTGTGGTGTTGGATTTTCTTCATATATTTTAACCCAAACAACATATCACAACAGATTGAGGGCAGAAATAGATATGAGAATCTAGCTGGATGCCACTAAGCTAAATTTTTTTTTTTAAATTTCAAAAACTGTAAACCAATGCCACCCTTTTCACTAAATTTCTTTTGGAAAATATTGTTATTACTCATCAAATATATTTATGTTAATGGTGTGATGTGTTAACTCAGAGGGTGTTTTTTTGGATGAGATTAACATCTAATCAATGAACTTTTAAGTATAGCAGATTGCCCTCCATAATGTGGGTGGGCCTCATCCAATCAGTTGAAGGCTTGACTAGAATGAAAAGCCAGCCTCCTCAAGCAAGATGGAATTCTCCTGCAAACTGCCTTCAAACTTCATCTGATAAAGAATGAGTAGGAATTTAGCCAGAAAAGGGATATAGGAAACTGTGGGGGTCGGGAAACATTATCTGTGAAGGCTCAGAGGTGAGAAAGCATGGTGCATTGAAGTCACCACAAAAGTTTCTGTGTACTGCATGGAGAAGCATAAGAGAGGAAGCATAAGTAAGACAGCAAACAATAAAGGAGTTTGGAGTTGTCGAGTTTGGTTTTTTTTGTTTTGGTTTTTGGTTTGTTTTTGGCCCTGCCATGTGGCTTGCAGGGATCTTAGTTCCCCGACCAGGGATCAAACCCATGTCCCCTGCATTGCGAGCACGGAGTCTTAACCACTGGACCGCCAGGGAAGTCCCTGGAGTTGAGTTTGGAGATGAAAAGTGACGAGGTGAATTCTGGAGTTTAGACCAAGCAACCTGATAAATGAGAGGAAAGAGATGTGACAGGGGGCAAGAACTGAGCTGTTATCACAGTCCAGGGCAGAGAGAATTTAAATTAGGATCGTGATAATTTGGATGGAGACATGGGTGGATTTAAGGTTTTTAGGTGATAGAATCTCCAGACTTGACACAGGGTTGTATGTGGGTAGTGAGAGCGCAAGAGTTAAGGATTATTTCTGGATTTCTGGATCAGGCAACTGAATAGATGAATGAAGTCATCCGTGGAAACTGGAAACACTGAAAAAACAGTAGGGAACTATGAGTTCAAGACACATTGAGTTTACCAAAGTGTAGTTGTCCAGTAGGTAGCTAGATGTACTGACTTGTAACTCAGGGGAGGAGTCCAAGCTGCAAGTACAGATTCGGTAGTCATTAGCCATAGCTGGCAATTTAGGTCCTGGGGGAAGCTTAAATTGAACAGGGAACATGAGATCAAGCCCTGGGAAGTAAGTCTTCCTTCCAATAGATAATACAAGAACTACCGTTTCACGGTTTCTTCTTTAGTACTTTCTGCGTCATTCTCAGCAACTTGGAGGAAGCGTCTATGTCCGCCGGCACAAAGATGTTCGACAAGCAGGGCCAGAACAGCTGCCGTAGCTGTTACAGAAAACTGAGAAAGGCTCCAATGGTTGGAAAAACAAGGTCAACAGCCGTTGCTTCTCGGAGGACGAAATCAATTCCCGGATGGTGGCGGAGGCCGGCCCACGGGGAGATTCGAGAGGGTAGGCTGGACCCGAACTTGTTGCTATGGAGATGGGGCGGATTAAAGTGGCCGAACGAGATTATTCGAAAGGGACACCAAAGGTGAAAGGACTAAAAAAAGGGCGATGCCGGAAAAGGTAGTTATCTGGAAACAGCCAGACACGGAGGTTGAAACAGGCAGCCCTGCGAGGTCCGGTCGCTTGTGTTCCGGTCCATTTGTACACAAAGAGGGATCGGGCTCCGCTCGCCGGAAGTAGAACCTCTGCCCCCGGCGCATTACGCATCCTCCGCGCCGGAAGAGCGCCCCGCTCGGTCCGGCCGCTTCCCCCACAGCCCAGTAGGAGGGGCGGCTGGGCCGCCGGGCTGTGCAGCTGGGAGTCGTCGGCAGCGCGGAACTTCGGCGCACGAGGAGCCAAGGAGCGACCTGCGTTGCCGGGAGAGGGAGGGGGAAGGAAGGTCGCGTAGCGGGGCGACACGTCGCTGCGGAGGGATCCTGTTTCTGTTGGCGGAGGGATTTGGTCGCACGCCGACTTCCGGTGAGCCCCGATCCGAGAGGAAAAGCCCCGAAGGAAACAATAACAAACGCAGGAGGAAGCGGTTTTGGGGTTCGTGTGTTGAGCGGGTCTCGCCCGAGAAGATGAGCTTCGGCCCCTGTCAGGGGACGTGAGCGCAATCGCCGGGCCCCAGCCAGCGTTTCTCCCCGTGGGCCCCCGGTGCCACCATGGCGGCCGTGGGGCCGGGGGGCTACGCGGCGGAGTTCGTGCCGCCTCCGGAGTGCCCGGTCTTTGAGCCCAGCTGGGAGGAGTTCACAGACCCGCTCAGCTTCATCGGCCGCATCCGGCCCCTGGCGGAGAAAACCGGCATCTGCAAAATCCGACCGCCCAAGGTACTGGAGTCTGATCGGCTTAGCTCGACTTCCCGGTCCGCTGCCCTTTCGCGTTCGCTCGCACTGGCGTCTCGACACCTGGACTTTAAGTTTCTCCGTGTTTCCGCTTTGGTTTCTTTGGGGTCTTCGGTAGGCACGTCTGGACGCGAGAGTCGTGTCCCGGGGCCTATCCGCCAAGAGCTTGGGAACTGATACTTTTCTTCCCCTCTTGGGTTGTGGGCAAGGGTAACAAAGGCTTTCGGCCTTTCTTTGGCCGTAAGGTGACTGAAGTATCGTGACGTGACAGCCCTACCCTACCCTCGCGTATAATCCTCGTTACAGTGCGATAGGAAAAACTGCCGTTCCGTCGGCTCTTGCTTCCTCCTAGCCCTGCTGACGCTTCATTTATTAAGTATCTGCAGACCTTATCTCAGGGCTAAGGTTTCTTAAATGGTAATCTGAGCTCTAGTCGTCCCTTTAGGTGGTATCCCCAAACAAGCACCCCAGACTGATTACTGCGGCAGTGAAAAAAAGTCTTCCCGGGGAAGGAGAAGGAAAAAGCAATTATTTTAAACATTTAGAGGTTTAGAAAAAATTTGTCAATAATGGAGGTGGAAGAAAACGTTGAAATCTTAAAAACATAAGAATCGCAGTTACTGCATGTAACTGGGTTTGCCTCTAGGTTAGTTAGGATCCTGTCTTTACGGTGAGGAAAGCTGATACTACTCTTTGTTTTGCGGGGATTAGTGCCCCAAGAGGTTGAGGGTTTGCTCAAGGTCAAAGGTTTTTTCTCTACCCGTTAGGTCCAGTGCTTTCCAAATGATGTTCCTGGTCCACCTGCACTAGGGTCGACCGGATGCTTGTGAAAATGCAGATCCCTAGGCCTCATTCCCAGACTGGAATCAGTTTCGGGATATGGAAGTTCTAGAAACTGCTTTTCTAGCAAGTACTCTCCTGATTCTTAATGAACATTAAAGTTTGTGAACCATGTCTTAGTGCTCCTTAAAGGGATATCTTGCTTTATGTTTTGTCTACTAGTAATAAAATAAAATCCAGTCTTTTTACACCTTGTTGCATTTTAAAAAGCTTCTCTCACCGCAAACTAGCACAGAAGTGTGCAAACTACCACAGTGAATAAAAAGAGCTTAGATGGAGGGGGGAGGAGGAGCAGTTAGTGTAGCATTTACAGATGTTTTCATTTAATATTCTTTGAAGCCTCAGTAAGTAAATAAGGTCATTTTACAGATGAGACAAGTCTGGATAAGTTAAATAACTTATCAGATGTGTGATCTTGGGCAATGGCAAAGTAGATTTTGAATCTAGATCAGTCTATTTGTTTCTAAAACTTAGGCAAGCTACTTCCCTTATGCTCATTGAATTTGATTGCGATTATAGACTATCAGTTGCAAGCAAAGGATTAACAAATAATTGCTATGATGAGTGGTGGTATGTGTATTGGCATCCTTCCCAAAGTTCACTTAACTCTTTTATGAAAAATTTATTTTCACTTAATTCTTTTTCTATCAAGATTACCTGATATTGACAAGACCTTAAGCACTGAGGCTTTTCCTAAACCATATTTTCATTTATTCTGTTGCTTTAATGAATTAGAAATTCTATACAAGATTCCTTTTAGTTTAAAAATATATATATATGTATAGCTTTTTGTTACTTACAAAAGGTTGAAATAATATACCTTCTTTGTGTCACAATATTATTATTGAAAGTAAATGTTGTCTACAAGCAGAATTTAATTTCAATGTTGGTGGATTTCTTTAGTTTCCAAGGTAAGATAAAAACTTTTTTACTACTTTTCACATTTTTAAATAGATAACTATTTAGGCTAAATCAAACTATGGTCTCTGGAACTCTACTTGAAATGTGCTGTCTCATTTCAGTTATACCACATCTCCAATCTGGAAATTGTCCTTGTTCTGTGGGTTTGCTATTTTTTAAAAAATTTTAATATTGAAAAAAAAATTTGGGTGCCCAGAAGCTGGGCTTTGAACAAAACATTTATATAACATAGACTTTAAAGTGCTGTGTCACATTCCACATGAATGAAAAAACACATTGTCCAATTACATAAGTACTTTTAAAACATTACCTTTTGGTCTTTAATTTTACCTTTTTTTGTTTCTTTCAAATTCTATTTTCTTTTTATTTTGATAAACTTGGATGTTTACTAGATGCTGTATTGAGATGAGTTTATTGCATTCCACTTGAGTAATTGGGGAAAGCGTAATTGTCAGATATAAATAATGGGACTGTGAGATTTGAGGAGAAAATTGATAAAATAAGCTTAGTATTAGAATGTTAGAGATAAGTAATAATAAATTATTTTATCTAAAAAATATTATTCTTTTAGTCTCTAACTAAAGAAGACTTGTAAGTTGATCTGTTGTCAACATGATTTGTGGCAACTCACCCCTTAAATTAAGGGAATGAATAGTGCATTCCTTGCTTATTAACCAATATGGTGAAGAAATTTTTTCTATTTAGGATTGGCAGCCTCCATTTGCATGTGAAGTAAAAAGCTTCCGTTTTACTCCCAGAGTCCAGCGTCTGAATGAACTTGAGGTGAGTGTTGTTACATCACCGTTTCTGTCTCCTGATCTATTCTTTATATCAGGACTCCAGGTAGAGAACTTTAAGAAGCTCATGTACCAGGGCTCAAAATTAATGTTAATTGGGACTGAATGGAAGGAAGTTTCCGATTAAAAAAAATTGTTTATAGTAATTACAGTTTCTTCTGCTTAACTGGGATTTTGGGACACTATCTCTAGCCATGTTTTTCATGGTGGAAATATCCAGTATTTAGCTTTAGAGAACTGGAATTCTTAAATTCTACTTTCTTCAGTGCTAATTATTCTAATAAATTTTTCTTTTGTTAATGTCGGAGGATTCTATATCTTGTAGTTTTTGGAAAACAGTTTTAAAAATTCTTCTATTAAAAAAACCTAGTTTTCCAAGGTGTTTTTTGTATGTTTGTTTGGTTTTTTGCTCTAACAGAACTTTTCTAGGACTCTTAATATGATTTATTAAGATCTCCCTTTAAACATTTTGAATGTCTCTTAAATTTCTAAGTTGAAATCTGTTTAGATAGTTGTTCTTCCTGTTTTTGAGATTTTCAGAAGATTCTTCAATGTGGTAAAAAACTTCCAGAGTACAAAAGAGAAATCTTAGACAGTTAGGGCTTAATGTGTCATGCTGAGTTTGTTTTTTTTCCTTGCTGCTCCTAAAACATTTATTTTTTGAGATTTTAATACCTTTTTTTTTTCCTTTAGTCTCTTATAAGATACTTGATGGAGGATCTTAATATCAGTGAGGTGGAGAGTTGGTGTACTTGAAGTATGCATATTATCTCTAGATGAAATGACAGGTTTAGAATGCTTAGAAAAAATAATTCGATTTACTAAATTTTCTGATTAGCTTAAAGTTAACTTTTACAAAAAATTGCTTTGGTTGATAATATGAGAACTTTTCACATATATTAGAGTAACTTTTTTGTCTTAGTAAAGTTTAATAGAAGTATTTTGCTTCTTTTTTATTGACTTATAAGGTTGGACTAAGCAGTAATGAGAAGTCTGAATTTCTTTAAAGAAATGAGTACCTTTGTTAAGTAAAACTCATTTACTTTCACCAAAACTTAATTCCTATCTCTCATTTCTGTATTTTAATAATCTCAGGCAATGACCAGAGTGAGATTGGACTTCTTGGATCAACTAGCAAAATTTTGGGAGCTTCAGGGGTCTACCCTCAAGATCCCTGTGGTGGAGAGAAAAATTCTGGATCTCTATGCTTTAAGCAAGGTGAGGCTTGTACTTTGTTAAGAAATTGAACAGGGGCTAGTGAATTTATGAAATTAGGAATTTCAGATATACTTGATGGAAAACATCGCTTCCTATGTAGGATTTGTTTGACAATGAAATGCAAGCATGAGTAAATGGAAATGATAGATTTCCAAGTTATTTTTAAAATCTATTTTATAGTTTGTTATGAGATTAATATTTAATAGCTACTCAGATTAGTAGGTTCTGTTTACACAGTATGCAACAGAAATGACAGAGGCATCCTAATATTATTTTGTATGAAATGAACAATGTCCTATATTGAGCTTGTCAGCTTTTTTTCTGCTTCTTAATTGAAAATTTGGTATATTAAAGAGATTAATGTCACTCAGCATTCTCATGTGTGGTACATACCAGTTGTATTAATACCTGTAAGCAGTGTTAGTGGTTAACTGAGGGCAGCATTATCCAGTAGGATGAATATTAACTTTGTAATGTTACGTTCCCTAATGTGAAAAAAACTAACTGACCTGCAACAGGGTTTGTAACGATGACCTTGACAACATATTTTGTTAATACAATAAGAAAAATCTATGACTGCTCTGACTTGTGAATGAAGATAGCTTGATTATCTGAGGAATTTTGCAGAACAATTTATTTTTTATGTATTTTTTTATGTACGTATTTATTTATTTATGGCTGCGTTGGGTCTTTGTTGCTGCGCGTGGGCTTTCTCTAGTTGCGGCGAGCGGGGGCTACTCTTCGTTGCGATGCATGGGCTTCTCATTGCGGTGGCTTCTCTTGTTGCGGAGCATGGGCTCTAGGCGCGTGGGCTTCAGTAGTTGTACCTGGTGGGCTCAGTAGTTGTGGCTTGTGGGCTCTAGAGCACAGGCTTCAGTAGTTGTGGTGCGCAGGCTCAGTAGTTGTGGTGCACGGGCTCTAGAGCGTAGGCTCAGTAGTTGTGGCACACAGGCTTAGTTGCTCCGTGGCATATGGGATCTTCCTGGACCAGGGCTCGAACCCGTGTACCTTGCATTGGCAGGCAGATTCTTAACCACTGTGCTACCAGGGATGTCCCAAAACAACTTATTTTTGTGGCCTTTCATATGCTATGATTGATAGGCTGTTTTGAAGTGAAAATTTATTCTCACTTTAGGAAGCTTCCACTTTCAAGGAATAAAAACGCTAGAATAATTATATTTAAATTATTTTTTATGATACATTTAAAAATTAATGTCAGGTCAGAATTCTCTAGAATTTTTGTTTTATGTAGTACTAAGCATTTTGGAAAGTATAGTCTTACGCTAAAATAGCAGTGCTAGGCTTATTTTATCAGTAAGGTAATGATATCAGTAATTAGGGACTGTGAAAATCATCTCATGCAGTTGTATAAAAAAACTATGATACTGGGGCTTCCCTGGTGGCGCAGTGGTTGAGAGTCTGCCTGGCGATGCAGGGGACACGGGTTCGTGCCCCGGTCCGGGAGGATCCCACATGCCGCGGAGCGGCTGGGCCTGTGAGCCATGGCCGCTGAGCCTGTGCGTCCGGAGCCTGTGCTCCGCAATGGGAAGAGGTCACGGCGGTGAGAGGCCCGCGTACCGAAACAAACAAACAAACAAAAAAACTATGATACCAACGGGCAAATTATAGTGAATTTGAGGGATAGGTTTTTGTCTTGTAGGAAACCATTAGGATAAAAAATTTGTTTTGAGAATTCTCTTTTTTGACATTTCTGTTCAGTGAAAACTTAACTACTAGCTTTTCTTTTTTTTGGCTGCATTGGGTCTTCATTGCTGCGCGCGGGCTTTTCTCTAATTGCTGCAAGCGGGGGCTACTCTTCATTGTTGTGCGTGGGCTCCTCATTGCGGTGGCTTCTCTTGTGGAGCACGGGCTCTAGGCGCGCAGGCTTCAGTAGTTGTGGCTCGCGGGCTTAGTTGCTACGCGGCATGTGGGATCTTCCCAGACCAGGGCTCCAACCCGTGTCCCCTGCATTGGCAGGTGGATTCTTTTTTTGCGGTACGCGGGCCGCTCACTGCTGTGGCCTCTCCCGCTGCGGAGCACAGGCTCCGGATGCGCAGGCTTAGCTGCCACGGCTCATGGGCCCAGCCGCTGCACAGCATGTGGAATCTTCCTGTACCGGGGCACGAACCCGTGTTCCCTGCATCGCCAGGCAGACTCTCAACCACTGCGCCACCAGGGAAGCCCTTAGACGTGATTTTGACACACTTTGATTTCCACTACTTTTTAGTGGGAAGCAGATTTTCAATCTCCTGAGTCATTAAATTATCAATGTGATTGTTTCCTGTTTTGATTAAGTCACTTTGTCTTTCTCCCTGGTTATTATTTTTGATAGTAAAAAGTGTTACTTGGAATGTCTGTAATTTAGTGGAATTCTGCATTAACAATTACTGTTTATAATCAGTGCAGCAAGGAACAATTATTTTAGCCATTTTTAAAAGAAATTTTTGTCAAAGTAATACATTAAAAAAAAAATAAAGCTTAAAATAAAACCCAGCAATCTCCCTTCTTCATCTCTCCACTCTCTTTACTACTCCTTAGAGCTAATCACTTTCATTTCTTTTAGCTGTTTGATTTTGATCTCCATATTTCAAAAAAACATGCTCATTATGCTATTTCTTCATTTTTAAGTGTTAAATATCATATACGTACTGATTGCCTACTATTAGAGATTGGCAATGGGTATAAAAATTAAATTCTTATGTACTTCAGGTACCCTATTCCCTTATAGTGTAGTTAGGTCAATTTTTTATTAATCAGAAATTATTGCTGTGACTGTATAAATACAAATTTATTTGTACCTGTGCCTAATGGTGTGGTATGATTATGTCTCATGTTAATAGTGTGCTATAATTATGTTACCAGTTTTTATTTTCCTTGGACTTAAGAGTCCCGTTGCCTTTCTTCATTTTGTAAGTTTTCCTTGTGACTATTAAAATTTTATTTTCAGATTTTCCAGAAGTATAAATCTCTCAGTGTGCTCTCACCCATCAGAAAATCTGCCAGTTTCCTTTCCTTCTTGGATCCCTTCCTCTGGAGTTCTCTTTCCCGCTCCAGTCCAGACTAGTTTTTTTTTTTTTTTTTAAGGTCAGCTCTCAGCTTAGAACTTCTTTCACTATTATCATTCTGGGAATTCCCTTTGTCTTTCTCCTTGTTTTAAGTCTTCCTATTACTTGGTTTATTTCTATTTTAGTAAAACATTTCTTCTGCTAGTTTGATGAGCAAGAAGAAAAATGGAATGTAAACTTTTTGCTTGTCTGAAAGTGTTCTGCTCTTAAACTTTATTGGTAGTTTGGTGGGTTTAGAGTCTAGACTGCAAATCATTTTACTTCAGAATTGTATTTTGAAAGCTTTACTTCATAGTCTTCTAGCTTCCAGTGTTGCTGTTGAGAAGAATGATGCTATATTAATTCTTGTGACTTTTTCTTGAAGACACAGGGTCTAATCTTTATTCCCAGTGTTTTGAGATTTCACAGTGGATATGCGGTGGTATGTGTTAATTTTCATTGAATATGTTGATTGCACTTGATGACCTTTTTAATCTGAACTCACCTCTTTGAGTTCTTGTAACTTTTCTTGTGTTAACTCTTTGACGGTTTGTTCCACTTACTTTTTCTTTCTTTTTGAACTCTTATTGGTTGGATGTGAGACTGTTAGACCGATCCTTTACTTTACTTACCTGTTTCTTTCTTAGGTTAAGAGTCCCTTCTTTTCAAACTCTCCTGAGAGTAAATAAATCTCCAGGCTTCTACTGTTGTTGGAGAGGGATGGTTGCCTGGCGTGCTAACCGGGGGAGGTCTGATTGCTTTTATACAGGTTTTCAGTCAACACTGTTCTTTTTAAATTTAATTTTAAAGGTACTGCTGCTTCCATTTCTTAAGCCTTTCCAGGTTCTATGTTGCGAAAGCTTCTTGTTAGCTTTCTTCTGTTGCAAGTGCTTGGGGCTTTTTCGTCTGTTTTTTTGTTTTTGCTTGCTAGATGATCATTCCTACATCTGCTTTTCTCTTGGTCTTTTTGTCCTCTTGGGAGTATGCCTTTTTGTCCCTTCCTTTTTAGTGGAGCTTTTAAGTAGAAGACTGCTGCTGTTTTTTGTCTGTTAAAATTGTCTCTTGCTAACTGGACTTAGTTTTTCATTGGACTGAAATTTTGGCCTTGAGTGGCATTACTCTTGTTAAGTTTTAATTAAGGGGCTGTCTTCATTGTGTTCAGTTTAAGTGCATGCCGTGTATTTCTTTATAGGGCATGGGTCATGTGATGTTTTTCTAATGACAGTGGTGTGATATAGTGCATGGCAAATGTTTGGAATAAATGGTTTATATTTTGAAATTATGCATGGTAATCCTTGACTCTCTCAGCTGAAGAAAAGCAAGTATTAAGGTTTTGTGTGTTTTTATAGTATTAGGCCCGGTTAGATTGTTATAGAGTATCTAAACATGAAGCCAAAGTCATGGCTTTGATTTCTTTGTTAGTTTTGTCTTACCCTTGGCCATCCCCGATTATGGTGCTGTCATTGTCACAGCTGTGTGCCAGAAATGGTCAGAGCTGGGTGGGAAGCATGACTGGATCCGTGCAGCTATATCATTACTGACAGAAGCAGATTATTATGTAATTGTGTTGGGAAATGCAGATTACTGAGAGGGCTCCTGTTTCCTCTCTTAGACTTTTACTGCTCCTCCCCAGTTGCTTCAGCCACAGTGGTTTCCTTATTGCTCCTCAACATGCTAGGCAGGCTCCTCATGGGGCCTTTACTCTGGCTGTTCCCTGCCCTGTATATCTGCTTGGGTAACTGCTTCACCTCCTTCAAGTCTTTGCTCAAGTTTCACCTTCATAATGAGGCCTTTTGTGACTCTTTGACGCTTCAATTTACCCTCATTCTCCTACTTGGGAGGCTTTTAAATTACTCTTTAAAATTTTTTTCACAGCGTTTGTCACTTCAAAATTGACATGTTATGTTTAGTCTTCCACTAGGCTGTAAGCTCCAACAGGGCAAAGATCTTTATTTTATTCATAGCTGTATCTCCAGCACCTAGAACTGTAGCTGACAGAGTAGAAACCCTGGGAAGCTATGAATGAAAGGCATTCTCACTCATCCATTTGCTTCCAGACAGCCCTCTATCCAAACCACCCTTAATGTGTCTTTCTCTACACTACAAAATTTGAAAAATATATATATATTTTTTTTGTGGTACGCGGGCCTCTCACTGTTGTGGCCTCTCGTTGCGGAGCACAGGCTCCGGACGCGCAGACTCAGTGGCCATGGCTCACGGGCCCAGCCGCTCCACGGCATGTGGGATCTTCCCGGACCGGGGCACGAACCCGCATCCCCTGTATCGGCAGGCGGACTCCCAACCACTGCGCCACCAGGGAAGCCCTGAAAAATAAATTTTTTTCTCTACATGATTTTTCCCTGGTTGGCTCTCATTAACAGAGGGAGCTTCTTTGAGGATGTAATAAGAAAAGCTAAAGAATTGAAGATGGGTTCCACTCCTGTGCACATGAACTTCTGTGTTTCTATCAAGCTTTCAGATACTTCACTAGAGGAGAATTTTCCTTTGGCTATAGTTTCATCTTTGCTATAATAAAATCCTAAGCACAATAGTAGAAAATGTATCCTTTACTTATTTATAGCATGTATATTCTCCCCCCAACCCCCAACTTCCCCCCCACACAGACATTTATAATACAGCCAACATTGATACAGTGTTTACTGTGTCCCGGTGCCATCCATTCATTCATTCATTTTGGCTGCGCTGTGTCTTAGTTGCCGCACACGGGATCTTCGTTGCTGCACGTGGAATCTTTGTCGTGGCATGCGAACTCTTAGTTGTGGCATGCATGTGGGATCTAGTTCCCCGACCAGGAATCGAACCCGGGCCCCCTGCATTGGGAGCATGGAGTCTTAACCACTGCACCACCAGGGAAGTCCCTGTTCTGGTGCTTTTCATGTTTTAATTTGTCTTCACAGCAGCCTCATAATAAGGAATAGATAACTGTTATTATTACTCTTTTAATAATGGTGAGGAGTCTGAGATGCAAATTATGTAACTTACCCAAGGTCATACAACTACTGAGTTAGCAGAGCTGGGATTTGAACTCTGGTAATCTGGCTCTGGAGTCCATGCTCTTAGCCTTTAAAAAAAAGTTGTGGTGAAACGTACATAACTGTTTACTGCTTTTCAGTGTACAATCTTATGGCCTTAGATATTTTCAAAGTGTTGTACAACCATCACTACTGTCCATTTCCAGAACTTACCCCTCCCTGTACCACCTGGTAAAACCATTATCATACTTTCTATGAATTCACTTATGCTAGGTTATCTCATTTAAATGGGATCATACAATATTCATCTTTTTGTGTTTGTGTTATTTCACTTAGCATAATGTTTTCAGGGTTCATCCATGTTGTCACATGCATCAGAGTTTCATCCATTTTTTTTTTTTTCATCCATTTTTAAGGCTGAATAATATTCCACGTATGCCTTTACCACATTTTTTTTTATCCGTTCATCTCTTGATGGATATTTGGGTTGTTTCTACCTTTTGGCTATTGTGAATAATGCTCCTGTGAACACTGGTATGCAAGTACTGTTTGAATCCCTGCTGTCAGTTCTTTTGGCTATCTCCCTAGAGGTGGAATTGCTGGGTCATATGGTAATTCTGTTTAATTTTTCTCTTAACTTTTTGATATAGTAGAATACAGTAGTGTACACTCAAAGAGGAAAATTGTTTTGAATTCAAATAACTTAATCACACTCTTTATTCTGTCATCAGTGAAACTGAAAACTGCCTATATTTTAGAATGTGAGAGATGTACATATCAGTTTCTGGAAGATGGGGGCCTGGGTACATGTCTGCTCTATACTGTGGCTGGTTTGACGTGAGCATTCAGCAAAAATTGGCCAATTTATCCCATTACTTCCTACCTTAATACATTCTGTGCTATGTTCTAGTACATCTCCGGAATTTATTTTTCCCCATCATTTCTTTATAATATTCTGTGTAAAGCCTTTCTCTTTTTGAAAAATTACAGCCTCTTTTTCAAAATATCCTCTGAATCCACTGTTTGTTTGACATTTTTGTTAAATCCTGTAAGTTAGTTGCTATATTTTCTAGTATCGGGATTTACATTCACTTTATATTATATAATAACATTCACATGTCTATACTTGGTCTGTTTTTAATTTTTATTTATATTTTGAATTCCATGTGGATATAGAGTACATATATGTATTTAATTTTCTCAAGGTGCATAGTGTGCAAAGCATAAATTCATTAAATATTTTTGAATGCTTGGTTCATTGAAGGTACGCACAGTGACCAGTAATAGAGTTTAAAACTTCCAGAAGTTATTGTCTCTTTTCCATACTTTAAATGTTGATGAGTTTCAATTTTGTCACATATTTCTTGAAAGGAAATATAAAATCTAGGCCCAGAATAATTTTTCCATTTAGCAGACAAGATGTAGAGTCAGAATACATGAATCTACCTCTTTCCCTAAATAATTTTTACTTTCTTTTCAGATTGTTGCCAGCAAAGGTGGTTTTGAAATGGTCACCAAAGAGAAGAAATGGTCTAAAGTGGGTAGCCGCTTGGGATATCTGCCAGGAAAAGGAACTGGGTCTCTTTTGAAGTCACATTATGAAAGAATTCTCTACCCATATGAGCTTTTCCAGTCTGGTGTCAGCCTTATGGTGAGATGCATCACTTTTTTTAGGAGTGGATAAATCCACTCTGCCATATATAAACTTTAGATTGTTTACTATAACAAGATAGCAATTGGCTATGATTTCACCAGGTACTGAAATTTGGGGGGAGCAAGGTGTAGTTTAAAAATCACAGCTATTTTTGGTGGTTTACAAGATAAAGGCTAATGGGAATGAAGAAAGTTTTCTTATTAAAATGTGTAAGCTTATGCAAGACTTACGCTTTTAAAAAAATTCCTCCACTTGGTTTCATGTATTTTTTTTTTGAACAGCTTTATTGAGGTATAATTTACATACTACAGAATTCACCTATTATAGGTACACAGTCAATAAGCTTTAGTAAATTATACATTTATGCAACTATCATCACCATCCAGTTTTAGAACACTTCCATCAGCTCTCAGAATTCCTTTGTGTTTGTTTATAGCTGGTTCTTCTACCCTCAAACCTGGACAACTCCTGATCTGCTTTCTGGCTCTATAGTTTTGCCTTTTCTAGAAATTTCATGTACATGGAATCATACAGTATGATTTTGTGTATGGCTTTTTTCACTTAGCCTAATGTTTTTAAGGTTCATCTATGTTTTAGTATTCGTACTTCATTCCTCTTTATGGCTGAATAATACTCTATTGTATGGATATACCACATTTGTTTATTCATTTATCACTTATGGACATTTGGATTGTTTCCAGTTTATGGCTGTTATGAATAATGCTATGAATATTCATGTACTAGTCTTTGTGTGGACATACGTTTTCATTTCTCTTGGGTAGATACCTAGGAGTGGAATTGCTGGGTTATACGGTAAGTTTACGTTTAACTTTTTAAGAAACTGCCAAACTGTATTCCAAAGTGGCTGAACCACTTTACATTCCCGCCAGTAATGTAGAGGCTTCCAGTTTCTGCACATCTTTGCCAACACTTGGTATTGTCAGTTTTTTTGCTTACAGCCATTCTAGTGGGTGTGTAGTGGTATCTCATTGTGGTTTTAATTTTATTTCCCTAATGACTAATGGTGTTGTGTATCTTTTCATGTGTATATTAGCCATTTGTATATCTTCCTTGATGAACTGTCTGCTCAAATCTTTTTTTTTATTGGGTTGTCAGTCATTTTATACTTGTTTTAAGATTTTGCTAAATAGTCTGGATATAAGTCCTTTATCAGATGTATGATTTTATAAATATTTTCTTTAGTTTGTGGTTTGTCTTTTCATTTATAATGGTGTCTGTTTGAAGAGTAATCTATTGATTTTCTCCCTTTTTATGGATTGTGCTTCTGTTATCATATCTAAGAAAATCTTTTCTTCACCTAAGGCCAAGTGTTTTTTTTTAATAGTTTTAGCTTTTATGTTTAGGTCTGTGACCCATTTTGAGTCGTTTTTTTGTGTATAGTCTGAGTTAAAGGTATAAGTTCATTTTGGGGGCAGCGGAGAGGGGGTATAGGAATATCCAATTGTTCCAGCACCATTTGTTAAAAGACTACCCTTCTCCCATTTACCTTACCAAGGTGATTTACCTTGGCACCTTTGTTGAGAATCAGTTGACTATAAATATGTGGGTTTATTTCTAGTCTGTTTTGTTCTTTGTTTGATCTGTATGTTTTACCCTAACACCAATACTATGCTGTCTTGAGTACCATAGCTTTATAGTAAGTTTAGATATCTGGTAGTGTAAGTCCTCCAGCTTGGTTCTTTTTTCAAAATTTCCAAACAGTTTGCATTTCCACATAAATTTTGGGATCCACTTCTCAATTTCTACAACAGAAGCCTGCTAGGATTTTGATAGGGATTGTCTTGAATCTATAGATAAGTTTGGTGGGAGAGTTGTCATCTGGTTTCATGTAGTTTTAGGGATTTTTTAGAAATTTATTATTTTTCTCCTTATTCTCAAATCTGATTTCTTACAAGTGAATCTGCCCTCTTCCTGTGCTCTCAATTCTTTAGGGTGTACAAATGCCTAATTTAGATCTTAAGGAAAAAGTGGAGCCTGAGGTTCTTGGCACTGATGTCCAAACTCCCCCAGAGCCGGGCACAAGAGTGAACATTCTGCCGAAGAGAACAAGGCGTGTCAAGTCTCAGGTATCAGTTTCCATGGGCCGCTTTTGACAGGCGTTTCTAGAGTGTTGACTGTGCAGAACACTTACTTGGCTCTGGGAGGTCATTCACGTGCTGTCGTTCTTTAAAACTCGGAGACACGTTTCCATATACCTTTGAGATGAATGAGGAAGGGATTGTAAACTTCAGTCTGATTTGATTTAGAGAGTTCTTCGTTAATTTTGAACAGCTATGACAGGGGTGGTGGTTCAGAGAGTGACTCTGGATACTGTAGGGCCAATTTCATAGACATGCTGATGAATTCTAGTATATTTTATTTTCGTGGTTAGTATAAGTGAGAAGAATAGGAAAGAGTGGTTTTATCTTTACTCATCATTCCTTTAAAAACCAGTGGGTAAGTTTCTTAGTCTCCGAACCATTCCAGTGTAATTTCTACAGTGTTCTTGTGACCTGGAATAATTTTAAAGCCTAATGAATACATCGGAAGAAAAATGCCCTAATTTCTTTTTGTCTGCCCCTCTTCCCCTCCACCTTTTTCCTATTCCCATTTCTTTGTGGTCCTCGAAGTTGTGTTTCTAAAGGTTTTTGATAAAGACAATCTGTAGGCTGGGGAGAGTGAGGTGCCCTTAGGACTCTTGAGATGTGGCCCATTTAAATTAACATATGGGTGAACTGGGACAGCAGCTTTTCTGGGTCCTAAACACATTTAAGGATGGAAGTGGTTCACATGGAAAGTGGGTTCACTATTAACAAGAGATACTGGATCTGGGGTTGTGAGGAGTCCTGTCACTGTAGAGGCAGGCTAATGATACTTCATCTTGCTTTTCTGTAGCTCAGGGGATATGTCTCTTTCATGCCATGTCTACTTTCCTTGTTCTGAGTTTATGCTCGCTAAATAACCTCCTGATTAATAATTTAGCTTCTTAGGTACTCTGATAGCAGAAAGGTAGGTGTCTTGAATGGGGCATGTGAATTTAATGGAAATTTTTGGAAAATGATAGCTCTATTTTATTTTTTTAATTTTAAAATTTATTTATTTTTTTTGACTGCATCGGGTCTTCATTGCTGTGCGCGGGCTTTCTCTAATTGCGGCGAGCAGGGGCTACTCTTCGTTGTGGTACACGGGCTTCTCGTTGTGGTGGCTTCTGTGGTTGCAGAGCACGGGCTCTAGGTGTGTGGGCTTCAGTAGTTGCAGCACTTGGGCTCAGTAGTTGCAGCACGCAGGCCCTGGAGCATGCGGGCTTCAGTAGTTGCGGCGTGTGGGCTCTGGGGTGTGCGGGTTTCAGTAGTTGTGGCTCGCGGGCTCTAGAGTGCAGGCTCAGTAGCGGTGGCACACTGGCTTAGCTGCTCTGTGGCATATGGAATCTTCCCGGACTAGGGCTCGAACCCGTGTCCCCTGAATTGGCAGGTGGATTCTTAACCACTGCGCCACCAGGGAAGTCCCAATAGCTCTATTTTAAATTAGTAAACTCTGGTTTGGTTGTTAAGTGATTTTTATTACCATGGTTGATCTCAGAAGTTCTGATCGTCTTTGGGTATATAGTGAAGATTCTGTCTTAAGACCTGAAATACTTGAAGACTAGTCTCTTTGACATGGTGACTCAACTTTGAAGAGTTGCCCCAGCTGGGCCCATTTAATCAGTTGCCAGCTTGTGAAATCCCTTGATGTTCCTTCTGAAACCATGAAAAAAAAGTCCTGCTTATTTCTGATTGCCTTTCATCAGATTATATAATGATTGCCATTCATTATGTAACAATAGGGACTACACAGAATACTTTTACCCATTGCAGTAATTGTTGCTGTAGTCAGATTGATTGATATTGGATTGATATTGGAACCATTTGAGGATTTGCAATTAAGAATTTCTTCACCTTGCAGTTTGTCCTTAATTAATGTTGCCAGTCTGCCTCATTCCTAGTCTTCTATTTCAGAAAGACAGTAAAGGCTTTCTGGTAGAACTTCAACCTCTTGCCCCATACATGAAACTATCTGGTGTTCATTCTTAATCTCTACCTATCTCTGTGGGCAGAGTGTGCCTTTTTCTCCAAGGGTAATCCTTCTACTCCCATCCTTCCCGGCTTTAAAAACAGAAGCCCTCTTCCTAGATAGTTCCTTACTCCTTGCCTCTTTTCATGAAGAAGTTCCCTGGAAAATCATCTATATTTTCTCAGTTTCCTCAGTATCTGTTTAGTTTTTAAACCCTGTAATCGGACTTTGAGCTAAATAATTTCCTTGAAACTACACTATTCAAGTTACCACAGAGTTAATAATTGTCAGATGCTGAGACCCCTTTTTCATTTCTTAACCTACTTCATCTCTGATCATGTTTGCATTTCTTGAAATTTGCTTTTTCTTTGGCTTCTGTGACACCTCTCTTCTCGTTTCCCTCGTCCTCTCTGACCACTCCTCAGTAATCTTTGTTATCTCTTCTCTCTGCCCTTCATGTAGTGCTCTCAGTCTTCCTTATCTTCACTCTACCCAGCTGTCTCTTCCACCCTGTGATTTGTTACTACCTATCTCTCAGGACTCCTAAATAAGTCATGACATCCGTGCTTCTTCCCTGTTCACCAGGGGTCTTGAGTGCATGTGTGTATATGTATGCCTTGGTGGCCACACACAGCTAAACTCAGTATGTCGCGAACATTATCACCTTTTCTAAATCTGTTTTCTTAAAAAATATTTTCTAGCTTGGTGATAGTGACAAGCACAGCCATCGAATAGTTTCCCAAACAAGAAATGGAAGTTAAGAAAGTTATCCTACTTTCCTTTCCCATCTCTATCACATCGCTTGATATACTCTGCTTTAATTGGTTTTTTCTGTGACCTCACTAGAATGAGTTCCTTGAAAGCTGAGATTGCAGTTTGTTTATATCAAGAATGACCAAACCCTTAACACTTATACATTAGAATGCCAGTATGTCCCATTTTTGGTGACACTAAGTTTGAGCCAGCACTTCTTCATTATAATGTACTATTCTCCTTGTAATAAAAGTAATCAGAGTAAACTATAAGACTGTGGGAATAACTTGTTTTCCATTAACTTTCCATTATTTTTCAATAACAATATTTCCATTATTCCATTAACTTGTTTTACCCAATAGTTTTAACATTCATTGATAATCCTTGCCTCAGTTAATTATGTTGGTGGTTGCAAACCAGGTGATTTTCTGGTTCTGTCATTTCTTCTATGTTTATTAGTTAGCATTTTTCTTTAAAAAAACTCTACTCCCACGCTTGAGTATTTTTCATACAGTAAAATGTGTATATCTTAAGTGTACAGCTTGATGAATTTTGATGAATGTATATACCTATGGAACCAACCTTGAGTGTCCCTCCTCCTTTTATAGTCTCACTATAGAGCATGACTTTTTTGATAAATGTCTTATAACCTATTACTACTTTTTATTCCTTTTTGATACTTGAATTGTTCCAAATTTGGCCTGCGGGAGCCCCTTCAAGAGGTTCATATGTTCTTTGACAAGTCTCCGTCAGTTTTTTTTTGTTTTTTAATTAATTAACTAATTTATTTATTTTTGGCTGTGTTGGGTCTTCGTTGCTGTGCGCAGGCTTTCTCTAGTTGCGGCGAGCTGGGGCCACTCTTCATTGCAGTGTGCGGGCTTCTCACTGCCGTGGCCTCTCCCGTTGCGGAGCACACACTCTAGACACGCAGGCTCAGTAGTTGCGGCTCACGGGCTTAGTTGCTCCACGGCATGTGGGATCTTCCCAGACCAGGGCTCAAACCCGTGTCCCCTGCATTGGCAGGCGGATTCTTAACCACTGCACCACCAGGGAAGCCCTCTCCATCAGTTTTTGAGCACTTACTTTCTAGCACAAAGAATCCCATTGTCTTCTTGCCGTGACTTAGACCTGGAATCAGCCATTTCTCCAAGGAATCCTGGTTCACTTTAGTGGGAAATGGTATTTAGAAGCCAAGATTTGAGCACAAGGTGTGCTTGTTCCTACTGGGATACCATTGCTTGTAGCCCCTTCTGGTGGCCAGGGCTGGGAAATCAATTTTTAAAAATTGTGACTTTATATTTTCAGCTCATACTGATAATTCTAGTCCTAATCTAGCATCACAAAGTTCTTTTGGTTTATGTTGTAATTGTTTTCTTAGCATTTTGAGTTGGGAACTTAATTCATTTATTCCTGTTCTTTTGCTTTGATTGCTGTGTTTAAGACTATAGAATTTCCTGTGATTATTTCTTTCCTTTGTTCCAGAGATTCTGATATATGATATATGTGATATATGTATATACAGAGAAAAAATTCCAGGTGGAAGGGCCTTTTGATTTTGTTTTTTTGTTGTTTTTTTTTGCGGTATGCGGGCCTCTCACTGTTGTGGCCTCTCCCGTTGTGGAGCACAGGCTCCGGACGCGCAGGCTCAGCGGCCATGGCTCACAGGCCCAGCCGCTCCGCGGCATGTGGGATCCTCCCGGACCGGGGCACGAACCCGTGTCCCCTGCATCGGCAGGCGGACTCTCAACCACTGCACCACCAGGGAAGCCTGGGCCTTTTGATTTTTGATGTTATTTCTAGCTTTATGCCAGTAAGATCAGAGAATGTTGTCATATTATTTCCACTTTTGGGGACTTTATTGTCTGTCTGAAAAGGTGGTTGTAAGGATTAATTGACTAGAATACTTTGATATGGCATATACTATATACTCACTATGTTAGCTTTTATTACTATGTACTTTGCTTTAACAGTGGTAAAGAATGTATAGTGTTAGGGGCTTCCCTGGTGGCGCAGTGGTTGGGAGTCCGCCTGCCGATGCAGGGGACGTGGGTTCGTGCCCCGGTCTGGGGGGGTCCCACATGCCGTGGAGCAGCTGGGCCCGTGAGCCATGGCCGCTGAGCATGCGTGTCCGGAGCCTGTGCTCCGCAGCAGGAGAGGCCACAGCAGTGAGACGCCCGTGTACTGCAAAAAAAAAAAAAAAAGAGAATGTGTAATGTTAATGTTTTTCATTGGACTGACTATAGGTTAATATAACCAAGTCAGCCTACCAAAGTTTAAAGATACATTTTGAAATGCCATTTTGGTTGGTTTGGTTCTTATATGCTCTTTTAGTAGTCCAGGCTGCCTGTGTCTGTCTGCTGTTAGGTCGCCATAGACTTATAAAGTAGTCTATTTTATCCTGGTTTATTTTTATTCTTATCGACTAAGTATATTTTAAGTAAATTTTGGTTATTACCCTGCATTCAGAGATTATCTAAATTCAAGGTGTAACACTGGTGTCTGTCATGATGCTTTAATCCTCAAGTACTAGAATGCCAAATGACAGTAGCTTAAACATTGACAACACAGTTTTCACATGCGGACACATTTTCCACATGAGATTTTCAGAGATAAGTAGTTCTAGGATTCGTATAGCAACTTCACATTGTCATCAAGGGCCAAGCTCTTTCCATCTTCCTGCCTGGCCTTCTTCAGTGTATGGGTGATACATATATCTCCTCTTAATTGCATTGTGGCTGCTGTAGCGTCCAGCGCTGTGCTTCCATCAGACTGAGTCTTGTAGCAGTGGGAAAGGAAATTGGGTCAAAAGGGCTTACTCTTTGAGATGCTTTCTCTTTTATTAGAAGATGAAAATCTTTCCCAGAGGTTTGCAGTAGACCTTCCTTATGTCTCACTGGCTAGAACACGATAGTATTCCCACCCTTAGCTAGGTGATCGCCAGCAAAGAGAAATGGCATTGGCATGATTGACTTAGGACAGTCATTATTCATCTCCTAGGATGGCCATAATTGCCCTAATCAAAGATGGGTGTCCATTAGCAAGTTAGAAGTGGGCATTTCTATCGAGTTATTACCACTGTTACACCAGTAATTACCAGTAGTGTCTGTCTCTGGACAGAACCTAATTGACAACTATGCTTTTATGAAAGGTAGATTTTCTTTTGTGGAAAGGAATCTGGGTGTTGCAGAGCGCTTTGGTGACTTCAGCAATGAGGAAGCAAGTGGGTTTAGAAAAATTAAAATTTTCCTTCATTTTGAATTGGATCTTGAGACTTTTCTTGGGTAAGAAAATAAATTTATGAATCACAATAATTAGACTAATGTGAGTTTATTTTTTTTTAGTCAGAATCTGGAGAAGTGAATAGAAACACGGAACTGAAGAAACTTCGGATTTTTGGGGCTGGGCCTAAGGTTGTGGGCTTGGCAATGGGAGTAAAAGATAAAGAAGGTAAATCTGTTATTTGGTCACGAAAAGAAATAAGGTACAACAATATGGTTTTAACAAGATTCATATGATACTTGATCGTAGTCTGCCTTGGGATTTTCTTAGGCAGCATAGTTCCTAGACAGATCACCTTTTTAGTGGCAGATAATCTTAAGGTGTGAGGAGCCATATTGTGTTGAATTTTTGTAATATTTTGGAAGAGAGAAAGTTCCTCCTCCATGTCTAACACATGACACAGAAATTGTAGTTTCTAAAGGCTAGTTTATAAGAGAATTGCAAAATTAATGGTTCTCACCTGGTGATCTAAAGCTTATTATTTTTAAATTTAAAGAGAAATAGAGGATTTCTCTGACCTTTAGTATCAAAATATACTGGGGAGAGCTAATGATTTAGATTCTAACCATAATTTTGATATTTTTCTTTAATTGCCTTTGCATATTATGATACTTCATTTAAGTAACCTGTTTAAAGAATGCCTAGTACTCTCAGCTTAGCATGTTAGAAACTTGTGAGTAAAATTGCTAATGCGGAGATCAAGTTTCACAGTTCTATGTGCATGTTAGTTTTAAAGCTCAGTTTAACAAAGATTGTGTTGGATATGTTTTTACTGTGTAAGAATTTAATGAATTGCTATAATCACAAGTCATATTGATTACTGTGCATTTTATGATATGACTAAGTCTTTATTCAGATTGTGGGTTGAACTCTGGATAATCAGGTAATATTCTTCCATCACTCGCAAAGCATTCAGTGTGATAGGACTTCTAGATACATTATAATGTTTACTATTGCTCTTTTAAAAGATTAAGGACTTTATCTTTTTTCTGTTTGTAATTGTATTAGCTGGCAGTGATCTCAAAGCTAGTCCCAGATTAGTCCCTGATAAGTACTACATATGGGCAAGTGTAGAATTAGTAGTTACGCTCTCTGGAGCTTGATTGCCTGGACTAGAGTCCCAAGTCTGCCGCTGACTGGCTGTGTGATTTTGGTCAAGTTATCTAGCTTCTCTGTGCTTCAGATTCTTTATCTTCAGTGGGGGGGGATAATAGTTTATCTACCTCATAGTGTTGTGAGATTTTAACTAATTTAAATAATCTAAAATAGTGTCTGGTCCATGGTAAGCTCTCAACATTAGTTTTTACTATTATTATTATATAACTATTTTTATTTCAAGATGAGGTCTCCCGAAGACGAAAAGTTACCAACAGGTCAGACGCATTTAACATGCAAATGAGACAACGGAAAGGAACTCTCTCTGTTAACTTTGTAAGTGTTCTGAGATGTGTCAGGAGGGAAAGGATTTGTTTTTATTTTAGTTTTGCACTTTTTACCTTGCTATATCTTAGTATGTTATCTAGTTAGTTTATTTAGTTGTAAGACTTGATGGTGCAACTGAACTTGCCGCTTTGGTTTATATAATACTAACTTTGCTTTGTCCCATATACACAGACTGTTCCCTGAGTCTTATACCTTGTAAGTGAGTGAGTGAGAGGATGAAGTGAAACTGTAAATCCTTAGCTGTATTAATGCTCGGTATTCAGCCCTCTACCAATAAAGAGTATTTGTGTATAGAAAGGGTGATGTGGTATATTTTATTTATATAAATTGACTTTCAAGTACCCTAGATTTGTAGTCTTCCTTTATTCTCATACCTTGATATGCTTTTATTAATTTGCTTGTAGAAGCTCTGAGGAAATTTAGGAAGTTTTATACAAAGTATTTAAATACAGTTATTTAAAATAAATATTAAGGATTTAAGTTATGTTTACTTTTTAGTGTACATTATTTTGTTTGTTTCAATTAAGGTGTTCGTGGTAAAAATTTAATATTGCTTATTACAGAAAATAAACTTTTATTTTATTTTGTTTTTTTAACAGGTTGATCTTTACGTTTGTATGTTTTGTGGTCGGGGAAATAATGAAGATAAATTGCTGTTGTGTGATGGATGTGATGACAGCTATCATACATTTTGTTTAATTCCCCCACTACCTGATGTGCCCAAAGGAGACTGGAGGTGTCCTAAATGTGTCGCTGAGGTATAAGCCTAACCTAACCTTTCTGAATTAAGAACAGTAACACACACATACACGTGTACAGTGAACACATTCCGTGAAGCTTCTTCTCCTCTCTCTTTGTTCTTCAGTGTTTGAAATCGCCAGGATTTTTGAAGAGTGATAGTGACTGGAAATGTAACAGTTCTACTGTGGCAGTTTGTTTTTTAAAGGGTCTTTTTCTGACTGTTGGTTAGATAATTCTGTTTATTGCTGCAGACTTTGCTCAGAATATTCATATTCTTGGAAAACAATAAAAATGAAGAAAGTCTGTAGGTTATTTGTTTTTTCTTTTTTTTAAAAAGTAAAAATCAGACATGAAGCTCTAGAACTTAGGATTCATGCATCCAGTTTTCATGCTACCAAATAAATTGGTGGTATCTATTAACTTGTTTAAATTTTGACTTGATTGTACTAAATTGTTATTGAAAGATTATAATGATGTCATTATCATGAAATGTCTGGTCTGTTTACTTATTTTAACAAAATGTGATAGGACGTTGAAGGGAAAGAGATGGTATATCTAGATGTAGTCAAAGATGGATATTTATGGCCTTTGAATTATTTATTTATTTATGGCTGTGTTGGGTCTTTGTTGCTGTGTGTGGGCTTTTCTCTAGTTGCGGCGAGCGGGGGCTACTCTTCATTGTGGTGTGCAGCCTTCTCATTGCGGTGGCTTCTCTTGTTGTGGAGCACGGGCTCTAGGCGCACGGGCTTCAGTAGTTGTGGCTCGCGGGCTCAGCAGTTGTGGCTCGTGGGCTCTAGAGTGCAGGCTCAATAGTTGTGGCGCACAGGCTTAGTTGCCATGTGGCATGTGGGATCTTCCCGGACCAGGGATCGAACCCATGTCCCCTGTATTGGCAGGCGGATTCTTAACCACTTCTGCTACCAGGGAAGTCCCTTGAATTATTTTTTAATTTATTATTCTCAAGGTTGGATGATTCAGTCCTACTCGAAGTCAGTATTTGTGTTAAGAAATTGGTCATGGTGGTTGGTAGTATGAAAAAAAATCATTTTTCTAGCTAATTATCCTAGCAACCCGGTGAATATCCCTTTGTCCTTTACCTTTCCTCCCTCCATGAACATTTATTTTTCCACTGAGGATAATAGACATCCCTGGGCTTGATTCCAGGTTGGTAGTCCTCCAGGTGTTTGTCTTGCTGCCAAAGCTTAATGACAACTCCAAAGCCCAAAGCTGTTTCATTGCCACCTTCCTACTGGAAGATGTGAAAATGCAGTTGAAGTTTAAGAACATTATTTCCTGATTCCACATTAATACTTGTTTTGTGGTCTAGAGTTGACTGGATTTGCTTTCCCTAGGGAAATGATCAAAGAAGGTAGTACCTGAGGGCCTTAATGCGTACTTCAGTTCAGTTTCAGTAAGTTAATCTTAGATTTTTTTTCTTCCCAGGAATGTAATAAACCTAGAGAAGCCTTTGGATTTGAACAAGCTGTACGAGAGTATACACTTCAGAGCTTTGGAGAGATGGCAGATAATTTTAAGTCTGACTATTTCAATATGCCAGTTCATGTGAGTATCTATCGTTTAGGTCACTTTAGGAAAGTATAAAAATTTATCTGATTCCAAAGCTTTTGCGTTGCTTTTTAAAAACTTTCATTATTTTGTAGAAAGCAGGGACAGCATAAAGAAGATGATAGAACACCAGATCTGAAGATTAGGGGCCTGGGATCTGTTTTTGTTTCTTTTACCCTCTGCCGTGGCAGTGTGCACTGTAGAGAAACTGACTTCGACCTTCCACTTGTTCTTTAGTGCTCTGGGAGCGCTGTCCTTTACAGACAGGCACGGAGGATGCGGCAGTTGCTGCTTTGGTTTAGTTATTTGTAGTATGAGGTTTGCTTCTTTCCCTGGGGGATCTTGGACTTTAAAAAAATCCCTTTCGAAATAATTTGCCAAAGCTGTTAAAATTCAGCCTTGATTTTTGTATTTCCTTTTCCTTCCTTATGTCCTGGGTCATCTTTATCCCTCTTAGTTGGAAAGCAGCTTGCAGAAGAAGGCAGTTCAAATTCATTATGTTTTTCTGAACATCTAAGTTGTCTTTAGCTTTTTCCCATCGTCAGTCAGAAAAGCTAGGATTGCAGTCTTTTCAGCTCTGGGAATTGAGAAGGTTTCCTGTTTTTTCATGGGCTTTTTGTTCACTTGACCTGTGTATTATGTCATATGGGTTATGGTTATAGAGAGTTGGTAATCTGTAATCTTTGTTTTCCCTGTGTAGATGGTTCCCACAGAACTGGTGGAGAAGGAATTCTGGCGGCTGGTGAGCAGCATTGAAGAAGATGTTATCGTAGAGTATGGAGCTGACATCTCCTCAAAAGACTTTGGAAGTGGATTTCCTGTAAAGGATGGTCGGAGAAAGATGCTGCCAGAAGAAGAGGTGCAGAGCACATAGTAGTATCCAGATTTCTTACCCTGAAGCTGATTCAGCCTTTACATAGTAGAAAACTGCCTTTCTTTAATTTAAGGGACCACGTTCATTTAAAATATTAAATATGTAGAATTTGGACAATAAAAATAATCTTCAGTTTTGAAAACAATAAATTCAAAGTACCATTAAATATTATTTAACTTTGCATTTTATCAATTTTTTTTTGGCCGTACGTGGGCCTCTCACTTGTTGTGGCTTCTCCCGTCATGGAGCACAGGCTCCGGACGCGCAGGCTCAGCGGCCATGGCTCATGGATCCAGCCACTCCGCGGCATGTGGGATCCCCCCGGACCGGGGCACGAACCTGCGTCCCTTGCAGGTGGGGAGGTGGACTCTAAACCACTGTGCCACCAGGGAAGCCCTTAACTTTGCATTTTAAAACCAGTTAAATTGGTTTAAAACTTTAACTTTAGTTAAGATTTTGCCTAGCTCTTTCTGTTTGGAAATCTAGCAAGTGACAAGATTTTTTTAAAAAATTACATTTTACTGGTAGGTCCACAATTAATTTTCCTTTAACACCTGGGCAGGTAGGTTTTCAAATATGCATTTAAACTGTAACAGATAATGAAGTACTATCACCTAGGAGATGACCTCTGTGTGTAAACCTGAATTAAGATGATCATTTATTTCTTTTTCTCTTTACTTTGGTCCTTGTCACCTTTTCTTTACCTTTGTAATTGGCAGTAATTGAGAGTTTTATCTCCTATTAAAAGAGTTAACACATGGTCAAAAAAAAAAGTTACATAGTGGAGAAGGATATACAATTAAAAATATGGCCACTCTAGGTCTCTTAGGGCTACCATTGACATGGCATATCTTTTCCATTCTTTTACTTTGAAGCTGTTTGTATTTTGGAATCTGGTGTGTGTCTCTTATAGGCAGCATATGATTGAATCTTGCTTTTTTAAAAATCTAGCCTGAAGGTTGACTTATATATTTATTTATTTGTCCCTCTGTCTGTCTGCCTATTTAGCTAGCTAGCTAGCTAACTAGCTAGCTAGTTAGCTGCGTTGGGTCTTTGTTGCTCCGCGTGGGCTTTTCTGGTTGCCGGGGGCTACTCTTTGTTGCAGTGCGCCGGCTTCTCATTGCGGTGCCTTCTGTTGTTGCAGAGTATGGGCTCTAGGCGCGTGGGCTTCAGTAGTTGCAGCACTTGGGCTCAGTAGTGCAGCTTGAGGGCTCTAGGACACAGGCTCAGTAGTTGTGGCACGTGGGCTTAGTTGCCCTGTGGCCTGTGGGATCTTCCTGGACCAGGGCTCAAATCCGTGTCCCCTGCACTGGCAGGCGGATTCTTAACCACTGTGCCACCAGGGAAACCCTATACAGATATATTTTATAGGAACAGTTCAGTGTTGAAATGTGTAGATGTTCAATGTCACTGAATTAAAACCTGCTTTGTAGAAGTATAAAGAAATGCGTCAACCTTAGTTTCTTCATACCCTTCCATTGGCAAATGGTAGGCAATTACCTACTTATTGGGAAGAGGCTTTGTTTTACAGCTTTTAACTTTTTCTGAATTTCGTTTTGGTTTTGAATTTTTAAGTTGCTCTTGAACAGATATTTATATCTTCTAATCTTAAGAGATAAGGTCACAGAGTTTTTATTTTTTAATTTTTTTTATTTTTTATATATATATTTTTGCGGTACTCGGGCCTCTTACTGTTGTGGCCTCTCCCATTGCGGAGCACAGGCTCTGGACGCGCAGGCTCGGCGGCCATGGCTCACTGGCCCAGCCGCTCCGCGGCATGTGGGATCTTCCCGGACCGGGACACAAACCCATGTCCCCTGCATCGGCAGGCGGACTCTCAACCACTGCACCACCAGGGAAGCCTGGTCACAGAGTTTTTAAAGATTATTTTAAATGTGGTTAAATGTCAACCCTAAGTAAACAATATAGATATTAATCCTTCTAAATGTTTGAATTCTGTATGAATATTCATCTGTTTTTGCTTTTGCTCCATTCACCTTCATATAAGAACGTGGAGGGCTTCCCTGGTGGTGCAGTGGTTTAGAGTCTGCCTGCCGATGCAGGGGACGCGGGTTCATGCTCCGGTCCGGGAGGATCCCACATGCCGCGGAGAGGCTGTGCCCGTGAGCCATGGCCCCTGAGCCTGCGCGTCCGGAGCCTGTGCTCCGCAGTGGGAGAGGCCACAACAGTGAGAGGTCCGTGTACAGGAAAAAAAAAAAAAAAAAAAATGTGGAGAAATTTGGGCTTTAAAGACATCAGCATAGCATGAAGAGACAGGGATACAGCTCTTTTTTCTAGTCTGGGTCATCGATTTGCTATTTATTTCATAAGCAATAACGTTTTACTCAGGATTCTGTTTTTATGTTGTAAGATGGAGTGAGAGAACCCATTTATACAAAAGGATTTTAAGGACTAATTAGACAGTGTATATAAAATCTCTGTATTTTTTATACTTATATTTTCTGTCAGTTTGTTACTCTTCTCTGGAAGTTACTCTTAGAAAAGTAGATACCTGCCGTCTTTTCCCCAGGAACTGTGCATGTATGTTGAACTTCTGTAAGAGTTAGCTTCTTGGCATCTGACAGCATGCTTCTCTGGTATCACAGTTTAGTGGAAAAGTACTTCTGAAGTTAATACATTTGTCTTATAAATACAAGTGCTCTGTAAACAGGGCCTCTGAGGAATAAAAATAGGCATAGAACTTGAAACCTTGGAAACATTTTTTTCATCTTATCCTCTCTGTGTCGTAAATCACTGAATAAATCCTGTTAATTTATTTTTCATTATTTTCTGTGGGATTGGCCTGTTTTCAATCCCACTACCACCGTCCTTGTCTCCGTCCAGTCATGTCATGTTGGGATAATTGCCGTGGTCTTACATAATGAGCACTTGTGTTGGGGGTTCCCCAGAGCTTCTCAGGTTCGCTGAGAACTCATGACTGTGACTTATTACAGTGAAAGTAAAGTAAAATCAGCAAAGGGAAAACAAGATGTGTGGTCAAAGTCTGGAGGTAGCCAGTTGGAAGCATTCAAGAGCCCTCTCTCCCTGGAGTCACACAGGATGCACTTAGGTACTCCAGCATCAGAATGACACCATGTGTGAAGCATCGCCCACCAGGAAGGCTCATTAGAGACCCAGAGCTCAGGGTTCTTATAAGCGGCGGGTGACATAGGCACCTTCTGCCTAACACATAGCAAAATTCCAGACCCCCAGAAGGAGATCGGGCGTGCATAAACCACACTGTGCAGCACTGCGAGCCACCCTGTGTTAGTGTCACGAACTGTTTACCATGCAGCTTTCCAGATGCCAGCCAGGGGCCGAACTTGAAGCGGGCCTTTTTTTTTTTTTAAATAAATTTATTTATTTTTTATTTTTGGCTGCGTTGGGTCTTCGTTGCGGCACGTGGGCTTTTCTCTGGTTGCAGCAAGTGGGGGCTACCTTCGTCGTGGCATGCAGGCTTCTCATTGTGGTGGCTTTGCTTGTTGGGAGCACAGGCTCTAGGTGCGCGGGCTTCAGTAGTTGTGGTGCACGGGCTTAGTTGTTCCACGGCATGTGGGATCTTCCTGAACCAGGGCTTGAATCTGTGTCTCCTGCATTGGCAGGCAGATTCTTAACCACTGCGCCACTAGGGAAGCCCCGAAGCGGGCCTTTTGAAGGGTAGCTGTCTTAGGCTTGCTCTGTTAAAGTAGCTTTTCTGAACACTGCCACTCTCTGTAGTCTCTCTTATACATTGCTTTCGGTTAAAATTTTAAGATCGGTGGGTCTTGGGGAGTTCATTTTGCAGTTCTGTCTATTTAAGTTTGAAATTTTCCATAATCAAAAATTTTAAGATAAATATAAAAATATTTAAGATGTTTATCATATTGTTTCACTTTTCAGAATCTGTTTTATTTCCCTTTTGAATATAGGATATCATCCAAGCTTCTTAGTCTGAAATTTAAGATTAAAGATCCAGTCTTCTCTTCTGGTCTTATTTCCTGCTTTTCTGAGTATGACCATTCCACTCTGCCTCTTTACCAGCCAGACCAGTATATTCTGTCTCTTGTCATTTATCTTCAAATCTTACCTAGTCTTCCAAGATCAACCCAGGTTTTTCCTTTTCCACCAAGTTTTCTTATTGATCCAGACTCATGATGATGACTATTTTGTTGTCCTCTGAAGAACTATATAATTTACTAGTTTATCTGTGTTTGGAGTTTAATATATATTGTCTCATCTTGGAACTGTTTGTATGTAGGCCTGGTCTCTTCACCTAGTTTCAGTATTTGTTCAGCCAACTAAAAAATATATTGAGTAGTATTTTTGAAAACTGCTTTTTTTTTTTTTGAAAGCCTATTGAGGGTAGGAATCATATCTCTTTATTATTCCGTATTGGGATTCCTAGTTAAGCCTTTGTTGGAATTTCTTCTATCCTCTGTAACTCTTAGCTACACTTTTATAATTTCCTTATCTCTGTGCCGCATTATGGATGATATCCTCAAATCAGTCTTCTGGTTCACAGATTCTCCCTTCAGCTTTGTCACTGGCTATTTAGCCTCTTAATTTGAGGGTTTTATTTTTAACTCTGTATTATCGAAACTTTCAAATGTATAAAACTAAACATAGTAATGCACTTCCCTCCCTCCCTACCTGGCATCCAGGTTCAACAGTTATCAGCCTTCTAATAGAAGGCGGATTCTCTTACCTGTTTTTGCATTCAGTCTGTTGCAATATCACATCACATATCCTCTGGAAAACTCACACTACATTTCTGCAAGAATGAGAGTGAAAAAGGCAAATAACATCTTAGAATTATTATGAATGTAGTTTGACTTTGCAGGTCCCCTGAAATAGGCTTGGGTTCCTTAGACCCCACTTTGAGGACTGCTCTGCACAAGGATAATAGCACTTTGAGTCTGTACCGCATACCGCTTCAGAGGTGGCTGTTTGAAACCCATGTCTGGAGCTTATGTCCAGTTAGAAACCTCTATGAAAACTCAGACAACAGCTTTCCGTGTTCATTCTGGCTGTGCTTTCTTTGTTTTTGGAAACTGCGAATTCTTTTTTCTCTTGAGTTCATCTATGAAGCAAAATTTTTTTTGATGTTGTAAATAGATGTGTTTGTGGGAGTTGGGGGTGCTTTCTGCACCATCTTGGTCTTCAGTGTTGCCACAGATTCCGGATTCTGTATCTTATTATGTTTTGTCTTCACAGTATCTGGCACCATTCTGTAAATATAGTGGTAAACATTTTGGGAAGTTATGTTACCGGGGATAAAGTCGAAATATAATAGCGACCTATTAAAATGAGTCTTAGAGTATTTTACTGGTAAGCTATGGGGGCAGGTGGGGAGTAATAAAAAGCCTTATATGCTTCAGAGTAAACCAGAGATATCTAAAATAATTAAAGGGAAATATAAATAACACTTAGGAGATAGGATTAAATATTTAGGAATATGAGTTACATGTAGAGAGCAAAGAGCATAGATTCTATGGACTAGATTATTGTAATTATTATAAAATTTTTACTTTTGTTTTTGAAGACTCCCTTGAGGTTTCTGTTGGGCACTTGTCATTTCTGATCTCTTATTTACATTTTTTTCCTTTTGTAGGAATATGCGCTTTCTGGTTGGAACTTGAATAACATGCCTGTTCTGGAGCAGTCTGTTCTTGCACATATCAATGTGGACATCTCTGGCATGAAGGTGCCATGGCTTTATGTGGGAATGTGCTTCTCTTCCTTTTGCTGGCACATCGAAGATCACTGGAGCTATTCCATCAACTACTTGCACTGGTATGTACAGTCTTTGTTAACAGCACACATACTTAGTGACCTTTCTAAAGGTGTAACAGTGTTAGATGGTGTGTTAGGGAGAGCTTACTTGAAAGTATTTTGTACCCCAAAGTTGGATAATGTGCTGTGTAGAGGTCTCAGGGTACAACACGTCAGACACTTTCCCTCTTCAAGTATGTGCATGCAGCAGAGCCTCGAGTTTCAGACCCAACTATGCTACATTTAGCGCACATGAAAATTTCTCTGGTATAACTTTTGAAATGCAAGGCAGGATATTTTTTAAAGTTTATATAATTAAGGTCTGACTAACCTTCAGTATTTAAGGTTGAAATTTGAAAAATTTCAAATTGAAATTTTTGTTTTTCCTTTTTAATAACATTTTCTCTAAAAATGCCTATGTTACATGTGTATTCATTAAATTTTTTCGCTGTTTTTTTTGTTTCACACCCACAGCTTTTATTTACTTACCCAGTTCCTTGTCCAGTATTCTCATCTTAACCAAATGATGTATTCCTCTCCATTTGAAAGATACTGCTCAGATCACACTATGCATTGGAAAGCTAATGATTTTCTTTCTCTGCTTCATCGCTGTGCTGTGTAATATGATAGCTTCTAGCCACATGTGGCTATTTAAATTAGTTAAGATTAAGTAAAATTAAAGTTTACTTCCTCAGTTGCACTAACCGCATTTTAAGTGCTTTATCGTCACTTGTGACTAGTGGCTCCTGTATTACCCAGCATCGATGCAGAACATTTTCAGTCATCTCAGTAAGTTTCTGTAGAGACAGCACGGTTAATTGTATGAGGGTTAAGAAATTCAGCTATTCTGTAGATAGCATGACTAATTAAATCCAGTTCCTTAAAGTTCAACTTAGTATTATAAATAAAACTCTAGTCCACTAAAGTCTAGTGTATTAATGATGCCAAGTGTTTGGTCTTAAGATTCATAGACAGAACTATATTCAGGGTTTCAACAATTTCTCGCCTTGGCTTATTTCCTTGGATAGTAAAATTGAACTCAATGAAGTTACGTAAAAGTACTCTAAAGGGCAGTGACTTTTACTTTGATCATTGTGGGGATAATTGGAATGTCCAGTGGACCTGTGAATCAGGCAGTATGTCAGTATCCTTTGGAACAATGCTTGCTTTTCATATAGCATCTTTCCTATTTGAAGATGCTGTTTAGTGATCTACCTTAAAGAGTTTATGTACTTTGAATTACTTTTCTGTAGTGATAAGTACGTACCTACCTATCCATATACTCTTGCCTTACCCCCATTATGAATAATAGCACAGATTTTTGAGATGGTTGCTAGGATTCAGGGCATATAATCTATGGCCATGGAGCAAGACAAAGTTAATTATAATTTAGTGGATTTGAATCAGAGACCCTGGCCTCATTGGCACCATGCTCTACCTAGATAAACAGTTATTTCTTTTGCTAGGGGGGAGCCAAAGACATGGTATGGTGTGCCATCTCATGCTGCAGAACAACTGGAGGAGGTGATGAGGGAGCTGGCCCCTGAGTTATTTGAATCCCAGCCTGATCTCCTACATCAGTTAGTCACCATCATGAACCCCAATGTGCTAATGGAGCATGGTGTGCCTGTGAGTCTTTTTGCATCTCCCTTCAGTATTTTAAATTTAAAGTTATGTACGCTTTTGATTAGAGTCACAGTATATGCTTGTTTTGTAATGGGAAATAAAAGATCACATCATCTTCAAGCCAAATTAGAATTTATACTCTGAAGGGAACAACATTTATTTGATTAAGAATGGGGTGTTGTAAAGTATGAATCACATTTACCTTATGTATAGCAACCTATCAGAATAGCCATGTTTTCAGTATATCCTGCTTTTAATAAAAATCTCATATTCTTTATTATCCCCATTTAACCAAAGTATAAGTATTTTAAGTGGTTGTTCTAATAACTAATGCTTATCCTTGTGGAGATCATATTCCCATATTTCGTATAAAGATTTCATAGCCTCTTTTGCACATGAGATAATGAAGTAAAAATATACAATGAATACCGTTTCTGCTTTTAAACTTTTAGGTTTGAAAATGATTATTAAATTTAAGCTACGAATACCTGATAAAGTATAAATTTAATGTTTGCTACATGTAGTCAAGTAGTCATCATAACCTTATTAAGAAAGTAGATCGAGTGATAGTAGTAATGTTACTTTGTCTTTAAAGAGTAAATTTATGCAGAATCTGGGACTTTTCAGAAGACATAGTATTGTCATAAAACAAAGAGATTCAGGAAAACTGATTTGGGGGGTCTCTCCATATGACATATGAGCTAATCAATTAGTTTCCAGAAAAAACTATCCAAAAGTAGGATGAAATTACATCCTTTCCCACTGTTTACAACACAGGAATGAAAGGAATAAAAGAAAAATTCTCTTAACTGTAAAAATTTTATTAGGTTGGGAAACTAGTAGCTCATGAGAGCAGCATTTTCTCCTTGAAAATTTCTTTAGGCTGTAAACTCTTGTCATGAATTACTATAATTTACAGTGACTATTTTAAGAAGGTGAAACTGACTGCTTCTTCAAGCCTGATACTGTTTTCTGGTCTGTGTAGGTTAATGCTTTATTGTTTTAAAGTTTGAAAAATGCTTCTGAAATTGACATAAAATGTTTCCCTTTTTTGTTGTTTTTCTTCTGTTTTGTTTTTGTACCCTGTTCCCAATTTGCATTTAGGTGTATAGGACGAATCAGTGTGCTGGCGAGTTTGTTGTGACGTTTCCTCGGGCCTATCACTCTGGATTTAATCAAGGCTACAACTTCGCTGAGGCTGTGAACTTCTGTACTGCTGACTGGGTCTGTTCGATAGCAAGTAGCTGTTGTGTCTACTAACAGCACCGGAAAATGCATCTTAATTGCTGTGCTTGCTTAGCTGGGGAGGGGAGGGCCCACGGATATTTCAGTGGAAACTGGAATGTCTCTTGCCATTTACAGAGTTCCAGGTAGTTTTTATTTGGAAGATTTTATAGTTCGTTACTTCTCATTTGCTACTTTCTCATTTTATTTGAATTTTAAATGGGCAGTTGATGTTTTCTGAATCTTTTTCTGAGAATGTAATTCCTCTAGTCTTTGTTTTCTCTGAGCGCTTTTGGATTTTAGAAGGGTGACCACATCTTTTCAAGAATTAATTGTACCACGTTTACAAATATCTAGCTCTGATTTTTATCTTAAAATATCCAGTTCTGATATTTATGTTAAAATATTCCTTTATTTTTTTCCTTCTGATAATTAGGTGATTTTATTCTTCCTGCTATTTTATGTTTTCTATATTCTTTTAAAAAAATTTATTTTAAAGGGCAGCTATAATATTGAGATCTCTGTGGGCTGCACTTTTGTGTAAATGGTATTGCCATTGATTGCTATTTTGCTTTTAAATGAGGTAGATATCAAAAAGTAATCAGTTATTTTTATGTCATGTCGGTGGGGAAAAGACTGCAAACCTATCATACACTCTTTTTTTTTTTTTTTTTGTGGTACGCAGGCCTGTCACTGTTGTGGCTTCTCCTGTCGCGGAGCACAGGCTCCAGACGCACAGGCTCAGCGGCCATGGCTCACGGGCCCAGCCGCTCCGCGGCATCTGGGATCCTCCCGGACCGGGGCACGAACCCGTGTCCCCTGCATGAGCAGGCGGACTCTCAACCACTGCGCTACCAGGGAAGCCCTAGCATACACTCTTTGACTCTATTTTTCTTTCAGTGAAGCTGTTTTTTGTCACCTCTCCTGACATTTGGGGGGATATTTTTTAGTAATATTGGATCTTATATTTTCTGTGGGCACCTTAATTTGTTAAATTTCATGATTAACAATATTGTTTCCTTGGCTAATGAATGAAATTGTATAATGAACAATCTTACATGACCTAGTAATTCTAAACTTCTTGTTAGAAAGCAACAGGAGCAAGACTGAGGTTAGGACTTTGCCTTGGACTTGAACTCTATTTTAAAACCTCAGCTAACATGTATTATGTATTTATGATTTAGGTGTTCCTTGGCTAGGTAGGTGTAGGGTGGGAAATGGAGGTGATTCAGAGATGAGTTAGAGATGATTTCTGCCTTTAATGTGATCACTATTATTGATGTTTGATCTTGGACAGCACTTTTTTTTTTTTTGGCTGTGCCACGTGGCATGTGGGCTCTTAGTGCCCCAACCAGGAATCGAACCCGCAGCCCCTGCCGTGGAAGCATGGAGTCCTAACCACTTGACCACCAGGAAAGTCCCTTGGGCAGCACTTTTTTTTTTTTTTTTTTTTTTTTTTTGCTGTACGTGGGCCTCTCACTGTTGTGGCCTCTCCCGTTGCGGAGCACAGGCTCCGGACGCGCAGGCTCAGCGGCCATGGCTCACGGGCCCAGCCGCTCCGCGGCACGTGGGATCTTCCCGGACCGGGGCACGAGCCCGTGTCCCCTGCATCAGCAGGCGGACTCTCAACCACTGTGCCACCAGGGAAGCCCGGGCAGCACTTCTTGTTTTTTTGTTTTTTGTGGATTTTTTTGGCTCTGTTGGGTCTTCGTTGCCGCACGCAGGCTTTCTCTAGTTGTGGCGAGCGGGGGCTACTCTTGGTTGTGGTGCGCAGGCTTCTTGTTGCGGAGCACGGGCTCTAGGTGCACAGGCTCAGTAGTCATGGCTTGTGGGCTCTAGAGCACAGGCTCAGTAGTTGTGGTGCATGGGCTTAGTTGCTCCACGGCATGTGGGATCTTCCCGGGCGAGGGCTTGAACCCGTGTCCCCTGCCTTGGCAGGTGGATTCTTAACCACTTCGTCACCAGGGAAGTCCCGGGACAGCACTTTCAGTTTCACTGGTCCTAATTTTTTTTTACCTACTGTGTAAAGATGCTAAGGTTCACTTAACCTCAAACAAGTGAGGTGATATTTGTGAGAGAAGGGTGATATAAATGAAAAGTAAAAGCAGCTTTGTATCTGGAATGAAGTGATGGTACTGATTTTTATAAGCCACAATGGACAATCAGTTGTATTTTATGTGGCTTCCTTGTATATTGTATCAATAATAATTAAAAACTGCAAATCCTACAGTTTTGTTTTTCTTCTTGCTCTTGTTTTAAGTATTTGAGAAATGTTTAAAGAGTAAATTTCTGAGAATTAAGAAATGAAAGAATTGTATATTGTTATTAGACAAGATAGTCGCCAATCATAAGCTCAGTATATATATTTTCTTGGGAAAGATTGTTTCTTTGGAAGAGTCCGGAAATAATGCTTGATTCAGAGATAGTCTTGTACTCTGGAACTCTGATTCCTGTGATTCCCTTCTGCCTTTCTCAGAATGGAGGCGAGCTCTAAAAGGTGTTCTTAAAGGTCCACTTTCTAATTTTTTCTGTTTTATATTATGGTTTTCAAATACAAACCAAAACTTCAGACACCCGGGTTTTTCCACTTGAGGGAAGGAAAGAAGCTGGAGAGAGAGAGTTTGTGTAGCATAGCTAGTATCAATTTGTTTTAAAGCTTGATAGATTCTCAGAAGTTCTCTTAAAAAGTGTAGCTGTTGATTCATGAACAGTGATCATTTAGTGATTTATTTCACTTAGGAAAATTAAAGTATATAATCTCATGGTTTCACTTTGAATTCTCTTTAGGCCAGACTGGTAGTTTTAAAAATAATCTCTAGATGCTAAAATCTAAATTGTCTTTTGCTTTGGTCCTTATAAAAAATAAAGTTAGTCCATGTGAACTGCTTAAGTAGTGCTTTCTTCCCCTCCCTCCCTCCCTACCTTGTATTGATAGTAGCATCTGTTGTTTGTTCTGTGGAAACATCAATGCTGAATATGTCCAGTTATCCCTTGATAGCCTGAAAAATTTTTTTCTTTTTCCTATAAGAGTGGTCTCATACTAGACTGGTCTAAAAGAGTTTGCTGCCTCATTTATATATCAAGGAACTCATACTTCTTGAGGTACATAATGAGTAGAAAATCAGCTTAGGCCAGAAGCTCAACATCTCACATTATGGGAATTTCCTGTGGGAAGGCCTTTGAAATTCTTGCTGGGCGGTAAGGGTTTAATACTTACAGTTACCTCTTATGTTCAAATGGACGTTGTTATTCTCTGTTCTTTATAATAAAAGAGAGGATCTGGGGGGCAAGTAGTGGTTCTATTCTGGAATGTGTTATAAGCAAGTAATTTAATTTGAGAATCTTGTTTTCAGTTGCCCATTGGCCGTCAGTGTGTCAGTCATTACCGTCGGCTGAGGCGCCATTGTGTCTTCTCGCACGAGGAACTAATTTTCAAGATGGCAGCAGATCCGGAATGCTTGGACGTGGGGCTTGCCGCCATGGTGTGCAAGGAGTTGACTCTCCTGACTGAAGAGGAGACACGGTTAAGGGAGTCTGTTATGCAGATGGTGAGTTTGCTGAGTACGTTTCCTGTAGTTGATACTGCTCACGGGATATACCAAAATTTAAACCAGTGGAAAGAATCCATTTTCATCTTTGATCCCTTTAGAAGTTGAACGCAAAAATTACTGGTTTGGAGAAGATTTCCCACTTCTGTACTTGCCGTTTTGGTTTCTTTAAGTTGAAAAAGTTTTAGGAATCTTGATGTCTTCATCTCCAGAGTTTTAAAAATGCAGTCCTATCAGGTAGAATTTCTTAGGTATGTATGTATTTTTTAAAATCTCCTACATATAGTATTACTTCTTTAAGCAAGAAAATTCAAATTTTTTTTTCTCTCTCAGCTTTGTAATTGAATAAAAATTATGTTTCTGGTGATTGCAGACTGTCAGAGTTAATCAATCTGTGTTTCCCTGCATTCTAAGTTTTTAATGACTATAAGAAGGACCGAATAACCCAGTGTTGGGATTTTGAATGCTTAGAATAAACTAAACATTGATCATATTGAAATGGGTAGTAAATGAGAAAATCTGTGTCTTCAGCCACATCTAGGCCCATTTTCCCTAACCCTCCCTACATAGGTAGCCTCACTGGGTTTGTACCATGCTTCCTCCTGCTCTCGTAGAGTCCACTTTCTTTCTTTCTTTCTTTTTAAAATAAATTTATTTATTTTTGGCTGCGTTGGGTCTTCGTTGCTGTGCACGGGCTTTCTCTAGTTGCAGCGAGTGGTGGCTACTCTTCCTTGTGGTGCATGGGCTTCTCATTGCGGTGGCTTCTCTTGTTGCAGAGCACGGGCTCTAGGTGCGTAGGCTCAGTAGTTGTGGCTCGCGGGCTCTAGAGCGCAGGCTCAGTAATTGTGGAGCACAGGCTTAGTTGCTCCATGGCATGTGGGATCTTCCTGGACCAGGGCTCGAACCCGTGTCCCCTGCATTGGCAGGCAGATTCTTAACCACTGCACCACCAGGGAAGCCCTAGACCTGAAGAGTCTTAAGACAGTGAAAATAGTTTTAAGCTAAGGAAGAATACAGTGGACTAGCAATTTGGATCTGAAAAGTAAAGCTGATCCAATTTAACTACTCTGCTCATTGGCACAAATGGGGGGAAAAATCTATAAAAGAAAATATAAAACTATACATTTTAGAAATGATATAAATACTATTATTACAAAATATTTAAATGCTGGTTATTTTTAAGAATTTAAGTTGACTTAGAAATAAGAATACTTGCTAAATGGTTAGCTTTCTTTTTCTATTTACTTGAATTACCTGTGAAAGAAACAAGAGTAAGATGCAAATGCATCTTCTTAAAACTTTTTTTTTTACATTTTGGGGATATGTTAACATATGCCTGATAGTTACTATTCTCACTTTATACCTGTATTCTTAAAGCTTTGTTTTGATTATGTTCATTTATTTATTTGTTTTAAATAAATTATTTATTTATTTTTGTCTGTGTTGGGTCTTCGGTGCTGTGCGCAGGCTTTCTCTAGTTGCGGTGAGCAGGGGCCACTCTTCGTTGCAGTGCGAGGGCTTCTCACTGTCATGGCCTCTCTTGTTGTGGAGCACGGGCTCCAGGCGTGCAAGCTTCAGTAGTTGTGTCACGTGGGCTCAGTAGTTGTGGCTTGCGGGCTCTAGAGCGCAGGCTCAATAGTTGTGGCACGCGGGCTTGGTAGTTGTGTTCGCGGGCTCTAGAGGTCAGGCTCTGTAGCTGTGGCGCACAGGCCTAGTTGCTCTGCGGCATGTGGGATCCTCCTGGGCCAGGACTCGAACCTGTGTCCCCTGCACTGGCAGGCAGATTCTTAACCACTGTGCCACCAGGAAAGCCCTGATCATGTTTTTTTATTAACCTTTTGTATTTTATTATTTGTTTTAACAAGACTTTTTTTTTTAGAGTGTTTTAAGTTTACAACAAAGTGAGAGAAGGTCCAGAGAGTTCCCATTTATCCCCTGCCTCACCCTTGCACAGCCTCCTGTGTTACCTGTATCCCCCACCAGAGAGGGACGTTTTTTATAATTGATGAACCTACACTGACGCATCATAATCACCCCAAATCTATAGTTTATATTATGGTTCACTCTTAGTGTTGTGTATTTTATGGCTTTGGATGAATATATAATGACATGTATCCATCATTAAGGTATCATACAGAGTATTTTCACTTCCCTGTTTATCTTCTCTGCCCCCCAAACCCCTGGCAAACACTGATCTTTTCACTATCTATAGTTTTGCCTTTTCCAGATTGTCATATAGTTGAAATCATACAGTATGTCGCCTTTTCTGAATGCCTTCTTTCACTTAGTGATATGTGTTTAAGGTTCTTCTGTGTCTTTTCATGGCTCAATACCTCATTTCTTTTTGGCACTGAATAATAATTCGTTGTCTGGGTGGTTTATTTAACCATTCACCTACTGAAGGACATCCATTGCCTCCACGTTTTGGTAATATGAATAAAGCTGCTGTAAACGTGTGTGCAGGTTATTGTGTGGACGTAATCTTTCAGCTGTTTGTGGGCTCTCTATTCTGTTCCATTGATCTATTTGTCTATTTTTTCGTTAATACCACCACATTGTCTTGGTTACTACTGTAGTTTTTATAGTAAGTCTTGAAGTTGAGTAGTGTCAGTCCTCCAGCTTTGTTCTTCTTCAGTGTTGAGTTGGATATTATGGGTCTTTTGCCTTTCTATATAAATTTTAGAATTAGTTTGTCAATATCCATAAAATAACTTGCTGGAATTTTGATTGGGATTGCACTGAATCTACAGATTTAAGTTGGGAATAAGTGACATCTTGACAGTATTGAGTTTCTCTATCTGTGAACGTGGAATATCTCTCCATTTACTTAGTTCTTTGATTTCATTCATTAGTTTTGTAGTTTTCTTCCTTGTACATATTTTGTTCAATACCTTAGTACAGTTAAACCTTGAACAATGTGGGGGTTAGGGGTGGCAACCCTCCACTGAATTGAAAATCCACATAGAATTTATAGTCAGGGCCTTCCCTGGTGGCGCAGTGGTTAAGAATCTGCCTGCCAATGCGGGGACATGGGTTTGAGCCCTCGTCCGGGAAGATCCCACATGCCACAGAGCAACTAAGCCTTTGCACCACAACTACTGAAGCCCGCTCACCCTAGAGCCTGCAAGGCACAACTACTGAGCCCGCATGCCACAACTACCGAAGCCCGCACACCCAAGAGCCTGCGAGCCACAACTACTGAGACCGTGAGCCACAACTACTGAAGCCTGTGCACTCTAGGGCCTGCGTGTTGCAACTACTGAGCCCACGTGCTGCAGCTACTGAAGCCTGCGTGCCTAGAGCCTATGCTCCACAACAAGAGAAGCCACCGCAATGAGAAGCCCACGCACTGCAACAAAGAGTGGCCCCCACTTGCCACAACTAGAGAGAAATCCCACGCACAGCAATGAAGACCCAATGCAGACAAAAGATAAATAAATAAAATAAAATTACTTAAAAGAAATTTATGGTCAGCCCTCCGTATGCGCTGTTCTTTTGCACACATGGCTCTGCATCTGTAGATTTAGCCAACCACAGACTGTACAGCACTGTAGTATTTACTATTGAAAAAAATCCGAATGTAAGTGGATCCACAGAGTTCAAACCTGTGTTGTCCAAGGGTCAACTGTATTTCATTTTTAGGGGTGCTAATGTAAATGGCATTATGTTTTTAATTTCACATTCCACTTGTTCATTGCTGGTATATAGGAAAGAAATTGACTTTTTTTTTTTTTTTTTTTTTTGCGGTACGCGGGCCTCTCTCTTTTGTGGCCTCTCCCATTGCGGAGCACAGGCTCCAGACGCGCAGGCTCAGTGGCCATGGCTCACAGGCCCAGCCGCTCCGCGGCATGTGGGATCCTCCCGGACCGGGGCACGAACCCACGTCCCCTGCATTGGTAGGCGGACTCTCAACCACTGCGCCACCAGGGAAGCCCAGAAATTGACTTTTGTATATTAACCTTTATCCTGTAACCTAGCTGTAATTGTTTATTTTAAGAGTGTTTTTGTTGATACTTTCAGACTTTCTACATAGATGATTTTGTCATCTGTGAACAAAGATGGTTTTGTTTCTTTCTTCCCAATCTGTATACCTTTTATTTCCTTTCCTTGTCTTATTGCTTAGCTAAGACTTCCAGAACGATGTTAAAAAGGAGTGATGGGAGAGGACGTCCTTGCCTTGTACCTGATGTTAGTGGGGAAGTTTCTCATTAAATATAGTGTTAACTATAGGTTTTTTTGTTTTGTTTTGTTTTTTGTGCTACGCGGGCCTCTCACTGTTGCGGCCTCTCCCATTGCGGAGCACAGGCTCCAGACGCGCAGGCTCAGTGGCCATGGCTCACAGGCCCAGCCGCTCCGCGGCATGTGGGATCCTCCCGGACCGGGGCACGAACCCGTGTCCGCTGCATCGGCAGGCGGACTCTCAACCACTGTGCCACCAGGGAAGCCCTATAGGTTTTTTTAATAGATACTCTTTATCAGGTTGAAGAAGTTCCACTCTATTTCTAGTTTATTGAGAGTTTTTACCAGCTGTAGGAGTTGGGTTTTGTTAAATGTTTTTTCTGCATTTATTGATGTGATCAAGTGATTTTCCTTCTGAAGCCTATCAGTAGGATTACTTTAATTGATTTTTGAACGTTGAACCAGTGTTGCATACCTGGGGTGAATCCCACTTGATTGTGGTGTATATACAGTGTTGGATTCAATTTGCGTACATTTTATTGAGCATTTTTGCATCTGTGTTCACGAGAGATATTGGCCTGTATTTTTCTTTACTTGTGATGTTTTTGTCTGGTTTTGGTATTAAGGTAATGCTTGGCCTCAGAGAATGAGTTAAGAAATATTCCCTCTTCTTCCATCCTCTGAAAGAGATTATAGAGAATTGGTATAATTTCTTCCATAAATCTTTGGTAGAATTCACCAGTGAACCTGTCTGGGTCCAGTGCTTTCTGTTTTTGGAGGTTATTAATTATTGTTTGAATTTCTTTCTAGATACAGACCTATTCAGGTTGTCTATTTCTTCTTGTGTAGGTTTTGACAGCTTGTGTCTTTCAAGGAATTGGTGGGCATAGAGCTGTTCTTAGTATTCCTTTATTATCCTTTTAACGTCCATGGCATCTGTGATGTTCTCTTTTATTAGTTAGCCTGGCTAGAGGCTTATCAATTTTATTGAATTTTTCAAAGAACCAAGATAAAAATGAATGGAATTCTTCTTTTTTTTTTTTTGCGTTACGCGGGCCTCTCACCGTTGTGGCCTCTCCCGTTGCGGAGCACAGGCTCCGGACGCGCAGGCATAGCGGCCATGGCTCACGGGCCCAGCCGCTCTGCGGCATGTGGGATCTTCCCGGACCGGGGCACGAACCCGTGTCCCCTGCATCGGCAGGCGGACTCTCAACCACTGCGCCACCAGGGAAGCACAATGACTGGAATTCTTTACTGTAAAACGTCTCTGATCTGTTAATATGCTGGTATTTGTTAAGCTCTAAGTTGGAAGGGATATAATACACAGCATTTACCTTCCGCCAGATTTACTTCTTTATTTACTGGTGTGTAAGTACCTTGCTCAAGTAAGTAGAAACTGTAAACGGAACCCCCTTGTCTATTAAATGGAAGTCTTTGTAAAATGCACTTCAAGTGCCTTTACTTTAAGTGGCATGCTGAATTTGATAAGCTTTTTTTTTCAACTTTGATATTTTTTTATTGACATATAGTTGATTTACAATGTTGTTAATTTCTGCTATATGGCAGAGTGATTCAGTTTTACATATATACTTTTTTACATTATGGTTTATCACAGGATATTGAATATAGTTCTTTGTTCTATACAGTAGGATCTTGTTGTTTATCCATTCTGTATATAAAAGATTAACTTTCTTGGGAATTCCCTGGTGGTCCAGTGATAGGACTTCGCACTCTCACTGCTGAGGGCCCAGAGTTCAATCCCTGGTCGGGGAACTAAGATCCTGCAAGCTGCAGTAGGGCGGCCAAAAAAAAAAAAAAAAAAAAATAGAATAAAATTTGTTAAAAAAGATTAGCTTTCTTTTCGATGCCTTTTTGAAGTAGATTATATTTAGATTTGCATAGTTTAATTTTACATTTCTTTATCCTTGCATATGTTTGATCAGTGTTATTTTTAGATTATAGATTACTAATATTTCTGGTTCAAGGGTATATTGTCCCTGGGGACAGTAATTTTTATTTTCGATTGATCTTTTTCTTATTTTATATAGGAAACAAAACCACATAAGACAAACAAGAACTTCGTGAATTATTATGTAGTAAACTTTGTTGTCATCACAGTATGGTCAGGAAATAGAACTTTTATCAGCTAGCCAATATTTTGTAATAACTATAAATAGAGTGTAACCTTTAAAAATTGTATATACAAAAAGGCCTTTAGGGCAAAATATATTAGAAAATAATACTAGTAAATACAAAAATATTGGCTTACTGTGCAAAAAAAATCTGTCAGCCATCTTCAAAGTACCTCCCAATTATAGATTCCTTTCCTTCCCTCAAAAAATGACTTTTAACATTTGTAGTAATCATTTCTTGCATTTAAAGATGTTTCCTCAGTCACATGTGCATTCTTAGACACCAAGGTTTAGTCTTGCTCATAAAAAAAAAATTGGTGGTGTTTTTAGAAAGTATTTTGATGATGTGCCATTGTACCTCCCATGTTTATATTGTCAGAGTAGAAAAAAATTTAACAACTGAAGTTCTCTGATGCTCGAAAGACTGGAAAGACTTGATGTAGTGACATCAATTGTATTTCAGGGCGTCCTGATGTCGGAAGAAGAAGTGTTTGAACTTGTTCCTGATGATGAGCGACAGTGTTCAGCATGCAGAACCACCTGTTTTCTCTCTGCTCTCACGTGTTCCTGTAATCCTGAGCGGCTTGTGTGTCTCTACCATCCAACTGATCTGTGCCCCTGCCCCATGCAGAAAAAATGTCTTAGGTATCCAGAAGTTTCTTGTAAAACTTCTGTTACCGTCTTTTAAAATTAATGTCAGTCCTGTCCTTTGTAAAGCCCTTCCCTGTGTTTGGACTGGTAACCTCTTGTCTGTTTGCCTCCTTGCTTGAGGACCAGCCCATTAAATTTGGCCCGAAACTTGGCACCTAAAGTTAGTTGTTTTATCAAGTTGATTTCACATGTTCCTTGTCTCTCCCTGAATTAAAACTCTGTGGGCTTAGATTTTCTCTTTATGTATCTACCAAAACCCCGTTCCCCTGGCCATTTTACTTTCCTTAAGCTGATTGTATGTCAATTTTAATTTATTTTCAAGTTGTTGGTTTTTGGAAGTTTTTATTTTCTTGTGTGGTGTTTTTTTTTTTTTAGATATCGCTACCCATTAGAGGACCTCCCTTCTCTGCTGTATGGTGTGAAAGTCAGGGCACAGTCGTATGACACTTGGGTCAGTCGTGTTACAGAAGCATTAGCTGCCAACTTCAACCACAAGAAAGGTTACGTTTCTTCCTTTCTAAGCACACACTGAAATGGTTGTCACTTTGCAAGAGGCGTTGTTTTGTTTTCCTCCAGGAAGGAAAAATCCTAGGCTTCATATGAGATTTGAGACTAATGGGTTGGTTCACTACAGAATTAATTTCCTGTTTGAGAATCTTCTTTTAAGTGAAAAAGTGGATGTAAAATGGGACAAATAGCTAACTTGCAGTAGATGTATCATATATTTTTGGGAACCCCATTGTTACCAGTGGACTAACATTAAAGGCTTATTGAGAAAGAGAAATTGTCTATAAGGATTAGAAATGAGCACCTGGTCATAAGCAAAAGTATTATGTATTGGTGAGATTTTCACAGCTGTGGTGTGTTTCTGCTAATTGCTTGGTGAATGGTTTTTTATTTTCTGTGGTCATAGTATATGGCTTTTAATTTATTTTTACAGATTTGATTGAATTACGAGTAATGCTGGAAGATGCTGAGGATAGGAAATATCCAGAAAATGATCTCTTTCGAAAACTCAGGGATGCTGTAAAAGAAGCTGAGACCTGTGCTTCTGTGGCTCAGCTGCTTCTGAGCAAAAAGCAGAAGCACAGGTAAGACTAAGAAGAGCTGAGTTCTCCAGTGGTTTTCTGTTTTGTTTTGTTTTGACCAGAATAAAGGCAAAGTCTTAACTGGCCTGTGAGGCCCTGCCCTGTCTTTTGAGGCCGTGTTTTCCCTCCCCCAGTAATGCCCTAACCATGTCTCCTGGTCTCCCTTCTTTCTTGCTCCACCCTGAACCCTCTCCCTCTGTTCTTCATACACACCAGTGTCTTCCTGCTTAGGGCCTTCATGCTTGCTCTTGGCTCTGCTTGGAGTTTTCTTCCCCTGATACCCAGGTGGCTTATTCCCTCACTTCTTTCATGTCTTTTACAGACGTTGCATTCTTGGAGAGGCCTTCTCTGATAACCCCTGTAAAATTGCAGCCTTTTATTCTTTCCTGCTTTGTTTTTCTTCTGTCCCTGTCACCTCCTGATAGACGAATTTACTTATCTATTATCTTATCTCCTTCTTCCTTTCCCAGCCCCACTAGAAGGTATGCTAGAATAGAATGTTGGGGATTTTCATCCTTTTTCTTACTGCTGTGCTTTGAAGAATGCCTGGCACTGCGTAGGTGTGCACTAAGCATTTGTAAATAAACGATACTGCAGGCTGAAGGCAGGTGGCAGCAAAGAGTAACCTGGGTGCCGGGGAGGCTGTTGTTACAGAGCTGGAAGTATGTGCCCTTAATTTCATGTAATTCACGTGTGTTTAATTCGCTGTGGTATTGTTTCTTAGTAATTCCAACACGTTTCTTGTATCTGAATGCCTTTTTCTATAGCAGTTCACATTGGGTCTCTAATTACTTTATATGTTTTTTTATATTCTGTTTTATCAGAGAACTTTTCTTAGCAACATTGATCAGTGACTCTTCACCTGTCATTGGGTCACTGACCCCCTTGGAGGATCTGGTGAAAGCTTAAAGACCCTTTTCTTAGAAAAATGCACATACTGACATAGTTTTGAATCAGTTTCTGAGGGTTTATAGTCTCCTAAGCCAGGTTTTAAAGGTCTTTGTTCTATATCTTAAGTTTCTTGAGGTAGAAGATTTAGTTTTATCAGTGAACTTAACATTTTACTGTGAGGAATTTATTAAATGTTTGAAATGTTTAATACTTGTGAGATTGGAGGAACTGTAACTTGGAGAGTTGAATCTTTGAGTCATTACCCGAAGAGCTAAACACTTAATTTGGAAGTGATCACCATTGCAGTGAAATCCCTCAAACACTAGTATTCTGGGATTTCTTGGGTTAGAATTCTAAAGAGACTAGAAACCCCTTTGATATGGGAATGACTGTGAATTTTTCTTACTTACGTCTCAATATTATTTCACATCAGGCAGAGCCCAGATAGTGGGAGGACTCGGACCAAACTGACAGTGGAAGAGTTGAAGGCCTTTGTCCAACAGCTTTTTAGTCTTCCATGTGTCATCAGCCAAGCTCGACAAGTAAAGGTGGAGTATCACATTCTTTTCTGGGTAATATCCTTTGTAGTATGGGCTCCTGTTTTGGGTAAAGAGAATAGTGTGTCGAGATTCGTTTTTTTGTTCTGTTTGTTTCTTTTCTCAAATAAGTGCTGCTATTTAAGGATTTTTAGTAGGCAATAAGAACTCTTGGCTTCATTCTTAGTCTTTGATTCCCCCTTTAGAATTCTGGAACTAAGCCTAGTTTAGAATATTTTTTTCTATATTAATTTTAAGCCAGACCCTCCGTTTAATTTAGATGTAATTGAAATGTAAAAAATTAGTTAAAGGAATCTGAATGTATCAGTGATTACTAGTTCATGAACTTTTAAAAATGCAGAACTCTGAAATTACCAGGGCCCTCATGGTTTAATGAATATGTAAAATCTCAAAAGTACCAAATACATGAATCTGCATAGTTAGTAATCTTCTGATAGTTTGTGGTGTGTTCTTGTGATTTGGCGATGGCTGTGTATCTAAAATGTTTTTTACCAAGATTATCAACCATGAAATCCAGTATCAGTTGTGTTGTCTTAAGCCCATGTCATAAGAGCGTTTTGCTGGTTGACCATGCTTTCCTTCCTGAGAGACTTTCTTTTCTAAGCATCTGACACCGTACTCCCTGGTTTTCTTAGACTCACAATTCCCAGTTCCTTCTCTTTAGGGAAGCTTTTTGATTTCTCCTTGGCTTGGCTTCTAAATCTGGAGTATATTGGGAGTCTTGGCCCTTTCTTTAATATCTTCTTTGGCGACGTTAAATATCACCTATGTCCAGCTGATTCCCAGCTCTGCCTTTCTTCTTTTCTGCAGACTCGTACATCCAGTTGCATACTCTGCATTTGCCTTTGGCAGACTAAAAGACATCTCAAAAGCCTTCTAATGAATCAAAATTCTTGATTCCTTTGTTTCCCTTATGCACCACATTCCATCTCTAAACAGGTGTTCCTATTGTATTATTTCTAAAACGTCTCCCAGAGTGAACTAGTCATCACCTCCAGTGCTTCAGTTAGGCTCTGAACCACTGGAATCTGCCACTTAGGTTACTGCAACAACTTCTTAACTGGTCTCTGTTCTTCTGTTCTTGTCCCCGAAAGTTTATTTTTTATTCAGTAGCCAGAGTGATTATGTAATAAAATAGGAATAAAATCATACCACTACCATGTGGTTAAAATCCTCCTTTGGTTCCCCAAAGCCATTCAAATGAAATGCAAACTCATTGCAATTAATCTACAAGGCATTATGTAATCTGACCTCTGCTTATTCCTTAACTGCTTTCTCCTGCTTCCACTTTGCTCCCCATCAGCCACTTAGGAGCAAGACACAAGCTCATTCCTCTTTAAAAGCTTTTGCAGTGATTATTTGCCCTGCCTGAACTACTCTCTTCCAGGTCTCCATGCGGTTTCCTCCTCTACCTCCTCATTTTAGTTTTGGCTCATCTGTCTTTTGTGACCATCATTGCAAAGTAATATGCCCCTCCCCCCCATTCCCTCTGATCACTTTGTATTGTATCGTATTGTATCGTATTGTATTGCCCCATTTGATTTTCATAGCACTTAAAACTAACCGAAACATTTTATTCATGTCTTCACTGTCTGGCCACTTACATTAAAATATGTGTTCCTTGAAGACAAAGGCTTTGTATTTTTGTTTAATGCTGTATGCCTAGAATAGTGCCTGTAACTAAGTCAGCAGTCATTAAATATTTTCTGAGTGAATTAATCATATTTAAAAGTAGGAGTATGTAATTACAGAGAAACATATTTTTGCCTTTATCATATCTGTTTGGTGCTATGATGCTGAGATTATTAGATAGTCTAGAATTTGGTAGTTTGCCTGAACTGTATGTATTCCATACTCATTTTGTGTCTTTTAAGTTTGTTTTTTATTTTTTTTCTTTTGATCTTTTCAGAATCTACTGGATGATGTGGAAGAGTTTCATGAACGTGCTCAGGAGGCCATGATGGATGAAACCCCAGATTCTTCCAAACTGCAGATGTTGATAGATATGGGCTCTGGTCTCTACGTGGAGCTACCTGAATTAGCCCGACTCAAGCAAGAGCTACAGCAGGCTCGATGGTTGGACGAAGTACGACTGACCCTGTCAGATCCACAACAGGTCACTTTGGATGTCATGAAGAAATTGATAGACTCTGGGGTGGGGTTGGCGCCCCACCATGCGGTGGAGAAAGCGATGGCTGAGCTTCAGGAGCTCCTCACGGTCTCTGAGCGATGGGAGGAAAAGGCCAAGGTCTGCCTGCAGGCAAGGTGAACACATACGTTGGGGACTGTCACGTCTTTAATAACTAGATTAGAGAGTGGAAAGGGAGGAGGAACATGAGGGTCTTAATTAAATGTTTTGTGCCTTCCCTGACTGGTGACTAAGTTACCAGATCGGGCTGTATACAGACAGTTTCAAGTATTGTGTGCACACTGTGTGCAGAGTACTTGTTTTAATAAGAGCCCTTCCATTACTGATACTCTAGTTAGGAGCTAAGAAATATAAAGCTGTGTTGCAGTATGTTGTTAACTGAGAGGTCCAGAAAAATCCTAGAGGGATTCAGAGGAGGAGAGGTCATTACTAGCCTAGGTGGTCAGAAGAGACGCTTGAGAGAAAGGTAAGAACTTACATAGAGCCTTGAAGAATGAGTGGGATTGAAGTGGAAGGGGAGGTAAGAGAAATATCCTAAGCTAAGCTTAAGGAATGTGTAGGATGTGCTTAGGTGACAAAAGTGAAGTGGTCTTCACATGAGTGGGGGATTCATGCAGGAAAGTAGAGGGAGATACGGCAATCAGGCAGGAGAGCGTGAGGGGTTAGCATCGGCACCCGTTGGACTGGTGGGATTGAAGTACAGCGCCCATCAGTTTGACGGTAATGCTCTTTATGAAAGTGTTTTTTCAGCACTTAAGATTAGTGTGTGCGTAATTTCCTTTGTGAGGATGAGGAAGCCGGGACGCTTACAGAGATCACGTAGCTGTCAAATAAGAGCACAAGCGTAAGCCTTTTCCGCTTCACTCCAGCGTCTCCATGTACTTAACTGCTTCGCCAGTCACGTAGTTTGCATGCATTTGATAGGCTTTCCCTCAGATGATTTGATCAACACGGTTCTGTTCAGCCAGGAGAAGGCTCCACACGTGCTGGATGCCAGATGCCACTGAGAATATATAATAAAGTTTATAGCTTTTCCTATCTGAAGCATTCAGATCACTCTATGTCTTCAGATTCATGGTGGTTCTAGGAGGTGGGAGCATATTAAATGGGAAAAGTTAAATAACTTTGGAGTGCAGACCATGATTTGGTACACCTGATACAACTGATAGTAGTCTGCTGAGTGAGATTTTATTGCTAGTAATACTTGAAAATTTTCTTTTTCCCATTTTCCTACATTTAACCAGTTTTAGTGATTTTTGCCTCCAGAATGCCTTTTGAATCTCTCTTCTTCAACTCCACTGTCACTGACCTAGTTACATAACTGTTACATTTTCCCTCGATCTTTGCAATTCAGTGAGTATTTATGGAGTACCTACTACACGCCAGGTGCTGTTTCTAAGTGGAGGCCATAGGGAAAAGACACAAGGTCCCTGCTCTAAAATAGAGCCGACATAGTGGGGAGAGACAGGTGAATAAGTGAATGAGTGTGTGAATTTCAGATAGTGTCGTGAAGGGAATAAAGTTGGTAAAGAGAGGACTGATGGGGTTGGTGGGGATAGTGGGAAGGTGAATCCTCCCTTTTCTAGCTCCTGTTGAGTTGTCTTTCTGAAACGCATACTTCGTATTCTTCATCTCTTAGCATTGGTTCACTGTCACCATTCGTTTCTGGCTATCTGCCTCCTTTGTCTTTGACCATCTCTCTGTGCCTCTTTCAGAATGACTTTCCTCAAGATTCTGGCCTAGACCACTTCTCGCTCTTTACACCTCCTTGGAAATTTCATCTTAATTTCTTGTCTCCATTTACCACCTTTATACTGATTAATGTCAAATTCTCATCTGTAACATAGATTTTTTTTTATAGATACCGTCTGCCTGTTAGATAATTCCATAGGATGTCCCATCGGTACCTCAAATTCCCCATATTCAAAATTACCCTTGTTAACTCCTTCCCATGCTCTTTCCCTTTGTTCCTGTTTTCTTTGACTTATACCCTCTTTCACTCATTTGAACAAGCCAGAACTTTGGAAATTAACTTTGACCCCACCCTTCTGTTTCTTTGCCGTCAGACTTAGTTAGCTACCAAGTCATGCTGATGATATTTCCTCAGTGTTTTTCACTTTCATTCTTTTTCTCTGGACTGTTGTTACGGATGGCTTGGATCACAGCACCAGGTCCTGTCTATGACCTCACCCCTCAGTAAGCCATTGTCCGCACTGAAACTAGTATTTTCCTAAAATACAGCTGTGACTGTTTGACTCCCTTGCTTAAAGCCCTTCACTGTTTCCCATTCCCCTTGGGATGAAGTTCACATTTCCTTAACCTGACTTATAAGGCCATCTGTAATCTAGCCCTTTGCTTAAATATCTACCCTCACTCCTTGCCATCCTCCCTCTTGCATTCTGTGTTCTAAACATAGTGATTCCTCCGCCCGGTTCTTCAGACCTGCCGTGTTCTGTCTTGTCTCTGAACCTTTGCACATGTTTATTTTATTCCCCTGTGGAACACTCTTGCCCTCTGCCCACCCCCTATGGCGCACCTCCACCACCCCTACCCAGTGTCTGGTCCCAGGTTTCCTGACTAGTTCCTATTCAGAAAGGGTAAGCGAACTTAGAGGTCACTTCTGGGAATTCTTCCTTCACTGCCAAGTCAGTTAAGTTCCCGTACTGTATATTCTGATAGCATCTTTACTTTCCTTTAGGATTGCACTTACAGCGTATTGTAACTTTTTATTAATAATCACCTCCCCCCAGATGAAAGAGTTTCTGAGGCAAGGACTCTGTCAGTCTGTGCATTCATCATCTCTAGGACCTAGCACAATGCCCAGCACATAGCAGGATTCATGGATGGTCAAACTGTTCCCACGCTCAGTAGCTTCCTGTTGCTCGCATAGGAAAATTCATGTCTCTCAAGACCTCTCAATCTGCGTCTTTCTTTCCTGCCAAGTTCCCCTGCTTCTTGCTTTTACTCCTGCCCCACCTCCCATTCTCACCATTCCCCATCTTAAACTTATTTTTAACTTATTTTTAAATTTTTCTCTATGTCTTTGTTCATTATATTCCTGTTGTTTTTCCTTTAACCCTTCACTTGACCAAATTGTACTTCTTCTTTAAGGCCTAATTCAAAACCCTTCTCAACTCCCCCAGGCAGAATTACTGCTTCCGGTGGTAGTGAACCTATAGTAATTTGTTCCTAGTTCCAGTACAAGTATCATTCTTGATGAGTTGAGGATAAGGTCTATGTTTTATTCATCTTTGTGTAACAAGGTGTTAATGAAAGTAGCTGAATTAAATATACTTGGTCAACGTTAATGGATTTCTAGACTACTGCTTTCTACATAGCTGTTTAATATGCATCTCTGACAATTTCAGATATTGTGAAGAACTAAAGTAGAAGTAATTTAGTGTAGTGAAAAAAAGAGCATGGGATCTGAGATTCATTCTGAGTCAGTGTTTCATGTGTGCCATTTACTACTTTAAATGACTTCGGGGAAAATAATTGGTCTACTTTGACTTAAACTTTTCTTGTCTGTAAAATAGAAATAGAGGTAATACCTGTTTTGCCTCCCTTATAGGATTATGGTAAGAATTAAGTGAAGTCATGTGTATGAAAGTTCATTACACATTCTAAAATGTTATTTAAGTGTTGGTAGTAGTATTTTGACTTTTCCTCATGCATCCACCCTATTTTTGTGTTTTTTAAGACCACGGCACAGTGTGGCAAGTTTAGAAAGCATCGTGAATGAAGCTAAGAATATTCCAGCCTTTCTACCCAATGTGTTGTCCCTGAAAGAAGCCTTACAAAAGGCTCGAGAATGGACAACTAAAGTGGAAGCTATTCAGGTAAAGAGCCTTTTGAATTGTCCTACCATTCAGGTAATGCTGTCTCATAGATGAATCCTTTAAGCCTTTAATTCTTTAGAATAGAATAACTGGACTAAAATAATTATGTACTTAAAATTCACTTGTTTTTCCATCTGATTTTTATTTCAAAATATATATTACCTGTTTAAACTTTACTTGTTTCTGTTGACTCCCTGCTATGAAAGATGACAGAATTAGCCATTTAGTTAGTGCTTAGCAGTAGGAGTGTATTTCCTGCTGTGTTCTTTGACTTTTTTGCCATGTACACCAATTACTTTTTTCTTTAATTGTAGTATAGTTAATTTACAGCGTTGTGCTAGTGTCAAGTGTACAGCAAAGTGATTCAGTTATACATATATTTGTATTCTTTCTCAGATTCTTTTCCATTTTAGGTTAGTACAAGATATTGAGTATAGTTGTCTGTGCTATAGAGTAGGTCCTTGTTGTTTACTTATTTTATATATAGTAGTGTGTATATGTTAATTCCAAACTCCTAATTTATTCCCCCCACTCCGCCCTGCTGTCCCCCAACTACTTTTAAAATAAGTGGCAGAAAAAGAAACTGAAATCAACATTTACTGAACCCCACAATACTCTTGGTACTCTTCTGGTTGTTTGGGAGCAGAAACGTAAGGGAAGGGTGTAAAGATAGAAGCCTGGACCTCAACATTGCGTATTCTAGTTGGCGAGACATATACATCTGTAGTTCAAGACAATGAGCTAAGCGTTAGATAGAGATGAAAGTGTGCTTGAATACATAATTTTTCTTCTGAATTACAAAACCGTTAAGCAGCATTTACCGTATTGAGTATGTAAATACTGTTTATCGTAGAACTACACTGAAAGAAAAAGGAAGCCACCTCTCCCCCTAAGCTGGTGCCCTTAGAAAGAGTATTCGAAGTGTCAAGTTCTAATGACTTCTCTGTTACTTTCTTTTCAGTCGACTTTTTCTGAGACCTGCTTAACTGCTACTCTTTCTGTTCTGTTTTCTAAAATTATCTATTTTCATCAGGACAGCTCCTCTGTTTGTTTCATCTTCGACCTATTTCAGGCAGTTGGTTGTTCGCAGATGACTGAGAATCCTTAGTTGGCTGCTTCTGATTGAAGGACCGAGCCTGCAGGTAGAGGTAGCTGTCATGGTTTTCCTGTGTGATTATAGAGGACTGTTCCTCACCAAACGCTTCCCTTCAGTGGGAGGACTGGCTTGTCAGCTCTAAGAGAGTGGACAGCTTCTGCTGCCCTTTAGGGTACGTCGCCTGGGAGAGGCTGTCTATGTCTGGGCTTAGCCAGAAGGTATTCTATAGTCAGATGGCTGTAGTTGGGCACGAAAGGGAGTAGTAGTAAATATATTTCTTGAGCCTGTCTGTATCTGAGCTTTCTTTTCTCTTTCAATTATTCTCTTCTTTGTCTATTCTTATCCTAGTACCATAGTGATTTAATGATACCATTATAATATCTCTTATGGCTAGAACCTTCTCATTCTTTTTAAAAATTGGACTTAAGTTTCTTGTCTTTCTGTTTCATTGTAACTTCTAAAATGGATATATAGGCAAATATGTCAGGTAATACGTGGGAAGTAACTATTGGAATGTCAGTTTAGCACGAAACACTATGCCTTTCCTTCATAGCTTCTGAGTAGTGATGAATGTTATGGGGATATACACAGTTTCTTATAGGAAAGGTTATGTGTTCTGTCTGCTGGGGGATTGATGCACTCTGAGGTGTCGCGCTGAATTATTGTCTACAGGCTGCCAACCTACTACTTCTGATATTCTTGCCGAGTCCCTGGAATGGATTACTCGTTAACTCTCACTTCCTGTAATGATTCAGTTATTTAGTAAATTTAAAGCCATATAAATTCGAAAAACAATAATTACTTCATTATGTGGAAATATTGAAACATTGTGACTTAGAAGGAAAATATCCATTCTTGTTTGTGTTTGTAGGATGTAAAATGGAGGTGGTTACCAGAACTAAAATACTGCTCTGTAGTAGTTGGAAAAATTGTGAAAGACTTTGAAACAGGCAGAAGAGATTACTTATGTCCTGTCTGTAGAACGGTGGATGTCGTTTAGCGAACCATCCAGGATGATTTGATTCTAGGAGTGTATGCCTTAGACTTTCTTTGACCAAGCTATTTTACAACTCTCTCAGTTCTTTAAAAATGATAGTAATGTGAATGAATTAGTCTGTAGAAAAGTAATTAAATTTGTAAGGAACAAATGATTTTCCACACTGTAGAAAAGATGATTCCATTGATGGGTATGATATTAAATACCTGTTTCCATCTACTAGCAAATTCCTTTCCTCATTCCTAATTGCATTTATATACGTTTGTTTTTAGATTGTCCTTTGAACTAGTTTTTACATCTCACTGGGTCCCTTGTTATTAATAAAACAAAAATCTTTGACAGTGTGAATTTACGCAAACTTTTTTTAAAGGACGTTGGAAGGCTCTGTTAATTCAAGAGATATTGATACAGTTAGGTTCAAAGAATAATATTTAATGAAAAAGTTAACGCTAAAGTCTTTGTGAGGTCTACCAACAATATATTGCCAGACTTTCTAAGAGATTGCAAATTGTGTAAGGATGCCCTTTGTTCTCCAGAGTGGCAGCAATTATGCTTACTTGGAGCAGCTGGAAAGCTTATCTGCCAAAGGCCGCCCTCTCCCTGTGCGTCTTGATGCGTTGCCCCAGGTGGAGTCACAAGTGGCGGCAGCACGGGCCTGGAGAGAACGGACTGGGAGGACCTTTCTTAAGAAGAATTCCAGCCACACGTTGCTCCAGGTGAGGGGCGGTTTACTTTATGTGTGTGCACTTCAGCACCCTCATCAGAAGTTGCTGATGTAATACCTGAGGTGAGGGTTGTTTTCAGTTTATCAGGTCATGGTTACACAGGTGATTCCGTTTTGGGTAATATCAGATGTTGACCAGTAATCTGGAGCCTTGGGCAGACTTGTTTCCAGTTCATCTAATACTATGTCTAGAAAAAGAAGTCAGCCTGATCTTATCTCTGCTGTTATAATGGACTCTGTCACTGAAAGATCTTATTTCTCAGAGGCACAAATTTAAAAAAAATCTTTTTTAATTGAAGTATAGTTGATTAACAGTGTTGTGTTAGTTTCTGGTGTATAGCAAAGTGATTCAGTTATACATACATATTCTAAATTGATTGATTGATTGATTGATTGATGGCTGCATTGGGTCTTCGTTGCTGTGCGTGGGCTTTTCTCTAGTTGTGGCGAGCGGGGGCTACTCTTCACTGTGGTGCCCTGGCTTCTCATTGTGGTGGCTTCTCTTGTTGCGGAGCACAGGCTCTAGGCACGCAGGCTTCAGTAGTTGTGGCTCACAGGCTCAGTAGTTGTGGCTAGAGCGCAGACTCAGTAGTTGTGGTGCATGAGCTTAGCTGCTCTGCAGCATGTGGGATCTTCCCGGACCAGGAATCAAACCTGTGTCCCCTGCATTGGCAGGCAGATTCTTAACCAGTGTGCCACCAGGGAAGTCCCACAAGTATATATTCTTTTTCAGATTCTTTTCCATTATAGGTTATTACAAGATGCTGAATATAGTTCCCTGTGCTGTACAGTAGGACCTTGTTGTTTATCTATTTTATATATAGGTAGTATGTATCTGTTAATCCCAAGCTCCTAATTTATCCTTCCCCCCATCTTTTCCCTTTGGTAACCATAGGTTTGTTTTCTATGTTTGTGACTCTGTGTCTGTCTTGTAAATAAGTTCATTTGTATCATGTTTTTTAGATTCCACATAGAAGTGATATCATAATATTTGTCTTTCTCTGTTTTTCTTCACTTAGTATGATAATCTCTAGGTCCATCTGTGTTGCAGCAAATGGCATTATTTCATTCTTTTTTATGGCTGAGTAATATTCCATTGTATATATGTACCACATCTTCTTCACCCATTCCTGTTGATGGACACTTAGGTTGCTTCCATGTCTTGGCTATTGTGAATAGTGAGAAGCACAAATTTCAATACTCATTACCCTTTTCCTATTGAACAGTTGAACATAGTAGTTAAGAGCATAGACTTTGGAGTACGATATTTTCATGTTTGAGGACTGGCTTCCTAGTGCTAACCCTGTGTCTGTGGGCAAGTTGTTGCCTTTCTGGTTTCCCTCGTTTGTACAGTGCCGATAATACCACCTACATCAGAGGCTTGTTGGCAGTTTTGAATTAGATAATGCATATGAGGTTCATAAGAACGTGTCTAAGACGTGTGAGTGGTCAGTAAATGGTTCATTTTATTTTCAGTTTTGAGATTTTTTTTTTTTAAACCAGAGCTCCATATTTGGTTTTATTTTTGTAGGTGCTTAGTCCCCGAACTGACATTGGTATTTATGGGAGTGGAAAAAATAGAAGGAAAAAAGTAAAAGAACTAATAGAAAAAGAAAAAGAAAAGGATCTGGACCTTGAACCTCTGAGTGATCTGGAGGAGGGATTGGAGGAAACCAGAGATACAGCCACAGTGGTAAGAAATTATGTAGTGCATCTTGAATTTGCTTGGTGAATACAGAATTCTGTGAAGGTATTAGCAGAATCACTGTTTTTTATGTTCTTAACTATTTTTGTTTTTGTGTACTTTATCTTTGGCTTTATGGTTATACATATTTCACATCTTTTTTAATATTTGGAATCAAAGAATATAAAAAGTTTACTCTTCTCTCTCCCTAACATTGTCTTTTCCATCTCTCTTCTTTATTGTTATTTTAGTAGTCATCTAATATTCCATCAAATTATCCATAACTTGCTGAACACTTTTCTAATATTGACCATTTTTGTTGTTACTAGGAGTTCGCTGTTATGGATAATAGCAAAGTGAACTGCTTTGTATAGCCTTGTCCTTTCTTCACATCATTTTCCTGCACTTGACTCTTAGGAATGGGATTTACTGGGCTAGAATTTCAGAGCATTTGGTGCTTAGTGCTGTTGTGCTTTTCAAAGGACTTCTACCAGCTGACTGACAGCAGCTGCAATTTGCAGTGTCTACCTCTTTTAGCAGCATTCAGTAGTATAGTGAGTGTGCAATAAGATGTTTGTAGCTAATTAAAATTATGGGTTTTATTGGAGAGTAGGAGGAATATGTTACAATTACAAGGAGACTGGGGAAGTAGAAAATAAAATGAGTTTGGGCAATATGTAGTAGTAGTGAATCGCATATACTAAGTGAGTTCATATGGCTCTTTCTGCCTAAATGATCCTGTTTTGAGGCCGGTGGAAATAATTTCTTGTTAGAGAACCTGCCCAATAAGTTAGTCTCGCCAGAAAAATAGCACTGTAAGTTATTTCAGAACTGCTTCAAAGCTACCGGAGTTTAAAAAGAAAATGCCCTGACAATATTCATAATAATTAAATTTTGTTTTTATATACTTCTTTGAAATGAGTTACATAAAACCTTGTTATAATTAGTCATCGGGCTTTGTTCTTCTTCTTCTACATAAGTTGGAAAGTCCTAGAAAGAAATAAAAATTGGTTTGTATCAAACTTTCCCCCAGTTTGATGAATTACATGAATTACAAGGGGGTGAGGAGTCAGTATTGATTGAATGTTTATCTTGTGCCAGGCACCAAGTTAGGCACTGCCATACGTTATCTTATTTAATCCTTAAAACAGCAAAAAGAGGTTAGTAGTGTTCTCATTTTTCGGAAGACTGAGATTCAGAAAACTTGTAACCCGGATCAGGAGTCTGTTAAGTGCAAGAGCCAGGCCTCATACCAAGGCTGCTTGATTTCAAGGCATACCATCTTTCTACTGCACCCTATAGAAGAATTAAAAAGTACTCTACTGATGCGAATTGTGAGTACTTGTGAATGTTGCAGATGAGGAATGTTTGCACAGAAACTGTCATGCTGCCCCAAATTTTAAGAAATTACTGATTTTTTTTTTTTTTTAAAAGGACAGTGCTTTGGACTTCCCTGGCAGTCCAGTGGTTAAGACTCTGTGTATCCAGTGCAGGGGGGCGGGTTCGATCCCTGGTCAGGGAACTAAGATCCCACATGCTGTGCGGTGTGGCCAAAAAAAAAGACAGTGCTCTGTCACCGTGAGGCTACAACATGGAGGTGATCCCTTAGCCTTGAAGATTTGGTACTTTTGGGGTATTTTGCAGTGACTCCCTTCACTTAAATGTTTTTTGTACACAGGTGGCAGTTTTCAAAGAACGGGAGCAAAAAGAGATTGAAGCCATGCATTCCCTCAGAGCAGCCAACCTAGCCAAGATGTCAGTGGTAGACCGCATAGAAGAAGTAAAATTTTGCATTTGCCGCAAGACAGCGAGTGGGTTTATGCTCCAGTGTGAGCTCTGCAAAGACTGGTTTCATAACAGCTGTGTTCCTCTTCCTAAGTCAAGTTCCCAGAAGAAAGGGTCTAGCTGGCAGGCTAAAGAAGTAAAGTTCCTTTGCCCTCTCTGTATGCGGTCTCGAAGACCTAGGCTAGAGACCATTCTGTCCCTCCTGGTATCCCTTCAGAAGTTGCCTGTACGGCTGCCTGAAGGAGAGGCCCTTCAGTGTTTGACAGAACGTGCAATGAGTTGGCAGGACAGGGCCCGGCAAGCCCTGGCCACCGATGAGCTGTCCTCTGCCCTGGCCAAGCTCTCTGTGTTGAGCCAGCGGATGGTGGAGCAGGCAGCTCGGGAGAAAACTGAAAAGATCATCAGCGCAGAGCTCCAGAAAGCCGCTGCCAATCCAGACTTACAGGCAAGTTTAGAATTTTCTTTTTTTTCCTGTTTCATGGGGATAATATTTGTCAGTGTGTAAGTAGTAAATCAAATCTGTCTTACCAGTAGATTAGGAAAATAACAGTAAGTTGCTAGCAACTATATTACGCATAATTTCCTCTTTGCACGTACGCCCATAGGATTTTCTTTGGGTATATACGTAAGGTCGTTTCAGTGAAGTATTACCTGGAAATATCATTCAGGTGGACCTTAGCGTTACAATCAAATAATTTGATCTGTACTAACTGTTGAATTCTGTTAGCCAGTTTGCAGGTTTGTTAGGTTTTGGTGGTCTTAAGCATACATGAATTACGCATGTTTTTGTAGTGTGTCTCTCTGCTCATCTTGGGATTGCTTGTTGTTTAGGGACACTTGCCTAGTTTCCAGCAGTCTGCTTTTAACCGGGTGGTGAGCAGTGTATCTTCTTCCCCTCGGCAAACGGTGGACTATGATGATGAAGAGACGGATTCTGATGAAGACATTCGGGAGACATATGGCTGTGACACGAAGGTAAGTACAGGGCAGGCCGTGTGGGCACATACCTGATCACTGAGTTTGTTCAAAAAAACTGTTGAACACTGGTGTTTGAAGCCTGAAAGTGGAAGAGAAAGCTAGTCATCTCTCTATCCTAGGTGATGGTGATAGCATTTTTTCAGTGCTCCAAAAAATATATAGATTGATGAAACTTAATTTTTTTTTTAAAGGATGGAATTTTTTAAAATCTGTATTTATTTTCCTCACCCTGAGGCTTAGAGGGACTAGAAAAATTATACATTTAAGTTATTGAAAACTTTCGTGGCTGATTTCATTGTTTTTTCCTTTGGGTTGTTAAAGTCTCTGTAGTTTTAAGAATCCCATTCTAGCTTTGCTTTGAGTCTTTTTCTCTGATCTCCTATCTGAATGGTGCTAGACAGCAGGTCATATTCAGGGATGGGTTATACTTGGGCCCATGGTTCGAATTTGTGGAGTTACAGTCACAGTTAGAACAAAATATTTGCCCCAATATGATTGTTTTCATAATGACACCACACTGGGATGAAGGGAAGGTTTTGGCAAGGTTTTGTGTTGGATCCTTTTGGCCTTTTATTGTTGTTTTGTGTCATGCCCAAGACCTTTGCCTTTTGTCTAGTAATAACATCATGATCTAGGCAGACACTCTGCCAGCTTACAGTTAATCTCTTGATCTGTTTTGTATTATTCTTTGTTGAGCTAATGTTTAGCATCTATGCCAGTAACCGGGGAGTTCGTACTCTGATGTATGAAAAAACTAGGGTGCCTTCTCTTCCCAGTCTGTTCAGTGTCTTTTCCTTTGTCTTTTCAGCATATTAGATAAGCTCATTCTTAGAGCATGAATACCATCGGCATTAGAACTCCCAGGATATAAAGTTAAACCATCTATCATAGATGCTTGTAAATTACCCACTGGAAAATGTTTTTATCAAGATAAAAATGGATCAAGGGGATGTTTTAATGAGGGAATTTTTTAAAATTACATGAATTAAAGACGAGAAAAGTTGAAACTTGAATTAGCATTTAAAATAAGGTTCTAGGGCTTCCCTGGTGGCGCAGTGGTTGAGAGTCTGCCTGCCGATGCAGGGGACACGGGTTCGTGCCCCGGTCTGGGAAGATCCCACATGCCGCGGAGCGGCTGGGCCTGTGAGCCATGGCCGCTGAGCCTGCGCGTCCGGAGCCCATGCTCCGCAACGGGAGACACCACAACAGTGAGAGGCCCGCGTACCACAAAAAAAAAAAAAAAAAAGGTTCTAAGTGACTTCCCTGGTGGCGCAGTGGTTAAGAATCCACCTGCCAATGCAGGGGACACGGGTTTGAGCCCTGGTCTGGGAAGATCCCACATGCTGCAGAGCAACTAAGCCCGTGTGCCGGAACTACTGAGCCTGTGCTCTAGAGCCTGTGAGCCACAGCTACTGAGCCCACGTGCCACAATTACTGAAGCCTGTGCGCTCCAGGGCCCGTGCTCTGCAACAGAGAGAAGCCACTGCAATGAGAAGCCTGCGCACGGCAAGAAAGGGTAGCCCCCGCTCGCAGCAACTAGAGAAAGCCCGTGCACAGCAACGAAGACCCAGCGCAGCCGAAAATAAAATAAATTAATTAAAAGTATAATGATAAGGTTCCTAAGCACCTTGTTACCCTTGTGGTTAATGACCATCTTTATTTATAAAGTTGGTAGAATGACCAGGAGCAGCTGAAGGGGAATGCTGCCCACGCCACGTATAAGTTCGCCAGTACTAGAATTGCCTGTTTGCCGTGGCTTAGAGGCCCTCGGTACTTCGGTTATCTTCCTAGCACATTAGGTATCAACCAGCACTCTAGAATTGCTGACCAGGATGGATTTCGCTTGGAGGCAAAGACTGGTAACCTGTGAAAGCAAAACATGCCAGGTATTACATGGTCTCAGGGCTGGGGTCAGAGCAGTGGTGGATGCGGTTGTGTGGAGTAGTCCTCTGTTTGCAAAATATATACGGGGGTCTTAGCTTACAGTCTGAGGAGACGGTGTTTGCAGGGTAGAAAGATGAGATTGTGGATTTTATAATGTTAGCAGTGTATTTGACAGCTTAGGACAGTGGAAGAATGGTGGCAAGACATGGTAATTCAAGGTCAAATCTACCTTGACGGCGGTATCTTCGCACTAAAAAAATTACACTCTTGAGGATTTTCCTGTAGCGCAAGCACCGATCGTGTAATGAAAATCTTATTTGCCAGTTTATTTGCAGTTGGCTTGGTGATTTTTCCCTTTATATGATCTCCCCTGCTTGTGACCATGAAATCATCCTTAAAATAGTTCAAATTTAGTGTCTTTGCTAGGATGAAGAGCCCCTGCCGGTTTAGGAAGAAGAGTAGGTAATTATAAAGAAAAATAAAATCAGTCATTGATCCTAGTTATCGTAGCATTGAAATGTTTAAAACAGACAGTGTGTGCTTTGCATTGTTTGATGACTTCATTTTGCATGTGATACCCTGTGATCACTAAAATAATCAGAGCAAGCAATTCAAAAAACTCGTTAGTTAGGAAAATCTATATGAAACAAAATCTGTCACAGATGTCTTGTGATTGTGTCTGGGATAACCTTTCAGATATTCATATGATTATTTCCTTTTAAGGCATAGTGTTTACCTTTACTGGAACTGTCTGTCCATATTACAGTTTATATTTTTCAAATGCATACGTGTACAATTACACACCAGAAAGGAGGGTATAAAATAGTAGTAGGTATTATCTCCCAGGAAGTTCTTTTTTTTATCCTGGTAATTTCTTAATTTACAGAAAGGCAAGTTAAGCAGTTGGATTCTTTCATTTTTTTTTCTTCTCTATGCTTGTTAACACTTGGGTGGCTTGAGCTTTGGTGGAAATATTACTTTGAAAGATGTGAACGTGCATTTGCGTATCCAGTCACCTAAGTTTGTTCACGTGTCTGGCGTACATTGTCACGTGTGTGACAGCTAAGTCCGCGCATGGGCTTAGTTGCTCCGCGGCATGTGGGATCTACAAGTGGTTGTGCTTTTGTGTACTTTACTCTATAGTACTGTATAGAGTAAAGTAGTACAGTGTCTTTATTTCAAGCCCAGCATGTCCAGAAGCAAGTGTAGAAGCTGGTACTACTGTACTTCTCAAGGTACTGTATTTTAAAAAGGTACTGTAAGATTAAAAATGTTTTTGTGTGTGTGTGTGTTTGTTTTTTATGTATCTGTGTGAAAAGTATTATAAACCTATTACAGTACAGTACTGTATAGCCGATTGTGTTAGTTGGGTACCTAGGCTAACTTTGTTGGACTTAGGAAGGTGCTCTCGGAACAGAGCTCATTCGTATGTAGGGGACTTACTGTAGAGTAGATTTTGTCTGAGACTTTAGTCCTGCTAATATCAGATAAGGTGGAGTGACAGATCTGTGTGTGAAACACATTTCTCACTGAGAAGCCATTCCTCCTTTCTTGCATATTTGCCATTAGTGCAACTGAACCGTAATTTTCCTTCTTAAGAAGAGTAATTTGTTTAAGCTTGCTGTTATCAGTTGTTTTACCTTCAGCCTATCTGTGTCTTTATATTTAAAATGTGTCTTTTGTAGACAGCACATGTGGTAGGGTTCTTTTTGGTGTGTCATTCTGCATATATATGCGTTTGTAGAATATACAGTTAAATCTTGGTTTTTAGGCAGTATTACAATCTCTGTCATTTAATTGGGAGTGTTCATTTACATTTAATGTAATTGTTGACATGGTTGGATTTAAGTTGACCATCTTTATTTTTCATTTTTTTCTGTTTTTGTTCCTCTGTTGCTTTTTCCTGCCTTCTTTTGGGTTAATTGACAATTTTTTTAAGGTTTCATTTTATTTCCTTTATTGGCTTCTTACCTATACCCCTTTTTATTTTTTATTTTTTTCAGTGATTGCTCTGGGGCTAACAATGCCTCTTTAACTTACCAAAGTCAGTGAGTACTTCTTCATATTTCATACTTCACCCTGGGGAAGTAATTTTTTTTTAAATTTATCTTTACCTGTCTTTACTTTCCATCATTATTTTCTATGTATCTATCTATCTATTTATTTATGGCTGCCTTGGGTCTTCGTTGCTGCACGCGGACTTTATCTAGTTGCAGCGAGCGGGGGCTACTCTTCGTTGCAATGCATGGGCTTCTCATTGTGGTGGCTTCTCTTCGTTGCGGAGCACGGGCTCTAGGTGCACGGGCTTCAGTAGTTGTGGTGCGGGCTCTAGAGTGCAGGCTGAGTACTTGTGGCGCACGGGCTTAGTTGCTCCATGGCATGCGGGATCTTCCTGGACCAGGGCTCAAACCTGTGTCCCCTGCATTGGCAGACGGATTCTTAACCACTGCACCACCAGGGAAATCCTCAATCATTATTTTCTGATCACTTTCCTTCCTAGTTTGGAAGCTTAACAGAAAGTTTCCTGCATGAGTTACAATGAAATGAGTAGAGTCAAGGTTAGAAAAAAAAATTGCAGTCAGTGAGATGACACATCTGGGGACTGCAGTAGGCGAGTACTAAAGTACTCTCCTATCTGTTGCCTTTTAAGACTTAAATTCTTCAATAGGAAATAAGACTTACACGAACTGTGCTGTTCCTGAATTTTCAGTGAGTGACACTGTCTTCCAGAATCTTCTTATGAAACCTTTTAAGTATCTTGTTTAATTAAGGATAGGCTCATGATAACAATAGACCTTCCTCTCATGCACCCTACAAAGAAAATCAGGTGTTGCATTAGTCATTGAGCTGTTGTCTCTCGTCTCCTAAGCTACTCATTTATACTCTGCTTGGTGATGCTAGGTCTGGGACTCTACACCAGGGCTTGGTAAACTTTTTCTGTAAAGTAATATATGTATATATTAGCATACATTATATGTAGTGATATTCTCTAGGTATATTATGTAAAGTAAATATTTGGGGTTTTGCAAGCCATATTTGGTCTCTGTTACACCTTTTCCTCCTTCCTCTTTTTTTTTTTTTAAATAACAACTCTTTAAAAATGTAAAAACTATTCTTAGCTCACGCTCCAAACGAAAAAATAGGCAGCCAGCTGGGGTTGGCCCGCAGACTGTGGTTTGCCAACCCCTGCTCTACACATTTATCCTTTGCCTGCTGCCCTCCCCCTCCCCCCGCCAGCACAGGGCATTAGAGAAAATTAAAAGGCCTGTGCAGGGAGAAGGGAGTTGATCCTTCCCCTGTTTTATTCTCCATTCCTGTCATCATTGAACTACAATTGTTTTTCGTTTTGGGGGGGCTTTTGTTTGATTTTTGTTTTTGTTTTTTTACCCTGGCAGTGGCAACTGGTTCCAATTTCTAGTTGATGTTTTTTTCACACTCCAGAAGCCAGCCACATTGTATTCTGTTAGGGATAGCAGAACCAGCACTTCCTCCTCAGAGGTCTGGGTCCCAACTCTGCAGGCCCCTTCTCTGAGCTTCTTGGTTCTCATAACCCCACTTCTTTTCTCTGTTACCTCAACCCTTAGGGATGGCAACTCTTTTCTTGCAGTTGTCTTAGTGTTACTTTGGTGTTTCTGTTTTGCCTTTTCAAGACTTTAATGTACATTTAACGAGTTCACTTTATTAAATTCTCCTTGTTGAACTTTTTGTGATTTCTGTCTCCCTGATTGCACTGTGACCGTTGAAGCTGTACTTGTGGGTTATTCTCCCCTAACTACAGGGGAGGATCGTCTGAGCCCTAATTAGACTTGTCACAGTTGTATAGCTCGAATACTGTCAGGCTGTTTATTATATTAAGAGCAGTTGGTAAGCATCTAGGTTCGAAAACCTTTAGAGAGGATTAAATAATTTGTGTCCTTAAGTTGTCACATCTAAACCTTTATTCCCCTCCTAAGTCCATTTTATTTTTCTTAAAGGGTCAAAGTTCCTTAACTTGTGACTACAGGAGTTTTTATGAGTTTTAGACTGTAGAAAGTTGATTACGTAATCGTAATTTTCTTGTAGGTTTATTATCTCTGAGGATTACTTTTTTTTTTTTTTTTTTGCGGGCCTCTCACTGCTGTGGCCTCTCCCGCTGAGGAGCACAGGCTCCGGACTCGCAGGCCCAGCGGCCATGGCTCACGGGCCCAGCCGCTCCGCGGCATGTGGGATCTTCCCAGACCGGGGCACAAACCCATGTCCCCTGCATCGGCAGGCGGACTCCCAACCACTGTGCCACCAGGGAAGCCCTGAGGATACTTTTGAGCTTTACTCTTTCCCTTTTGGCTTGAAACTCTGGTGATTTCTGTTTTTTTCCCCAATGGACATTTTCTGTCTTACTAAATACCATATATTTAATTTTAAGATCTTTTATTTATTTGTTTTTTTAATATATATACTGTGTTATATTAGAAACTTTAACCTGAAAGCCTGTATTTAGATTCTTGTCACGGGATAAGTTGTTTCCAATTCTCCATACCTGCTTCGTTTCTTCTACAGGACACAGCCAGTGTGAAATCCTCCAGCAGTCTGGAGCCCAGCCTATTTTGTGATGAAGAGATTCCCATCAAGTCCGAGGAGGTGGTCACGCACATGTGGACGGCACCCTCCTTCTGTGCTGAGCATGCTTATTCGTCTGCTTCTAAGAGCTGTTCTCAAGGTATTACGGCCCTTGGTAGCGGCATGGAGAAGAGAAGCCTGAAACCATACTGAATCTCTCTTTCAGTACAAACCCTGGCAGTGAAATGCGATAGAACCTGAAAAAATGCAACTTTGGAAAAGCCAGTCTCTGTTAGCATTTTTCTGTCATTAGGTCATAACCTGAACATTTCCATAGCATTATTGAATCCCAATTAGAAGGACTTTAGAGGCCCTTTGGTCCCATTCTAGTCCCATTTTATTTTGATCAAATCCCCGATAGGTAGTTATTTATCCTCTATTTGTTTGTTACCGGTTGTTGAGGAACTTGCTGCTTTTTAAGAATATTCATTCTGGTTTTGGAAAGCTTTGTTAGTTTTTCATCCCTTGGTAAGTAATTTCTCTGTTATGTTCACTTTCTTTGTCCCTAGTGAAAGTGAGTCCGACTGCTTTAGGTCACACCTCTGGAAAAGGGAGAGTATTTCTCTCTTCGCAGTGAAATTCAGGATTTTATGGAGCAGCGTATAGCATTCATATGGGGCAGTTATATGCTTAGTTGTTTGGTATTCTCTGAAATGGAGAGAGCGCGGGGTAGGAGATTCTCTCCCATTCCCCTTCCCCTCCAGTCACAAGGTAAAGAATCAATAAGGAACCTGTTGTTTTTTTTTTTTTACTCTAAACCAGTTTTTTAGAGTGGTCATTAGAATTCTAGGTCTTTCTGTTCTGTATTTTTAAAAATTTTATTTTCACTTTCATACTGATGCAGTGAACCCAAACTTCTAAATTAAATGTTGGAGGAGGAGGGACCATTCTTCTAAATATTTACTTTCAAAACATTACATTTTTTCAATCGTTTTCATTATTTTGTCTTATATTTTGGGGGCAAGGTTCTAGCACCACAAGGAAACAACCTCGGAAGAGCCCTCTGGTGCCCCGTAGTTTGGAGCCTCCGGTGCTAGAGTTATCGCCTGGAGCTAAAGCCCAGCTGGAAGAACTTATGATGATTGGAGATCTCCTGGAGGTGTCTCTGGATGAGACTCAACACATATGGCGGATTTTGCAGGCCACACACCCACCCTCTGAAGACAGATTCCTGCACATCATGGAGGTATGGATCTGAAGCTTACTTACAGTGGTTTTAAAACCACTTAGAACGTCCAGGTTCCTTGGAGGTACCACAGATTGCCACAAGGGGTGGCTGGGTGGGTAGGACTCTGATTGTCCTACTTTCTCATTACGCCAAAGTAGTTCTGCTTTGTGGTTTTCTTTATTGAGATTTTATGTAATATTCAGTTTTTAAAAAGGCCATTTCTGCCGAAAAGAAAGGGTGGTACTGTAATTCACAAGTTGAGAACAACTTCCTTAGCCCAGACTCACACTGGTGAAAGGCCCAAAAGTTAGGCAGGGGGCAATATAGTGGTTGAAAACAGGAAGCAAGGGAATGGTTAAATAGAAGTGGATTGGGTGGGAGGGGGAGTCCACATACATTTATACAATTTACACACTTGTGTACAATTATAAATCACACAGTTTCTTATTTATACAGTTTATACGTGTTGTTCTATCCATGATCTCATTCGTCCTCACCATAGTCCTGAGGGGGAGGGAGAAAGGATAGACATGGCGAGTATTTAGCTCATTCTGCCTGTGAAGAAAGTAAGGGTCAGAGACGTAGAAACATGCCTGAGGTCACACGTGGAGTAAAAACAGAGACCTGGGTTCTCTCTCTGGCATTAGACTCCAGTATCCTTTTCATTATTCTTTTCCATGACTGTTTCCATGAGGCGGAAGGTACACTGTCAGCAGCAGTTGACACGGATACGCCTGGGGCACTGTGGTTTGTCTTTGGTTTGGAAGTCAGATTGAGGGTGCCTGACTTAGATAGTACTTTCCAGTCGCAGAGCATTTTCTTCACATCTGTTATCTCATCTGATCTTTATTTCACATATAAGGAAACACAAAGTGTTGAGAAGTTAAATATCTTATTCAAGATGTGATAGACTTAAGACAGTTGTAACCCAGTGTTCTTTACGAATCTACAGATTCTGAGGTTCCTGTCAAAGATATTCCAGTATCACATCTGTGGGAAAATAAATTCTCAAGTGTTATTTCTTAAGTAATTATCAAGCTTATGTTTTTCAGTATTTCTTTTTCTACCTTACCCCTTGTTCTTTCTGTTACTGGACACACTTTTACTATTAAGATCTTTAATGTTTACTACCTTGGCACATAAATAGCAACAATATTAGACAGTTGAGGGAAAAAAAGGCAAGTGTTTTTGCTTCGTGACAGCAACTGTTTTCTTGTGAAAGTCACTACATACCCTTTGTAATGAGATCATGGATAAAATTTTGTGTTTTGCTGACAGTTTTGATAACTTCGTAACCACCAAGGATTTATTGAGTTAATAAAGAACTTTAGTACTGGTAAATGGAGACCCAAAGAGTTATTACATAATTAGTTAGTATACATTTAGCTTTCTGTGTATGTTTTCATCTCAGTTACGTAGAGGTGCTACAGACTATACTAATATATGCAGACACTTTTTTTTGCCTTTTTTTTCCCTCTGATAAGCTAAAAATAAGTCAGATATTTTATTTAGGGCTTGTCATTATTTTCTACTGTTATCTTCTTTGAATATTATATTTGCCTTCTTAAAATATCTTCAGAATATTTATTGTGGTATAATGTACACAACATAAAATTTATCATTTCAACTGTTTTTAAGTATACAATTCAGTTGTTTTAATTACATTTATAATATTATACAACTATTACCACTATCCATTTCCAGAACTTTAAAATTATTCCTAACAGAAACTCTGTACCATTAAATAATCCCATTTCCCTCCCCCCCAGCCCCAGTAACTCATATTCTATTTCCTGTCTCTATGAAATTGCCTATTCCTGATACCTCATGTAAGAGGATAAAACAGTTTTTAAATGTCTTGCTTTAAAATTGTTTCTAATTTTATACTTATGAAGGATGACAGCATGGAAGAGAAACCATTAAAAATAAAAGGAAAGGACTCTTCAGAGAAGAAACGGAAACGGAAGCTAGAAAAAGAACAGCTTTTTGGCGAAGGAAAACAGAAGTCCAAGGAGCTAAAGAAAATGGATAAACCTAAAAAGAAGAAATTAAAATTAAGTGCGGAAAAATCAAAAGAGCTGAACAAACTGGCCAAGAAACTAGCAAAAGAAGAAGAGAGGAAGAAAAAGAAGGAGAAGGCTGCTGCAGCCAAAGTTGAACTTGTGAAGGAGAGCTCAGAGAAGAAGAGAGAGAAGAAGGTGCTGGACATCCCCTCCAAATATGACTGGTCAGGAGCAGAGGAGTCTGACGACGAGAACGCTGTGTGTGCCGCGCAGAACTGCCAGAGGCCCTGCAAGGACAAGGTGAGTCTAGCTGTACCCGCCAAGTATGCGCGGGGACGTGGAGCAGCGGCCGGGCACACCTGGGTTTGAGGTAATGATGGTCTGTTTGGCCTTGTGACGTCACATGTTTAATTCAGTTTCTAGAAACATTTTCAGTTATGAGGCTTTTAGTAGAAGAAATGTTGTGTTTTAGAAATCGTATATGTGGTGATCGTCCTGACCGAGCAGAGAGAAGCTGTGTGGTACCAGGAGCGGTGTGTCTCGTGCGTGGGCACAGCAGGGCTCAGAGCAGTTGTGTCCCTTCCCTGCAGGGTGCCTCGGGGGCCTAGACATCTTGTCAGTTAGCCACAGTGGCCCGAAAAGTCCTGGGCCGGTATCCTAAGAGCTGTGGCAAATTGCATTGAGATCAGTTCTGAAGACCTAAAACTAGGAGGTTAAATCTTCCCTTTTGGTCTGTGTCTTATCCACACCCAGCCCTATGTGTACTCTCCTAAATAGAATATGATTGTTTTCACATCTCTTGCAAAAAATAAAGACCTTTAAAGGTATTATTTTTGAAATGTCAGCCCTGAATTCTAAATATTAGCAAGGATATGATAGTCTTTCTTAAGGTAATAATTGATGTTATAAACTTCTGAGAAAGACGGATGGACTTCATGAAAAATCCTAGTTCATTAAATGGCTGAAGGTATCTATTATAGTGTTCCCATCAAGATTATTAGTAAATTCATGGTTTTAATTTTATTATCTCCATACACCACTTGATGTTTAGAATTTTAATAGCTCCTCAATTTGAATATATCAACAGAATAAACACAGCTGCATCACTATTCCCTTACTTTCCTTCTCAGTTAAATACTTGTTAGAGCTTGAAGAGGTCACCTTGTCCAGCCTCTTCATTTCACAAATGATGAAGCCAGGACTGAGTGAAGGTAAATGATGTGACCAAAGTCACAGAGCTCATTAGTGGCAAAACCGAAAGTAGAACCCTGGCTCCCAGACCAGGTCCTCTCCGCTAATATCCCCACCCCTCCGGTAACTGAGATGCAAGTACAAAAACACAGTGCAAAACTAAATGACTCGTATTTAAATTATACTTATTAAAGGTTTTCTACTCACTTTTGGAAAATGAATATATAGTAAAATTTATATCCCATAGTCCAGCTTTCTGAGGACCACAGCTGTAAATATTTTAGTGTGTTCCCTTGCAATTATTTTCCTGTATAGTTTGTTTTATATCGTGTCATACTGTCCACTTTTGTATCTGCTTTATTAGTTTCGTAAGTATTTTTCTATATTATAAATATTTTAAAGCATTTTGGTAGATGCATTATATGTGCGTGTATTATTTTTATCTTTCATTTGAATTTATTCTCATCTGAATCTGTTTATTAAAGAGGCTGATGACAGGTTAGCAGTTTCTCCTTGGGTCTGAAGTATTAGCAGCTTAGTGTTGGCAGGACCTTCTCCCTTTTCTTCCTCCTTTAACTAATTGTATGGCAGTTGGAGGACTGGCAACAGGATATGTTTCTTTTTCAAGCTTTCCTGTCATCCTTCCTACAGTGTTTATATCCATCATGAACCTTTCTCTTTTTTTCTCCTTTTCACTTAATAACCTCTCGCCTCTCCTCTGTTCAGCATTTAAAATAC